TCATGGGTGCTTTGCCCTTGGGGCGGACAAGTTTCTGTCTTAATAAGTTCCTGGATTTAAAGTATACACTTACGTTTGTTGAAAATCCTGGTGAGCTTTTCCAATATTCCAATCTAAATCCAGCTTGTTCCTCTGTTAAGAGATTTCTTTGTTTTCCCCCAAATGTCATCACTCTGCTTAACAACTAATTCTCACAACACTGTCAAATAATTTACTAAGATTGTATTACTATTATTCTTCTCTTCCTTACCAGTATCTATCTCTTCTCACTCAGCACTATAACCATGTTGCTTATATCTTCAATTTATATTGTTTTTATTTGTTTCCTAGTATGATTTGATAGCCGATTAGTAACCTTGACTATCACTAAGTGTTGTATCTTTTTATTCTTGATGAATGTATTTTATTCTCCTTATGTACACTGAGAGCATATACACCAAAGACAAATTCCTTGTGTGTCCAATCATACTTGGCCAATAAAGAATTCGATTCAATTCAATTCAATTCAATTCCATTTCTATTCTATTCCTATTTCTACTAGCTGAATATCCGTGCTCCGCTACGAAACAATGTGATTGGGCTTGATAAATCGACACTTAAAGCTTGAAAGTTAATGAGTAGTTACAATTGGCCTCTCCTCTCCCTCTCTCTCCCTCAGCGTTGCCCCACAGAAACGTATCCTCTCCTATCCCCTTCTCTCCCTCAGGCTTGCCCCACAGAGGCCTCTCCTCTCCTATCCCCTTCTCTCCCTGTTCTGTTCTGTTCTGTTCTATTCTTTGTTCAAAAGGTGTTTTGCATACATTTTAGCCACAATTTCAAGCTATCAGTTTCTTGTAATTACACCTTATTTTTAAAATTTTAGTGTGTTTTTTTTTTTTTTTAATCTTAAGGTGGGCCTGGCACATTGCTACCATCAGGAACTTTCTGGTATGTAAACAGAATCAAACCAATTTGAATGTACTTGCTGTTAGTTTCTGGCTTGAAGTTTATGATTTAAAAGTTTCAGTGAAAAATACAAATTAATGTAATGGAAGCTCAGGCTTCTATCTGCACCTTGGATAGAGGAGGAAATGAGTTTGTCCAAGTTTGGGTGTGTTCTGAATTCAAAAAGATAGAATAGAATAGAACAGAATTTTTTATTGGCCAAGTGTTATTGGACACACAAAGAATTTGTCTTGGTGCATATGTTCTCAGTGTATATAAAAGAAAAGATATGTTCATCAAGAATCATAAGGTACAACACTTAATGATAGTCATAGGGAACAAATAAGCAATCAAATCATATTAGGAAACAGTTAATATAAATCGTAAGGATACAAGCAACAAAGTTACAGTCATACAGTCATAAGTTGAAGGAGATGAGTAATGGGAACGATGAAAGAATTAATAGTGCAGACTTAGTAAATAGTTTGACAGTGTTGAGGGAATTATTTGTTTAGCAGAGTTATGGCGTTTGGGAAAAAACTGTTCTTGTGTCTAGTTGTTCTAGTGTGCAGTGTCTATAGTGTCGTTTTGAGGGTAGAGTTGAAACAGTTTATGTCCAGGATGTGAAGGGTCTGTAAATATTTTCACAACTGTCTTTTTGACTTGTGCAGTATACAGATCCTCAATGGAAGGCAGGTTGGTAGCAATTGTTTTTTCTGCAGTTCTAATTATCCTCTGAAGTCTGTGTCTATCTTTTTGGGTTGCAGAACCAAACCAGACAGTTATAGAGGTGCAGATGACAGACTCAATAATTCCTCTGTAGAACTGGATCAGCAGCTCCTTGGACAGTTTGAGCTTTGTGAGTTGGCGCAGAAAGAACATTATTTGTTGTGCTTTTTTGATGACTTTTTGATGTTAGGTGTCCATTTTAGATCTTGCAATATAGTAGAACCTAGAAATTTGAAGGTCTCTACTGTTGATACTGTGTTGTCTAGTATTGTAAGAAGTGGAAGTATGGAAGGATTTCTCCTAAAGTCTACCACCATTTCTACAGTTTTGAGTGTGTTCAGTTCCAGATTGTTCCGGTCACACTATGAGGCTAGTTGTTCAACCTCCCGTCTGTATGCGGATTCATCATTGTCTTGAATGAGACTGATCACTGTTGTGTCATCTGCGAACTTCAGTAGTTTAACAGATGGATCGTTAGAAATGCAGTCATTGGTATAGAAAGAGAAGTGAAGTGTGGGAGAGCATACAGCCTTGGGGAGCCCCTGTGCCAATTGTACAGTGATTCTGATGTGATTCTGCTTAGCTTCACCTGCTGCTTTCTGTTTTTTAGGAAGCTTATGATCCACTTGCAAGTGTGTTCAGGTACCTGTAGCTGGTTTAGCTTAGTTAGAAGAGTGTCCGGAATGATGGTATTGAATGCTGAACTAAAGTCTACAAAGAGGACCCTTGCGTAGGTCTTTAGAGATTCAAGATGTTGTAGGATGTAGTGCAAAGCCATATTAACAGCATCATCTGTTGATCTATTTGCTCGGTATGCAAATTGCAAGGGGTGCAAATTGCAAGATGGATATAACTTTAGCATCAACCCAAGCCTAATTGAGCTTTCTATTCCATTTTACTTCAAGATTAGCTAGAAGCCTCTTGTGAAGCGTAACTAGGATCAGATCTGCCTTATAAATGGACTATGATTGGTCAACATCGTTATCCGCCCTCATGTGAGCTTGGATGTCTGAACAAGTCTTGTTTCATGCAACATAGTTTCCTTAATAATATTTAAATCGATACATAAAACTAGGTTCTTCTCCTTCTACAGTATGGAAGATTACATTTATAAATCAAGGAAACCAATTCTGAGCCTGAAGTATTTCTTTTAGGATCTCTAGAGAGCCAGGATGGATCATTTATAAGATGAACTTTAGAGACAACACCCAGGTATACAAAATCTTCTACAGAAGTACCAATCTTGGCAGTAGCTTTGGGTGATATTAGGAGAAAGTGGGAAGACATGTGTGATGATAGATATATGTTCAGTAGAACTATTTCAGAGAATTTATACAAAATTTTACAGCTAAATAATGGGGAAAGTCATCTCCAAAGATCAATCCCTGTTCTTGAAAGACTCGCTGAGCCTTGGCAAGTATAGTCTGTTCTCTTTGCCCTTTAGTCTTATATTTTCTTGAAGGAATAGAACAGGATCTAAAGCATGACAATTGAATTTTTATCCCTTATTTGTAATCAGCTGTGTCTCTTGGAGTGCTATGAAGTCAAAATTAGGGAAGAATTCCACTCGGTCCCCATCCATTACTCTGTCCTTCCAGTCAGCAATATTTCAAATCAGTAACTGGTTAGAACTAAGTAATGTAATATTAGTGGGCATGATTGGGAAGGAATTGGAATTTTGAATTGAAGGACATGGGTTTTCCCATTCTTTGAATGGGACTGATGTTATCCAAAATTCCTTCAGTGTCAAAAAAATCACACTGGTTTGAAATTTGTCTACCTTCACCACTGCCTTGCTGGTTATAGGTTCTATCGGGTTTTGAGATCAGCAGCAATTTGGTTGGGGTACTTTTGCAGTTTGGCAACTCAAAATAACACCAAGTCCAGGAGTGGGGTGGGAATGGCTTACTTTTAGGTGAGGATGATTGTCTTGCAGTATCCTTCCCCTGGAGTGGGGTGGGAATGGAGATTTTGCAGCATCCTTCCCCTGGAGTGGGGTGGGAATGCAGTATCCTTTCCCTGTCATGCCCAAGCCATGCCCACTAAGCCATGCCACACCCACCAAGCCACGCCCACAGAACCGGTTGTAAAAAAATTTGGATTTCACCATTGCTATAGCTGTTTACAACAAAAGTAATTCTGACCTACATGGCATTTGTTTCTTAGTCTGGTCTACTTCGTAGGGTTGACAGCTATACAGAACTATTACTTCTAAAGCAACAACAATATATGTCAGGATTGTAATCAGTCTCGTATTTTTCAGAGTCTTTTGCTGAGAGTCTCTAACCCAAAAGCAGTTTAGTTGTGGAACAAGAACCCAAAGCTGGACAGAGTGGGCTTTGGATGGGATATTCAAGGCAGGAGGATGAGAAGCAAATCTCTGGTTATTTGTCTGTATTATTAAAGTTACTATACCAGAAATCTACAATAAATCATAAAATTCATAAAAAGTTTACCTGTGCAAATTCCTAAAATGAGTAAGTTTGATTAAATTGATCTGAAGTTCATAATGGATTGGATTTTAGACATTAGACTACCACAAGGATAAGGTTTTTCAGTCTCTGCCACCTTACATTGTACTTTGCCACTAGGTGCAAAAGATCTTACCAGCTTCTCCCAATGATTTAAAGCTCTTTCGAAACCTGGCATGTCCTGTAAATGGGAAACATTGCCTTTTGTTAATAAAAGCTCTCTTGTCATCAAACTCAATTCCATTATTAAAGTCCACTTATTTGCAGTTTGTCTTTAAACATTTCTCACATTACGTGAAGTCTTAATTGCTAGAAGTTATGGGATTGCAGAAACATTATGAGGTTGTTGCATTTCCTTGGTTTTGGTTTAAAAAACAAACAAACCCACATTTACCCCTCGAGAGAAATTTTTACACGCGTTTCATTCGTCTATAAGGCTTTTAATAGCATACTTCCCAATTTTCCTCCAAACTCCTCTGCGAATCATCCATGCTAGTCTGTTGTTGTTGTTGTTTTTAAAGAAATGCTAATTCGTCAGAGTTAACCTTAAGAAAGAAGAGCACGTTTAAGAAATGGCTGAAGTCATGTCAGCCCACCCTCCCATTCAAAAATACTGCAGAATGCCGGAGCTGAGATGGACCATTGTGCTACATAACAATAGGAGGAGGCTAAGCTTTATTTCCTCACCCACAGCACCTTTGCTATTTCCATTTCAGCTCTACTATCCAATCCTAGCCTTCGATCCTCCTATAAGATATTTCTATCTTCAACTCTTCCTCTCTTTTAATTGACCATTGCGGGGTCAAGATATTCAGCAACTTTCCTCTCCCTCCCCCCCGTCTTACCCTGGAAAATGGATTCTTCCCAAACAGGTGGACCTCAGATTCTATAAACGTATTAGTATGCTGGTAGGGCAAGGAAAGCCTGCAATGCAAATTAGCGCGCTGGAGGAAAGTGAGGATTTCTGAGCCGTGCAAGGCAAGCAGAGCTCTGACGCAGCTGACAGGCGTCTGCTTGGCTTCGCCCGTTTCACCTCTCGCAAGGTGAACGATCCAAGGGACCGGATCCTTGTACCTGCGAAGTTAATGTTGCCCACCGAGGTAGAGGCTTTTCTGGGTTCTCCCGGAATGGAGTTCTGGATCAGCCCCGCCGCTTGCGACGAAGGCAACGGGAACAGTAACCTGGACAGTAGCGAGGATCTCCTACCCCAGGAATTGGAGGAGGGTAAGGAGGAGAAAGGGGCCACCGGAGCGAGGGGTTCTGTTGGCCTGGACCTACAGCCTTCTCACGCCCTTTCCCTGTGGATGGGAAATCTGCTGCCTGTCTAGACCTTTTTGTTTTTCTCAACTGCTTTTTCTTTTGACAGAAGTGCAGTGCTTGGAAGGTGGGTTTAGGGTTTAGACAGGTGTTTTTCAATTTCAATAACTTTTAAGGTGTGTGGAATTCAGTTCCCAGCAAGCAAGTTTAAGATGTGTAGATAGATGGCAGCTTCCACAATTTTCTAGCTAGTATGCTGTCTGGGGGATTCTGGGAATTGATGTCCATACATCCTAAAATTGCTGCAGTCTGAAAAACTGTTCCAGAGAGTTTCTTTTCAGCAGTTATCCAGGTGTATCAGATTATAACTTCCATCATCCCCAACCTGCAATCCTGCAGGTGCCAATCCAGATCTGTGAAATGCTATGAATGGTCCAGAAAGAAAGATAGGTGTGTGTCTACCCTTACAGAACAAAACCCTTATTTGTTCCTGGTTGCAGAACAAAACCTAGGTGAGCCTTCCTTCCTTCCTTCCTTCCTTTATAGGTCATTGCCAGCTTGTTTCTCTGTGGCCTTGCCCTTATAGTTTTGACGATTGTCCAATGTGTATAGATCTACAGATTGCTACTTTCCCCATCAGTTTACTTTCAAGGCAGTAATATTTTATTTCTGTTTGTCATAGATATGGTTAAAAAATTCAATCTGTTTAGTTGGAAAATCTGACTCCCAACTCAGTTGTTTTAACCAAACCTGCATAAGATTGGTTAGAGATAATGGGAATTGTAGTTTTAAAAAAAAAACTTGAGAAGACCTGTTTGTTATTATTTCCTTCCATCTGTTCTGAAGCTACCTTATCAGAATCTTCTGGGTCCTATTTAGACAGGTGCAAGGAAGAAACAATCTCAGATTCCCATCTCTTGACTGTTGCATTCAAATTCTGTGAACCTCCTGTCTTCAGGCTTTGTTTGTTTTTTACCTATCAAAATAAAATGGGAAACGATGATTTTGGAAATAGCTCAAGTTGTTAAAAATTAGGTTAATAGGCATGTGTCTAATAAGGGCATCATTTTATGTTACTGATAGCAAGTACTACACAGAGTAATAGCGCAAGTTCTGATCAAAGATTTTAGAGAAAGAGATGAGTAAATGCAAAATCTTAAACTTTCTTGGCAATTCATGGAGGAATTCTCTTAGGAAAATAACCTTGCTTTTAGAAAGGGTGAGGGGATCTAATGTCATTTTTTTTTATATGTGCTCATCCTAACTTGAGAGAGGATGAAAACACAGAAATCATTAAAATGTGCAAAGGCTAGTCTTGTACAAGAATTCCCTCTTTAACTTAAGTGCAATCAAGGTTGAAGCACATTTTTCATTTTCCTTTAAATTTGAATGGATTTTCTTCCAATCTGGACCATTTTAAAGGTTGAGATTTATGTGTGACCCCAATGATATTTGCAATGAATCTAAAAATGTGTATTATATGAATTGGCTGCTGCAGTTTTTTCTAATTCAATGTGTGTGTTTTGCTTTTGCTGTGCAGTATGAAGCTTTTAATTCATAGGAATGAATCCACATGTTAAACTTTTGGTTATTTGCCATAGTATTAGTTGCTCCTAGAATGTTTCTCTGCTTCTTTATGATAACAGACAATACAAATAAAAGCTCTCGTGACCTTCCAATTGAAATGGTTCATTAATATATTACATGGTGATATCTTTGAATGCTGAGCATCCTCCTGCAGAGTGTACTGTATGTTCTATGATCCGTTATGAAAGTACAATATAACCTTTCCATTTTAAAAAATATTCTGCAAGGAGGTTGACTTTCTAACTGCTGTCATATGTGGAACAGAGCTCCATTGATTCTGCAATGGGGTTTGAGAATAATATGGTAGGTTATGGTTTACTGAGAAACTGGGACTGTCTTACAAATAAACCCCAGAGATGATACTATCTCCTAGCAAGCTTGTTCTTCCATTTACTTATCAGTAATCACCTCTGGAGTAAAAGAGAGAAATGGGTTGTTGAAAACATAACTGCTCACCTGCTTCTTTCCCTCAAGATTCTTTCTTGTTAAGCAGGTTACTGCAATATTCTTTTATCATCAAGGCATAAATCCTGTACAACCATCTTAATTTTGTTAAACTATTATCTCAGGGTTTATAATTGAATGCTTCTGTTTATCTGGGTTTAATTATAGGATACTGGAATGGCTTTAAAACTGATTTTGTTTTTGTGGAGCTGTTTTAGCTATTTCTGTAGTACAGAAGAATGCAAAAATACTATAGATTTAATATTTTATTTTTCATGGGGATGCCTAATAAGGTATTTATAAGGCCCAATAATGCCCATAGATAATTTTTGGTAACATGGCATATGGCCGTACTGGTTGAAGGTGATAGGAAATTTAAATCAGCAAATCTGGAGAACAATGCATTCGAAAGGCTAATTAGAAACATCCACCAAACCTTAAGTCAGCATCCCATCAGTAACATCTTCTGTAGCTCCCCCCCCCTTTAGTTCAGACTTTTGTGTCTGAGAAATCTGATGTGGTTTAATAGACTAAGATTTGGATTAACTGACTATAAAAAGTGATTGGCAATTGTACTTTCTGATAGATGACCTTATCTCATTTGCAGTGAATGTAATCTAAGAGTAAATAATTTTAAAAGTTCATCCTTCTGAAGTATCCATGAACTGTTCATGAATTGTTGTGATAAACTTATTTGAGAAAAATTCAGTAGCTTTACTGCTATCAAATACAGGGTCATTTTCTCGCAGGTCACTGTGAATTTGAACTAAAAATGCTTTGGTTTGGTTTGACCTGCCATCTTGGGGGCCTTCTAGTCCAGTCAAGAAGCAAACACAGAAGTGTACCAACTCACTCTTCATTGTAAGGTTACATTAACAAAATCTTGCAAATGTGAAATTACATTTCCCCCCTCAACTTTATAGTCCTAGAAACTAAGAAACCTCTGAAATGTTTCCCACATGCTCATTCCTTTTGTGGGCTCAGCTGCCTCTTGTCTGACCTTTGTCTAGTCTTCTGTTTCCCAAGGCCATTCCCACATACCATTACATCCTATTGAATGTTACAAGGTTTGGGTGAAATATAGATAGACCTCAACTTACGACCACAATTGAGCCCAATTTTTTTATTGCTAAGCCAGATAGTTGTTAAGTGAGTTTTGCCCCATTTTATGACCTTTCTTGCCAAAGTTATTAAGTGAATCAGTGCCATTGTTAAGTTAGTGACATGACTATAAAGTGACCCTGGCTTCCCCATTAACTTGCCTTGTCAGAAGGTTGCAAAAGGTGATCACATGACTCCAAGATACTGCAACCGTCATAAATATGAGTCAGTTGACAAGTGTCTGAATTTTGACTACATGACCACAGGGATGCTTGTAACAGTCATAAGTGTGAAAAACGGTCATAAATCACTTTGTTGTAATTTTGAACAGTCACTAAATGACCTGTTGTAAGTTGAGGACTACCTGAATTGTCAACTTTTGGGTATTGCCTCTTTGGTGAAGTTTTGAGAAGGAATGCTAAATGCTAATTCTGTCCTGGGGCATGATTTCATTTTACAGATTTAAGGTTTCAATTAAATTAATTAGCAATTTTATGATGTTTGTGTGTCTATATTTTTCTTGACTGTACACCGCCTTGAGTCCTACGGGAGAAAGGCGGTATAGAAATATAATAAATAAATAAATAAATAAATAAATAAATATCCATTTCTCCCAGGTATTGATGGAACCTTTAATAAAATAGTGTTCCTTGATAATCACTTCTGTAAGTTGTATTTTAAAGAATGTCAAAGGTTTTGATGACTTTTACATAACTACTTCTTTCAAAGAGCCTTGTGAGATCATGCCTCTTTTATTGCCATATAAAAGGAATCCCAAGGATGATTTAAAGCACCCTTCCCCAACCTGGTGTTCTTGGGATGCGATGAGATTTATCATGCTGTCTTGAATTCTAAGAGTCTCCAACAGGAGGGACACTTGGTTGGGGAAAGTTGGTATATAGTATATCAGCCTTCCAATAGCAGGAGTTTCCTGTCAGAGTTCAGAGCAATATTTAAGCTGGCTGAGGAATTCTGGGAGGTTGGCCCATACACTTTGGCCAGATAAAGGAAGGCTATAGTAAATTATCTGCTTGCTTTGTTATTGAAACAGCATAATCTCAAATTATGCAAAACAAGCAGCATATATTTGCAGCATGCAAACTATCTCCTTCCATGAAGATGGAGCAGGAAAGTAAGGAATTCAAAGCGTATTTATAACCTGTTTCTATAGACTTCTGCTGCAGCATTTTCACTGAATTTAGTGTAATTCCTGCCAATATTATTTATTTATCCTTAGCCTCAATTACTGAATGCTATAAAAAAAATGACATTCCCTAGTAGTTATTAACTTGCAAGACATCGAGACAGAAACATTAATTTAAGTAATTCAGCAATTCTGCCCCCCCCCATTTTTATTTCCAGACTGAACTTGTTGGCCTTGTCTGAATTATAAAAGATTGAACTGCCTCCCTTGATGTGAACTTCTGGGGCAGAGACAAAGAGAACAATAGGAGAACTCCTATGTTAGACAGATGCTATGCATGGAATAGGCAGGCAAAGAAAGCCTCTTAAAACTTGCATAGCTGCTTTCTTTATCCATGCTTTGCTGGAAAACATTCATGCTCTAATTATTTCCAATTATGGTTCAGTTGGATGCTAGCATGCCATATAGATCCCCTATGGAGTGAGGGGGAGGTACATACACAAGCAAGCTGGAGGAGTATCACGGTGTCTCTGTATAGCCAGATTGTGCCAATCAGCATGCAAGCAGAAAGGGAAGAAGGATTAGCTGACTTGTTAGAATAGCAAGGGGACAGATAGGACAGGATGTTCTCTAGGATTGGGAATCATAACCACTTTACTGTGACTTGGCTCTGTATTGCATAACATCTACCTCCGGGAACAGCATAATAAGATTGAATGTCATCATTGATCTATTAATCCACTTATTGCTCATCAAATAAGGAACATTTTCATTTTGTCATATTAATAAACCGCTCCTATCAATTACTGCCAGCATCTGGGTAGTGAACAGCAAAGCAAATTGGAAATAATAATAAGAACATCAGCACAATACTATCCAGGATAAATGGCTACAATTGAGTTGAATGAACATTGGAATACTATAGTTTTAATGGCCTTGCAAAACGAAAGGAGCAAAGTGGAGGGAGTGGGTCAGAGTACAGGAGCTACAGTGAGTAAGGATTGATGCTCGACCCATCCTCAATGCAGTTCTCATGGGGAAGGGGTCTCCACAGGATGTGTCTAGCAGTTTAAACTATACAATAGAGGGAATTTAAGTTCTAGTAGGTCATGTCTTATGTAATCCAGTGCTCTACCCTAATGGGCTTATTTACCTTTAAGAAGCAGATTTATGTCTACAGGTAATAAGCTATCCTTTCTAATCTATTAACCAGCCCTGGGTTTGGTCATGGGGAGGAGAGATCTTATTTAGGTTATAGCTAAATAGGTAAATCCCATGAGCCTTGACTCTGATATTTCTTGATTTGTAGAGTGTTCGATGTGAAAACTGAAGTTTCAGGTCATTCTCTGCCGCCCCCCACCCGAATCTCAGTGTCAGAATTGAACATTTGAAAGGGCCATATGATAGTCTTAGAAAATTCTGCTTCAACATGTTGAAGAATTAGACAATTTTTTTAAGCTCGACCTACTGGCATGGTTGTTGATTATTTTTTTAAAAAGCTAAAATAAATTGAAAAGTAGAGATTTTTAGATTATTGTTTATGTTCAGTTATTCAGACAATCCTTAGTTTGTTTTCTCTTTCTTCTGCCAATATTTGTAAGAAATATGGAGAATGCAAAATCCTATCAACATTTTTACTCTGGACTATAGTAATAAGCCGTTTTACGGGAGTCAGGATTTGCAAATCATGTTTTCAAATTATAGATTGTAGCTCCAAAAATTGCTTTCTTGGGATGGATTCATACATCAAATTGTCACTATAGCTTAGTGTAAATACATAAAAGCTTCCTAATATTTCTAACTTCTAAATAAAGTTTATATACGAAACTACTAAAAGCAAATAAAATGTGTCTGTGTGTGTATGTATCTATACATTTCAATGTATAAGATCTTTCAAAGGGTCTATTTTTTGAGAATTTGTGTTGAGATTTCAACCATCAACTGAATATTAAAAATTGGTTTGATTTTGAAAATTTGTAATAAAAGGCTCCTTCAGCATTTTAGAAACCACCACGGGGTATCTATTGCCTTTGATAATGCTGAAATATTAGTTGAATTGTGCCTACACCTGATTAAATTATCTTGCTTTCTCCTACAAAGAATCAAATCTGCTCCTGAGTTAAGGAGCTTTGATCGCTCTGCTTGGGGGTGAGGAAGATAATTTATGAACATTTAATTGAGTCTGACAATTGTCCTTGGAGGATAAATGGGACAAAGATGGCATGGCATAGCTGTCTGTACCTTCCCCCAAATGTGGTTTTCCATTCCTTTTGCAGCTTCAGGCAAGGTGCCTTTTGCCTAGGTAGATATGCTTGTTGAGCAGGATAAAGCAAAATTTATCTTTGCCAGAAATATCTTTAATACATTTATTATTCTGTTATTCTGATGTATTTTTAAAATCCGACATTTTTAAAATCTGGGACTAGAAATACCTTGGAACATTTTCTTAAGCTGTTAAAATATTGTATTTTAACTGGAAATATAATTGTAATACTGGATATCAATTTTATAGTATTTAGAATATAAATATAGTGCTGAATGCCAAGTACTAATGGTTGAACTGAATTAACGTTCTATGTGGATGACACACAAATATTGCAAGGTAATGTAAAAGGCCTTCAGAATTTCTCATCTGCAAAATCTGGTTCAAGACCATTTGGTGTGGATCATTCTGAGTTTAGCATTGCATCCATTGTATTTTTTCCAATGAAATATAATTGTCTATGTTAACATAGTACACTAAGCCATAGCCTATGGTTTACAAATTACAGTGGCTAGGCTTATGTAGTATAGTGAACCATTAGAACTTAATGCGTTAATTGACCAATGTACAATTGTTCCATGCAATCACAGAGCTAAAACAATTTTTAAAATACTTTTTCAGACCTTGGAACCTGTTAGTTAATATGATCAAGGGGCAAAGCTCTAGTGATAGAAAATTGCCATAGATTCTTTTTTCTCCTTAGTTTCTTGTGGAACCCTATGCTTTGTGGACCACAGTTTAGGGGGAAAAAATATTGAACTGCAGTGAGAATTAAACTTAGCATTCTAAGAAGTTCTTTTTTGTTGTTGTTTTCTTTAGTTTTTTTAAACAAATATTTACCTATTATGATATACATATGCCTATTGGCATTCCAATTGATTAATTTACTATATAGAATGCAGATGGACTCAAATGTTCATATTATATGTACTATATGCAGAGTTATTTTAAGCAATTTCCTTTATTGCTCCTTATAGTTCCCAAACTAAAGCAACTACTTGTTATCATTAAAGATATACTCTTTAAAGATATAAGTTCTAGGAAGGAACTTTCTTGATCCTCTTTCTCCCAATCAAACTATCTAAACTTTGCTGTCTCTTGGTTCTCTGGAATGCAGCCCCTCCTTCCTGAAAATCCATTCCACCACATCTTCCCATCAATGGAATATTTATTACCGTTTTCAAAAATTATTGAATTTTGCACATTGGGTTCTGTGGGCATCTCCTTGGATCTCTGCCAGGCTTCCTGCCCCAACTGATTTTTTTAAAATTTTAAAAATAAAATAGAAAGCTTGCATAGTGTGACACTGAGTACTACTGTCCAACACGTTTTAAAGCTAATTTAAATTTACTTAGGAAATAAAAATGGTATGTGGTTGTAATCCAGTCGTTTGTTCAGAAGTTGCCACTTCCCATCAACCTCCTTTACCAAGCAAAAATAACTTCAGTAGCATCATGGGCTACTGAGAGAGGTCTACGAAGCAAGCTCACTGGTTTCTTTCTCAATAAATGGGGCTTCTCTGGCTGCCCATGCTCACATTGGCATCCATTTCTAAATGCTCAAGCCATGATGTGAAACACACATAACTGGCTCTCAGTCTATATTCCAAAGTGCTTATGCCTCTCGCATGTACTAAGTTCAATTCTCTTGCTCTTTGTTTTTTCCATAGTAATATGTTCCGAGCGAGTTGAGAAGATCACCAAGACATATCATGATATAGATGCGGTCACCACCTTGCTGGAAGAGGTACCCTTCACCAATTGTTCTTTCAGAATCTTAAGTCAAAACATTGTGCAGCCTGGTAGAGTGGTACAAAGTTCAAAGTGGTTCTGGTCTTTCCTAACACCTGATCCTTATGACTGTTAATTATGGCATGGGCAGGAAAAATTCCATAAGAAAGGTCTTGGTTTGGGGTGGATGTGGAAGGCACAAAGAGGAGAAGAAATTGATTGAGGAGTGGCGAGTGTTGAAAGACCTAAAGTTGTTGAGAAAGTGATGATGGTAGAAACCAGGTAGCATGTGTGATGAGATGGAAGCCTATTAAGTGAAACTATGCTCTCCTGTCTTCCCTGTTTTCACAGAAGGAACATGATTTGGAGTTAGCAGCCCGCATTGGACAAACATTGCTCAAACAAAATCGGAGTTTGTCTGAACGCAATGAGTTCTTGGAAGAGCAGCTAGAATATGCAAAAGAAGAGGTAAGGAAAAAGTCTATTCTGCATGTTAAAAAGAGAACAAAAAAATAAATATTAGGGAATGGTAGATCTTGAGTTTGTTTTTTAAAAAGACATTTGGAGAGTCAAGTCGGGAATTATTTGAGGCTGACTCAGATTCTGAGATATCCATAGTAGCTGAATGATGGTTTAAGGTTTTATAGCTCCCTATGTTCTTGTTTATATCTCATTCCATTGTTTCTCCTAGAATCTGGGCAGCCTGTTGACTTCTCACTCTATTTTTCCCTATCTCCAATAACCTTTACAATAGCTTGTATATGGTTTAAGGTGAGAAAGCAGTTGGCTAAAGTATCATTCACAATCAATAAGGGTTTGAGTTTGGGTCTTCCAAGCCCCTAGTCCAGTCTTCAAAACTAGCAATTTCCAAGCTGCTGCTCACCCAATGTACTGGCTAGAAATTCTTGAAATTGGGAGTTCCAGCACATTTGAGGTGCTCCACTTAGGGAAAGACAGGATTATAGGTGTTAGGCTGGCACTGGGAAGACCCAATCCATCCTCATCCATGGAAGCTTCTCTTAGTCCAGCTTGATTTGCAGAGGTGGCATTGTGGGGAAAATGGAAAGAGGGTAGCAGAGCTGTATCAGTTTGTATTCCTGAACAAAAGGTGGCATATAAATTTAACAAATAAATGTATGCCATGTTTAGGAGTATGCATTCCTGAGTGTGCCATAGTACAAGTAATCCTTGACTTACAACCATTCATTTACTGACCATTCAAAGTTTCAATAGCACTGAAAAAAAGTGACTCATGAACAGTCCTGGCACTTAGACCATCGCAGCATCCCCACGGTCACACAATAAAAATTTGGGCAACCGGCCTGTATTTACAACAGCTGTAGCATCCTGTGGTCATGGGTCACTCTTTGCAATCTTCCCAACAAGCAAAGTCCACAGGCAAAGCTGCATTCATTTAACAGCTGCATATGAATTCATTTAATTGCAGTGATTTGCTTAACCTTGGTAAAAAGGATTGTAAAACTGGGGACAATTCACTTAACAACCATTTTACTTAGCAACAGAAATTCTGGTCCCAATTTTGGTCAAGGACTTTTTATGTATACTTTCCTGCGGCTGAGCAAATAAAAAATATTTATCTGAACTTTTTGTGTCTTTTAAAACCCAGATAGCTCAGTTGAGACATGAAATATCGATGCGGGATGATCTTCTCCGCATGTTTACCAACAGCACTGAAGAGAGTGAGCCAACTTCCATTATTTCTACCCCGTGAGTATTTAAGCAACTGTGTAGGGTGTCACCTCTCTCCGATATATCTCTTGCAGAGAAACATCAGTGGGAAATGTTGGCAGGAAGGGGGTGGGACATAAAGCAATTCTCAGTTCATTTAGGATACCACAACTTGTATAAAATAATCAGATTTGAATTAAATGTGATATTTGAAATGAAGTGAGTGATTTTTTTTCTGTATGTAGCCAACAAAAGGGTGGAGAGAGATGCCGCATCAAGCACAAAATAATAAAAATATTTGTCTTAATATTAAATTTATTGTTGTAACCATAGATCATAATATATAATCTACTACAAAACAGAATAAGATAATTGTAAAAGTGTAAAGTAAGTAAAAGGGTTACAGCAATATAAAGCAAAACTACAATTAAGAATTAAATATTTCTAAACATAAATAACAGCAGAGCGAAAGTAGCAACTTAATTGCTCACAGTTTCGGACATGTCTGCTGTAGTATTGGAATGCTTTGAATGGAAACCTGTATTACTGGAACTCTTTGTGTGTTTCACAATGCACAAGGCAGCTTTCATCCACATGTTTCCTTCAGGTGTATGTTGACTTCAACAATCATTTCCCTCTAGCTGGCTGCAAATAAAGATAGTTGTTCTATCAAATGCTTCTCATCCCCACCTCTACACACACACACACACACACACACACACACACACACACACAAAATTGAGTTCTATGGATCAACTGAAATTATACATTGCACAATGGCAGTATTAGTGTCAGAATGTAAATATGCATTTTACACGGCAATTTCAGCTGGAGGAAAGAAGGTGGAAAAGAGTTGTCCAAGCATCTCTTCCCCCCTCCCCCCACTTTTCTCTCGTCCTGTCTGGGGATTAAGCAGGCTGCTGCAATGGATTAAGCAACTGGTATCTGAGACAGAAATTGTCAACAATGTCAATTTCTCACTCAGCTGTAATGTGATTATAGGTAATCTCTCACTTATGCCCATTTAATGATGGTTTGAAGTTACAATGGCCTCAGAAAAAAATTACAACCTGTCAAAATTAGGACTGTTGGGCCATCTTGCAATTTGGGTGCTTGGCAGTCGGTTTTTACTTTGACAGTTACAGTGACTTGTAGTCACATGTTCACAATTTGTGACATTCACAGTCGGTTTCCGACAAGCAAAGTCAATGGGTTAATGACTACAGTAAAAATGACTGTAAAATTGGATTCCCCTCATGTTATGTTTCATAACCGCATCATTTAACAAAAAAATTGTTATAACAATAATACTTAGACTTAAATACAGCTTTACAGCTGTAGTCAGCATATTGCCCCAATAATCTGGGTCCTCATTTTACCAATCTCAGAAGGATGGAAGGCTGAGTCAACCTTGAGCTGGTGAGATTTGAACTGCCAGTAGCCGGCAGTCAGCAGAAGTAGCCTGCAGTACTGCATTCTAACCACTATGCCACCATGGCTCTTATGATGATCACTAACTTGTCATGATGTATGGACCCCAAAATGCTATAAATCCAAGATTCATATGTGAATTAAGCTACATTGGTTTGTTTAATAATCATCTTTAATACAAACCCTGTATGAACCATCCCTGACTGGCAATGGCTCTCTAACTTTTTGGGCAGGTGGTTCTCTAGTCCTGTGAAATGACAAAACCTTAAACTTTCCCTGTGCAAAGTTCTGTAATTATACTAATGGCTCCATTTCCTTTCTCCACTGCTCATTGTCCCACTTTTTCTCCAATAGGTTACGAAGGAATGATTCTTCCCTCTCTTTGGAGCAGGGATTGCAATATGATCTTCTTCAGCAGAAACTTAAAGGGTTGGAAGAGGAGAACCAGAAACTGCGTGCTGAAGTAAGATTCAGCTGCCTATTGTGTATGTGTGTAAGGTCATCACGCCTAGCAATGTACTGTAAGATGAACTGTTTTATTTCTATTGTATGTTTTTAAATAGCTATTCTCATACATTTAAAAAGATGACTTGTATGAACTTTATAATAAATTAGATTTGGTTTCAAATGGCTGGATCCCAGCAGCAGCACAAAACTGAATTGCAAAGTTTTTGATGGTTTGGAATCCACAAATACTTTTATTAAAACCAACCAAAGGATGCAAGTTTCCACATCACTAGAATTCTCTCACTAGATGCAGATTTCTGGAAAATTCAATCTTGCACATTCTAATTACATATAGAGTGTCACAAGTCTTCACATTTTCCCCAAATCCGGCAATTAAATCTAAACTAAGTGTTTTGTTCTATAATTTGGGGGATTCTTCAAAAAGAATTTGACCCAGCCTCCTATTTATTACAATATCCAGTTTTGCAGGGTTTTTATCTTTGGCTAGATGCCAACAATACTCTTCAAACACTGTAAGGATATGTGATACTCTCTGAGCTTTTGTTTGCTGGAAGATGTTTTCTCGCTCAACTAATAATTCCATCAGTTCTTTTCTATTGGAACTATAAGAATATTCTAGTAAACCAGCCTTATGGCCATATAGGGGATAGGTCAATAGAGTCTTTGAGCCATATGGTCCCTTAATTCCCTGTACGGGGACTCTAGGATGAGTCTCATTTATCCCATCCTGAAGACATTTCTAGACAAAGAACAGATTTTCTATTTGTTGCTCCTCTTATCTGATTAAAAACCCATGTATTTCATCCCAGATTGTCTTGTGTTCGCCTCTATATGTGCTATTTATTGTAATAAAAGATTCTCATTCGCATTTCTTTACATGTATTTTATGTTGTTTTATTCATTATTGTATTTTTTCCCTCTACTTTTATAGTCCGTTCTTATTCCTTGTTACAGATCTTATATTTACTACATGTTAATTGACATATATGCATATTTATACTTATTTCTTAGATTTTTACATCACTGTTTTCTGGCTTTATGGCTGTAATAAAGGGATTGGATTGGATTTTATTTTCTCCAAATATTGTGCCAATAGTCTCAAATTATAACTCTCTATCTTTCCATCTCAGGCTGCAAACATTGCCACAGAAACATATGAATATGAGGAGCAGGAACAGAAGCTCATGCTTGATTGTGTGGAACAATTTTGTAAGTTTTTTTTTCTGAAGAGAGAAATTTTGATGTGGAGTGGGGGATAGGAACAATCTCACAGTAGCTTTAAAGTTCTTCATTTTCTGGTATAAAAGATACAATGAAAATGAAATGAATTATAATTGACTTTATAATCTACCGATCTCCTGAGGCTCAGCAGTGCTTTGAAGTGAAAGAATTATTTCATTTATCTTTCAAATGCTCCCAATTAATTAATTCTTCTACACATTCCCGTCTTGTTTTCAGTTGGCTGCCCTGCCAAGGGATATTTGTAGCATTAATCCAATATGTTTGATAGGAGTTAGGTTGGAGAAAGTTGACACAAGCCAATCCATGAACAGTTTTGGCTATGCCTGATGTCAGTAAAAGTAAAATTATCTACTACTATATCTCCCTACTGAGATGTGTGTGCCAGCACAAATACATATATGCCTCAGTAGATGATTGTACCTAGTTGATCTTGGACTTAGAAATTAAGCGAACCTATGCTATATAATTGTTAAAATAATCCCATTGTCTAAGTTTAACTGTGGCTATATTGGAGCCAACTTTACATGCTTAGTAAAAGGGTTTCAGTTTCAGCATGAATGCCAATTGCCTCCTGTGTATTTGAAGCATTCTTCCCAGTGTAATAATACATTATAATCACATGCACCTACAGCATAGAATTAACAAGTGAAAATGAGCTCAATCTGTGTACTTTTATAGTAGTCTGGATGCTTGAAAGATGATGGAGATAGGACATAAACAGTAGGGCAGAAGAAAATAAATGTCACCCATTGCTATGCAATGCAGATTTTTGTTGAGTATTTCAGAAGCTACTCTATATTCCAAATAATAATAGTCTTATCTGCTCTCCTTTAGCTGATAGCAGCCAGCAAGTTATCCTGATTTCTGAGGAGCTGGCTCTCAAGACAGAGGATTCAATCCGGCAACAGGAGGAGATTAGCCAACTTCTAGCACAGATTGTAGAGCAACAGCAGAAGTGCCGTGCGGTAAGCAGAGGAACTGAACAAATTTGGCTAGCTTTTGTTCTTTATTTCTTTATTTGATTGATTGATTTGATTTTTATAACCTTCCATCTCGCATACAAGACTCTGAAGGGTTTATAATAATTATTAAGAGCCATGTTAGTTAGAATGCAGTACTGCAGGCTACTTCTGCCGACTGTCAGCAGTTCAAATTGTACCAGGCTCAAGGTTGACTCAGTCTTCCATCCTTCCGAGGTCAGTAAAATGAGGACCCATATTGTTGGGGGCAATATACTGACTCTGTAAACCACTTAGAGAGGACTGTAAAAGCACTATGTAGCAGTATATAAATGCTATTGCTATTATAAATAAAGATAAAAAAATAATGCAGTTTTAAAAACATATAAAACCATATTAACCCTATATAAGTGGTCCTCGACTTACAGCAGTTCACTTATTAACCATTTGAAGTTATAATGGCACTGAAAAAAGTGACTAATGACCATTTTTCTCACTTATGACTGTAGCAGCATCCCCATAGTCATGTGATAGAAATTCAGGCACTTAGCAACTGTCTCATATTTATGACAGTTGCAGTGCCCCAGGGTCATTGCGACTCTCTGACAAGCAAAGTCAATGGGGAAACTTTATTCACTTAACAACCATGTTACTAATTTAATAACTAATTAAATTAGTTATTAAACTAATTTAATTACTTAATTTATTAAGCCTAATTAAAATCACTGAGTTACTGATTTAATAACTTCAGTGATTCACTTAACCAATATAGCAAGAAAAGTCTTAAAATGGGGCAAAGCTTCTCAACAAATTTCTCAGCAACATAAATTCCAGGCTCAGTTGTGGTTGTAAGCTGAGGACTACCTGTATAACAGTAGTGAAGGTATAAAAACAGTCAGCAACATTCCACATAGTTATTGCACAGGCTCTACTGTACATCCGGATCCTAAGCCCAGTGACATAGCCATGTCTTAAAGGCCTTATGACAGCTGGTACGAATGGGATCAATCTAGTCTCCAGGAGATGACATTCCAAAAATCAGGTGCCATTCAGAAAAGGCTTTCCATCTAAGTCCTGCCACACTCTAGCAGACCCAGGGTATATGCCAGAGTCATTAGACCAGGGGTGAAATGCTCCCGTTCGGACCGGCTCGGGCGAGTAGGTAGCAATGGCGGCGGGCAGTTCGGAGAACCGGTAGCAAAAATCCCTGCCCCCGCCCCCCATGCCCAGCTGAGCCGCGCGATCATCCTTTTTTTCCTTTTAAATGGCTCTGATGAGCCAAGCTCTGACGATCCCAGCTGAGTTGCCTGCTAATCAGGCAACTCAGCTTGGATCGCCAGAGTCATGTAAAAGAAAAAAAGTTTCTTTTTTCTCCCCCCCTCCCCCCCAGCCTCCAGCTTGCTTACCTTAGCTGCTGGTCGCAACGCTGTAATACCTGCAATCCATTGCATCAGCAACCAACTGAATCTCCCTGCCTGCAATCAAGCTCATCGGTGAGCAGCTCTATCTGCAGCTTTAAGACTTGTGGACTTCAACTCCCAGCAAAGCTGGCTGAGGAATTCTGGGAGTTGAAGTCCACAAGTCTTAAAGTTGCCAAGGTTGGACACCCCTGTTCTATTGGGTAAGTTTTTTTCCCCTTTGGGAGCTTTAAAAAAAATAGTTAATTGTGGGGGGTTTTTTAGTTGTTCTTTTTTTAGACCTAGGCATTTAAAGTTTAGGAAGTTTTAAATTTAGCTACTTTTATATAAAAATAAAAATAAATTAAAATAAAATAATATTTGTGCAGCTTTCTGAGATTTAGTGTGTTTCTGTAGTGTTTTACTCTAACTACACAGACACACAAAATCTCACAAAGCTGTATGTGGAATTTTGTGTGTGTAAAGTGTGAAAGTTGGTTTTTTGGGGCTTTTTGTGGCTGTGAGGTTCCTGCTTGTTGCAGGGGCCATTTTGGGTCTAGCACAGCTGCTTTTACATTGTGGGTGAGTCAGTTGTGTTGTTTTGTGTGTGTAAAGTGTGAAAGTTGTTTTTTTGGGCTTTTTGTGGCTGTGTGAGGTTCCTGCTTGTTGCGGGCCATTTTGGGTTTAGCACAGCTGCTTTTACATTGTGGGTGACCCAGTTGTGTTGTGTTGTGTTTTGTAGGTTAAAAAAGGGCAAAGAAGTGACATTGACTTGGCCATGCCCACCCAGTCACCTTACCACCAAGCCCCGCCTACTAATTAAGCCATGCCCACAGAACCAGTAGCAAAAATTTTTAGATTTCACCCTTGCATTAGACGACTCCACTCTTACTGAAGTTTGTCAGTAACAGTTCAGTCAGAGCGAGGTATACATTTAATTAATAAGAATAATAATTCAGGAAGAGACTGATCAGATTTTCTGTGTAGTAGTAGAACATTTAATAGCATATGTTACTCTGTATAGTCCTTAAGCCTACATTCATGCTAATGATCTAGTAGCATCAGCACAGAGAAAACATCGAGGCTCAAGATAGACGAGGAAGCAAGTTTGCCCTGAGAAGTCTGTAAATTCCTTAGAAAGAAAGAGGAGTGTTCTTTTTACCGTTTTTTCTACTTCAAAAATCTATAGCAAGAAGGCAAAAGCCCCTCTGTGTGTGTCTGCACAAGGTAAGCTTCAGATTCACACATTTCCTTCTGCAATCCTAGTGCTGGTGTTTCTTCTTTCACAATAAAGCTGTTCAGCACATTCAGATAGTAACTGAGCTAGTAAAATAGTGTTATTTTGATTACTCCAATTAATTTACCCTAATGAATTTCTGTAGCATTGGTAGGCCAGCTGATACCAGATGTTGGGTTTCAGTTGCCATCAGCCCAACCAGTTTGGCTAATGGCAAAAGCCTGTGGAACATGTAGTCAAAGAACATCTGGAGCATCATCCATCTGTCCCCAGACAAATAAAACATGTCTTCCAGCTTGAGTTGTTTTTATAATATCTGATGTACAATTTTCAACTAGACTAATTTCTTAGTGGCTTTGGGCTAATAGGATTGTTTATAAAATTGGAGACCCATTGTTCTTAGGGAGGCATGTATTCTGCTTGGCCCGCTTGTGATTAGAATACAATGGCTTTCTGGTTTTTCTTTGAAGATGTTTTGCTTCTCATCCAAGAAGCTTCTTCAGCTCTAGAAGCTTCTTGGATGAGAAGTGAAACGTCTTCAAAGAAAAACCAGAAAGCCCAATTGCCTCTTGAAAAAGCACTTTTGGGACAATCGTGTCCTGAATGACTGAGAATCTCCATAGACAAATTGAATGGAATAGAATTAGAAATAGGAATAGGATACTTTATTGGACAAGAGTGATTGGACACACAAGGAATTTTTCATCACTACATAAGGCCTTAGTATACATACAAACAACAAGGTAATATAATCGTAAGATACCAATAGGAGAAGGTAGTAGAAAAGATGAGGAGGATAATAGTAAATCAGTTGTACTTTAAAGATAAATATACTTAGACACAAGACTGTACTGTGAAGATTAGGTGTGGGAGCAGAGTGATGGCATGAAGGAAGAAACTATTTCTGTGTCTGGTTATTTTGGCAAGCAAATGTACTGTGGCTGTCCTGAGGCAAAGGGTTGAAACAGCTTATGTCAGTTTATGGGAATAAACATGCATTTTGAAGTGTTTATATTGTTAACTCTGTTGTGTACACATGTAGTGGTGGGGTGTTTTTTGCAGGGGGGTTGTCTTAAATAATTTATTATAGCACCCAAGTTACTCATCTGAAAAAAAATACATATCCTTAGCAGTGTAAACCTGGTGACTGATATTTTTCTCTCTTCCCTTTCTCCTCCAGTATTCTTCTGAAGTTGAGCAATTGCAACAGCAACTTGCTGCAAGCAAAGAAATCCAATCGCAGCTTCGCAGAGAGGTGGGTCCCTTGAGCAGCAAAGTGGGGAGAGAGGTGGCTGCATGGAAAGGATGGCAAGGAGCTCTGAGCTTTCCACAGATGAACCCAAATGGCTTTATGACAACATGTTATAGTTTTCTGTGCAAAGCCTTTGATGGATGTGTGTGTGAGAGAGGGGGGGAGGGGGGAGAGTCACAGTAGAGTTGAGCATTGGATGATTTGGGGGGGGCACATTTTTTAAAAAAATAAGCAGTGCCAGGACAAAGCAGGTAGTTGGGGCAGAACAGAAGTATGATTTAAAATTATATTAATACTTAATTTCATCATTTTTCCCACTTCTGCCCATCCTAGAAGTTATATCTATTTTGCTCAAATTGGCAGAAACTTCTGAAAGAAGAAACGTACATCCAAATGCCATAGAAGTATACAGGCACAAAAGAAATTATTCTTGTAGTAATCATGTATACGATATGCTAAGATGCCTTGGTTAGATATCTCATTTCTGTAATCACCTGGTTTCAACCATTGCGGAACAAAAAGGGGAAAAAAACATCATTGATGCTGACTCCAGTTTAGACCCCCTCTGATAGCTAAAACATCAAGAAATCATTGATTACTCAGGTCACATCTGGAAATGATGACTCAGCTTCAATTACCCGCATTACATCAATCTCAGCAGGCAAGCAGTGCTCCACTGCTACATGATTTTGGCTCACAAAATGGTTTAAAATAGCTCTGTGTGGGAACCCCTTCTTTTTAGTTAGTGTCTCCCTTTGCTCACTTGGCTTGGCCCCATTCAGTATGATGTTCCTGACTTTTTGTTCTATTCTGTGGTATCATTTCAGCTCCAGGACACACAGGAGAAATACACAGAATGTGAAGCAATGTTGCATGAGGCTCAGGAAGACATTAAAAACCTTCGCAACCGCAGTTTGCCCAACAGCACCATCCATCACAGTTCCCCCACCTTCTTACCCTTGGTAAGGATAGATAACGCATATATAGAGGATAAGAGCATATATGTATACCTGTGTGTGTATAAATGTAGAATATATAATACATATATAGTAGGAGGATACAATAACACATGCATATACACACATTTATAAATAAGATACATATGTAATCTAGAGCCAGATTGGTGTACAGTGTCAGACAGCAGGCTAGAAACTGAGATACTGTGATTTCTAGTTCTGCCTTAGGCATGAAACCAGCTTGAGCCAGTCTCCCCCCCCCCTCTCTCAACTCTAAGATGGAGGCAATGGCGAGCCACTTCTGAAATTTTGCCCAAAAAAATGCAGAGACTTGTCCTGGCAGCTGCCAGAAGTCAAACCATCAAAACAAAATAAAAATGCTCAGTATATATATATATATATATAAATATCAACATATAAACTTGGTAGGATGAAACTCATGACAGGAATGTACTGATAGAAGGATATAAACTATTCAAAAGAAACAAACCTAACAAAAAAGGAGGCGGAATTGCATTTTATGTTATAAATCTCTTCCTCTCCACAGAGATGCACAAAACCAAGGATGAAAACCTGCTAGAATGCTTATGGGTCAACATAAAAGGAAAAAAGAATGACATTATCATAAGCATATATTATAGGCCACCCAACCAAGCAGAAAAAATAGATGAACTTTTTGCTAACAAATGTATGTAGGAAATACATCACAGGAGTAATGAGGGATTTTAATTACGCAGACATTAACTGGGAGACAAACTCAGCAATAAATGGGAAATTGAACAGGTTCCTGGCCAACCTTTTGAATAACTTTGTTATTCAAAAGTAGAGGAGGCAACTAGAGGGACAGTCACACAAGACCTTATTTTTTCTATCAGAGAAGAAATGATAGAGGGAATAGAAGTTGAAGGAAATTTTGGAGAGAGTGACCATGCCATATTAGAGTTCAAAATAAAACAGACACAAGCAACAGAACATAATCAAATCAGAGTGTTAGATTTTAAAGAACCTGAAACAAACTCAGAGCTTGGGAAGGATTCCATGGATGAAAATGTTAAAGGGGAAATTAACTTAAGAAGCTGAGGAAACTTTGAAAAATATGATCATAAAAGCCCAGTCCAGCTCAATACCATTGGAAAAGAAAAACAAGAAATCCAAGAAAAAAATCATTGCGGTTGCATAAAGAACTTTCTGACTAACTGAAAGAAGAAGAAAAAGATAATTACAAAAAAATGGAAAAAGGGTCACATAACTAAGACAGATTATCAACAAATAGCCTGGACCTGCAAAGATGAAGATAGGAAAGCTCAGGCTCAGAATGAGGTAAGACTTGCAACAAATGTCAAAAATAATAAAAAGGGTTTCTTTCAACACACACAAAACAAGGAACAAGTCACAGAAGCAATCAGTTCATCAATGGGAGAAGATGGCAAGGAAGTAACAGGCAGTAGAGAGAAAACAGAACTGCTTAATTTATTCTTTGCATCTGTCTTCAGAAAATACAACCCAATTTATCAAAAGCAGAACTGCAAAAGACAGGCTAGGAATGCAAATTAGAATAAGAAAATAAGCAAACATAAGGTAAGATAACACCTGTCAGCTCTAGATGGATTCAATTCACCAGGTCCTGACAGACTACATCCCAGAGTTCTGAAGGAACTGGCAGATGTGATCTCTGAACCATTGAACCACATCTTTCAAAGTTCTTAGAGCATCACGGAACTACCTGAGGACTGGAAAAGAGATGATGTGGTTCCCATCTTCAAAAAAGAAGAAAAAACAGATCCAGGAAATTACAGACCAATCAGCCTGACACCAATACCTGAGAAGATCTTGGAAAAGATAGCCAAGCAACAAATTTGCAAACATCTAGAAGCATTAACCAATAGTCAACATGGGTTCATCAAAAATAGATCATGCCAAAAAGAAATTTTATTTCATTCTTTGACAAAGTGACTATCTTAGTTGATCAGCAAAATGCTGTGGACATAATACACTTAGATTTCAATAAGGCATTTGACAAAATAGAGTACAACCTCGGTAAACTAGAAAATTATGGGATAGATAGCATCACCACCAGGTTTGTAACTGTTTGACAAACCGTATTCAACATGTAGCTTCAATGGAACTACATCCACTTGGAGAGAAGTAAGTAGAGGGGTATCCGAATGTTCTGTTTTAGGCCAGGTATTCTTCATAAACGATCTAGATGAGGGAATAGAAGGGGAACTCATCAAATATGCGGATGATACTAAGCTGGTAGAAATAGCCAACTCCCCAGAAGATAGGCTCAAGATCCAAAAGAATCTCAACAGACTTGAACACTGGTCCTTACCTAACAAGATGAAACTCAATATAGATAAAAGTAAGGTTTTACACTTAGGCAAGAAAAAACAATTGCACAGATACAAATTAGGTGAAATTTGGCTTAATGCCAATAATTATGTGAGGGATCTTGGAATCCAAATGGATAATCACTTAAATATAAGCCAACAGTGTGCAGCAGCAGCCAGAAAAGCAAATGCAATCCTAGCTGCATTAATAGACTCATAAAATCAAGATCACGTGAAGTATTAGCACCGCTTTACAAAGCCTTGGTACAATCACACTTGGAATACTGCATCCAGTTTTGGTCACATAGTATGTGAAAAAAGTTAAGACTCTGGAAAGAGTGCAGAGAAGAGCAACAAAAATGATTAGGGGGCTGGAGGCTAAAACATATGAAGAACAGTTACAGGAATTGGGTATGTCTAGTCTAATGAAAAAGAAAAGGATTAGGGGAGACATGATAGCAGTGTTCCAATATTTGATGGGCTGCCACAGAGATGAAGTGGTCAAACTATTTTCCAAAACACCTGAAGGCAAACAAGAAACAATGGATGGAAACTAATCAAGAAGAGAAGCAACCTAGAATTAAGGAGAAATCTCCTAATGGTAAGAACAATAATAGTGGAATGGCTTGCCTTCAGAAGTTGCAGGTGCCCCAACATGGAGGCTTTCAAGAAGAGACTGGACAGCCATTTGTCTGAAATGGTATAGAGTCCCTGCTTGAGCAGGGGGTTGGACTAGATGACCTCCAAGGTACCTTCCAACTGTTCTCTTCTGTTCTCTTCTGCTCTGCTCTATTTTTAGGGAAGAATAACCTCTAGACTTTACAGAGCGGGGAACATGGGGGGAGGGGCAGTGGTGGGATTCAAATAATTTAACAACCGGTTCTCTGCCCTAATGATTTCTTCTAACAACCAGTTCACCAAACTGTTCAGAAAGTTAACAACCGGTTCTCCCGAAGTGGTGCGAACTGGCTGAATCCCACCACTGGGGAGGGGAGAAAGCACATCCAAGAGTGTGATCATTTTAATTTGTCCAAGACTCAATTGCCAGAACTGTTTTGTAATGGACTTTGGATGCAGGTGTTAGAGAAATAGTATCTCTGAGTAATGGCTAAGAGAACAGTCAGTGACTCAGTTTCCATATCACGCTGAGTCATGATTTCTTCAATAATGGTTTAATGAATACATATTTCTTGACTGGAGACAGAATACTATGCCACAAACCTCAGTTTGCAGAACTGGATTAATACATGCTAAATTTAAATAAACATACATATTATAGCTGGTGCTAATGTATCTTTCTGGTTAGAATTTAGGAGAACACTGTTCAGTTCTTGTGTTCTCACTTGGGAAGTTCTAGTCCAGTAGGAACAGAAAAGGAGAAATATCTTTAGGAACTTCCTAAGTACTATTACTTTTTGCTGCCAGAAGAATAGTCTGCCCATGGTTACTTTTTGTTACAGGATTCCCTGGCTGCAGAGATCAAGAGCACAATGAGAAAAGGGATGGACAGCTCTGGGTCATCTGAGTACAAGTGAGTGGAGAGTACAGTAGCATTCACAGATTGGCAAGACACCTGAATTTAAAAACAAAAAGCAAAACCAGTTTATAGCTCTAGGGATACCATGGTGACAAGGAAAAAGTAAGGGATGCTCACTACCAGGAGGTGATATTGTGAAGGAGGTGCTGGAGGAGGCAGCAAACTTCTGGAGTTGAACTGACTTAGACTGCAGATAAGTGGAGCTTAGAATGCTTCATGGCATTATGGACAGTAAAGGCTATGATTTTATTAAAAACAACACTGGGAAAAAATTGGCACCTACAAGTATTTCAAGGATGTGACTTTTGAGTCTTTTGACAAAGAGAGTGACCAACCTTCCCTTTGATTTCTATCACTGATCACAATATTTCCATCTGTCTGCTTATTTTCAGAAGCTTCCGGCGTGTGTTTGAGACAGTGAAGGCTGTGAAACGAGCAACAAAAGCTAAATCGGGAAGGGCAACCCCTTTGAGTCTTCCTCCACGTTCCCCGAAAGCAGCTTCAGTGGTCTGCAGTCACTTTAGCACTCCACGTAACAAACACTATGGTTCAGATAGCCCCATTATGCCAGAAGAAAAGAGTCACCTTGCTCCTGAAGTTCTCAATGATACCCAGTGAGTATTACTAAGATCTGGACTCCTCTGTGGGAATACAGCCTTGCAAATCCTGTAGGAGATATCTCATGGTTGAGTTAGTCCAGTTTCCCATCTGGCAATCTTCAGATGAATTAGGACTAGAGTTCTGGAAATTGTCATCCTCAAATATCCAGACCATGTTCTTAGGAAGCTTGGACTAGATCTTAAAAGGCCAAACCTACATAATTTCTGGCTCACCAGCCTTGGATTATGGCTATTTCCCAGGAGTTTAACAACGTATTCCATCTTCATTCCTTGCCCATAGTTATTGGTGGGTTATGAACCTATTCAAATAATTTATGGGGACCATATATTTCAAGGAAGACTGTTTACCTTGATGGATCCTAAACTTTCCAGACCATCCATAGTTGGAGGTAGTCCCATTGAAAGAAAAAAATGAGAAAGATTTGAGGACTGCTTTAAGAGACATCAAAAGATTCATCAATATTTTGCCCTGCTGGGCCTTTGATGAAGAATAAAATGTCAAATAACTATGTTTCTATCTCTAGGAAGCAATTCGGGGCATGGGCTTTGAGATGAAAAAGCCATAACAAATGGGTAGCTAAAGAAAGACAAATCTCATTCCTTCCTCACGTTACCTTGGATTTCTCTAACAAAACAAGGAGAGCAACTCTTACTACCCTATTTCTCTAATTGCTATGCCTATCCTGGCAAAAGCTTTCAGCTAGACTCCTTTGGCATTGCTTTTTTGAACTTTGATTTGCAAACCAAAATGGTGTCCTCTTGACACCTTGCATTGTTGGGCACAACCCAACAAATTGCAGATGTATCCAAAAATATGTCCTGTCAATCCCAGGGAACTTACTATCCATTCATGGTACCTTCTACCTCTAGTGAAAAATGTCTTGGTTCAAATCTTATAAAAGTGCAGTTCCCAAAAGTCCAGTCCTTGCTCTTACTGAAATCAAGACAAGATGTTGGTTTTTTTCTAATCTCTTATCACCATGTTTGTGTCTCCCATCCAGTTTCAATAGTACATTTTTTTGAGTCAGGGATCTGTTTCTGGGACAGATATTTATCTTTTTGTTGACTTATTGATGGATCATGGTCAGTCTGAGCTTCTCCGAAAGATGTTGAATGACAGTTTCTGGAATCCCCCACTGTCACTATGCACATTGGCGCTTTGAGGAGCTATCATTCAGCAACATCTGGAGAACCAGGATTTCCCCCTCTGGCAACAGGCTAATGGTGGTGCTTTCAGAATCAGATCCCCTTCACAACTCTCTTTATTTTAGCCGCGGCGTGGATGCTACATCAGGTACACCTGGGCGCCATGTCTTGGAAGCTGCTATCCAGAGTTTGTCTGCTCGCCAGAAGAACCACAGCACTGAGTATTCATTTTTTGAGATGGAACGTGAATGCAAACTGAAGCGTCTGGCTCGAGAGGCGGAGGATTTCAGTGGGTGTCTGACCCCCAATGGAAGCATCGCATCCATAGGCACCAACTATTCAGGCAGTTCTGGCACCTCCTTGAGCTCCTACTGTTGCTTCCCTGATAAGCTTCAAATTGTTAAGCCTATGGAAGGTTAGTGCAAAGGGGGAGCCCAGGCCTCTTCAGCTTAACTTTGAGTTATTCATTTAATGCGTGTCCTTTGGCTTTCCAAGCTCATTATTTTCAGAGTGCTATTTCTGAATAGTACAGGTAGTCCTTGACTTACAACCGTTCATTTAGGGACCGTTTGAAGTTACAACCGCACTGAAAAAAATGACTTATGACCATTTTCACCCTTTACGACTGTTGCAACATCCCCATGGTCACATAATCAAAATTTGGATACCTGGCTCATAAACTCATATTTATGATGTTTGCAGTGTCCTGGGGTCATGTGATCCTCTTTTGCGAACTTCTGACAAGCAAAATCAATGGGGAAGCCAGATTCACTTAACAACCATGTTACTAACTTAATGACTGCTGTGATTCACTTAACAACTATGGCAAGAAAAGTCGTAAAGAGGGGCAAAACTCACTTAAGAAATGTTGGGCTCACTTGTGGTTATAAGTCAAGGAGTATCTGTGCTACACTTCCAAAAGTAATCTTATTGAAATTCCAAAAGGGAAGGGAATTTCTATGGGCAAACCTGAACTGGAAGGGTGAATTCCTGGCAGTTCCAAGATCTAGATGTGGGGAGGGTTGTGTGAAAATATTTTATTTATTTATTTATTTGTTTGTTTGTTTGTTTGTTTATTTTTTATACTGCTCTTCTCCCGAAGGACTCAGGACGGTGAACAGTTAAAATAACATACATATAAAAATGTGAAATAAAAACAATTTAAAATAATTAAACCAATTTGGTTCATCAGTTAAGATCTTCAGCATAAAATTTAGACAATTAGAAATTTTTTTGCCAGCTCTGCTTGGTGAAACAGAAAGGTCTTAAGTGCCTGACAGAAAGTACGGAGATCTGGGATCATTTGTATCCCTGGGGGTATCTTGTTCCAAAGGGTAGGTGCCCCCAGAGAAGGCTCTCCCCCTGGGAACCACCAGTCGACATTGCTTTAGTGACGGCACCCTGAGAAGGCCCACTCTGTGGGAGCGTACTGGTTGGTGGGAGATTATCGGCTGCAGAAGGTGGTCTCGTAGGTACCCAGGTCCTAAGCCATGGAGCACTTTAAAGGTAAGAACCAACACCTTGAAGCGCACCCGGAAGACCACCGGGAGCCAGTGCAGCTCGCGTAGGAGAGGTGTTATATGTGAGTGCCATGTCGCTCCCAATATCACCCACGCGGCCGCATTCTGGACCAGTTGGAACCTCCGTGTGCACCTCAAGGGGAGCCCCATGTAGAGAGCATTACAGTAGTCCAGTCGGGAAGTGACGAGGGCATGAGTGACTGTGCGTAAGGAGTCCCGATCCAGAAAGGGTCGCAACTGGCGAATCAGGCGAACCTGATAGAAAGCTCCCCTGGCCACAGCCATCATATGCTCTTCTAAAGACAGTCGCGTGTCCAGGAGGACACCCAAGTTGTGAGCCCTCTCCGTGGGGGCCACTGACTCGCCCCTAATAGTCAACGATGGTATCAGCTGGTTATATCGGGATGCCGGCAGCCACAGCCATTCGGTCTTGGAAGGGTTGAGTCGGAGCCTGCTTCTCCCCATCCAAATCCGCATGGCTTCGAGGCACCGGGACATCACTGCAAGGGCATCATTGGGGTGGTCTGGGGTGGAGATGGACAGCTGAGTATCATCAGCATAAAAATGGCACTGCACCCCAAAACCATGGATGAGCTCACCCAGTGGCTTCACATAAATGTTGAACAGAAGAGGTGAAAGGACCGACCCTGCGGCACCCCACAAATAAGGTGTCTTGAAGTCGACCTCTGCCCTCCTGCCAACACAGACTGTGACCGGTCGAAGAGATAGGAGGAGAACCACCGAAGAACAGTGCCTCCCACTGCCAGCCCCTCCAGTCGGCACAGCAAGATACCATGGTCGATGGTGTCAAAAGCCGCTGAGAGATCTAATAGAACCAGCATAGAGGAGCAGCCCCTATCTTGAGCTCTCCAGAGATCATCAACCAATGCGACCAATGCTGTTTCAGTGCTGTAACCAGGCCTGAAGCCGGACTGGAACGGATCTAGGTAGACAAGTTTCATCCAGGTACTGCGGGAGTTGCTGTGCCACCACACTCTCAACAACCTTTGCCACAAAGCGAAGGTTGGAGACAGGATGGTAGTTTGCTAGAACAGCGGGGTCCAGAGAGGGCTTCTTGAGGAGGGGCCTCACCACCGCCTCTTTCAAGGTGGAAGGCAAGAAACCCTCACTCAGAGAAGCGTTTATAATCCTCTGGAGCCAGCCTCGTGTAACCTCTCGGGAAGCCAGTAGCAACTAGGAGGGACACGGGTTCAATAAACATGTGGTCGCATTCAACTTCCCCAGTAACCTGTCCATGTCTTCAGGGGTCACAGGGTCAAACTCATCCCAAATAACATCCTCAAGACCTGCCTCCATCACCCCGTCTGTACCTACCCAGTCAGAGTCCAAGCCTTCCCGAATTTGAGCGATTTTATAGTGCAGATATTGTGCAAAATCCTCAGCTTAACCTTGCAAGGGGTCTTCCCGTGCTCCCAGGTGGAGGAGGGAGCGGGTCACCCTAAACAAGGCAGCTGGGCGATTATCTGCCAATGCAATAATAGCGGAAAAATAATTATATTTTACCGCTGCTATCGCTACTAAGTAGGTCTTAATATAGGACCTCACCAGTGTTCGGTCAGATTCAGAACGACTGGCTCTCCAACTACTCTCCAGGCATCTTTTCCGGCGCTTCATTTCCCTCAGCTCCTTGGAAAACCAAGGAGCCGGGCGACTTCGACGCCAGGTCAGAGGCCGCAAAGGCACAACCTGATCCAAACACCAGCGGCCATCCTATCCCAGGCTGCCACCAGGTCTTCACTCGAGTTGTGAGCTAGAGTCTCAGGAAATGACCCAAGCTCCATCTGGAATCTATCAGGATCCATCAGGCGCCTGGGGCGGAACCATTTAATTGGTTCTGCCTCCCTGCAGTGGGGTGTAGCGGACAGAAAGTCAAGCCTAAGGAGAGAATGGTCTGACCATGACAAGGGTTCGATGACTATATCCCCTATATCTAGACCATTCAACCACTGGTCAGATACAAAAACTAAGTCCAGAATGTGTCCCTCCGTGTGAGTAGGGTCATGAATTAACTGGGTCAGGTCCATGGCCATCATGGAAGCCATGAACTCCCAAGCTACCTCAGACATTTCACTGATGGATGGCAGGTTGAAATCTCCCATGACCAGAAGCCTAGGAGTCTCAACTGCCACCCCGGCTATTATGTTGAGGAGTTCAGGCAGGGCTGCTGCCACGTGGCAGGGAGCCAGGTATGTAATCAGCAGGCCCATCTGTAACCCATGACCCCACTTCACGAGGAGGAACTCACATCCGGCTGTCTGAGGAACAGTGGCCTCCCTAGGATCAAGACCCTCCTTTATAATAACTGCCATTATAGGACAGCTCCTCCCATTTTAATGTGGAGAAAAATACAGACTTTGGGGGAGGGGTTGTTTCTTGTTTATTTTAAACTATATTCCTGGTAAGACTTACATGTACTTCATGAAACGGTGGTAGGAATAATCCCCGGTTTACCATGTAGCCTAATGATTGGAACAGATTTTCCACTTACTGAGGATTGAGCAGGAAAGGATTCAAGGAGGGGGCTCAGATACCGAGAGTAATCACAGGAGCCCAGTCTAAGGCAAGGACAAGGATGGAGCAGAAATAAGGAAAGACATCTAGGATTGTTCCTAGCCATTCTGATTTAAAAGGAAAAGTGAGATATCCTAGAAAGGAGAAAGCTTTAAGAAAGGCCAACAAAGCTAGCGATAGAGATTCATAGCGATAGAGACTCCAAAATGTGAAATTCACCAAGGACCCTTGCAAAGAAAGACCCAATATTAAAACATTGTTGGTTAGCAGCAGAAAAGGAGAGAAACGAAGAGATTATACCCAGATTCCGAGAAAAATCAGGGCTGCTGTTTCAAATTAGTTTTCATCCATATATAGGGAAACAATTGAACGAATAGTACTTCCTCAGGAATATCACAAGGCTATATTGGAACTAGCCATGAAAATCCACAGCCTGGACATATGCGTAGAAATGGGACCACATAGAGAACTTTGGATTTTATTGGCCAGGGATTTGTAAAGATGTGGCCCTTTACTGTGGATCCTGCCCTGTTTATCAATTAGTGAAATCAAAAGTGGAATACAATAAAGTTCCAATAGAGATAATACACTTAATTCCCATTCCTTTTTCTAAAATAGCACTGGACATTGTAGTTTTTCTGCCATGATCTAGTAAATTCAGTGAATATATCCTAGTTGTCTGTGATTAAGAAACTTGGTATCCAGAAGCAGTTCCACTGAGGAATGTGTGAGCTAAACAAATAGCTAAGGAACTGGTCAAAATCTTTAGTGCAGTGGTTCTCAACCTTCCTAATGCCGCGACCCTTTAATACAGTTCCTCATGTTGTGGTGACCCCCAACCATAAAATTATTCCTAAAACCATTGAAAATATGTGTTTTCTGATGGTCTTAGGCGACCCCTGTGAAAGGGTTGTTCGACCCCCAAAGGGGTCCCGACCCACAGGTTGAGAACCACTGCTTTAGTGGGATAAGCACACCAATCGAGATCCTCACATGTAGCTTTGTGAAGATTTAAGAATAAAAAGTCCTTATCATTTTCAGGCAGATTATTTTACTGAAAGGATGAACTAGACCCTGAAAATTATATTTAAGAAATATGCAGGCCAAGACCCAATATTTTGGATTACATGGCTGTCTATTCTATTGTTTGCATTTAAGAAAATTCCCCAGACATCCATGGAATTTTAATCCCCTCCTTCTTTTAATGAAAGAAAAGGGTTGAGGGCTTTAGACAGTATTAAGAAATGCTGGTGTGAAAATATAGAAGACCCTAAGAACTTAATATACAGTATACATTATAACTCAGAGGAATAAATTAAAAGCCCTAGGACTAAGGGTGAAATGTAAAATCTGTTACTACCGGTTCTGTGGGCATGGCGTGGTGGTGGTGAGTAATGTGATTGGGTGGGCGTGGCCAACTTTTTTTAAAAAAAACTTTTCAAAGCATTTTTTCTAATGCTTTGAAAAGCCTCTCTGCCGATCAGGAACTCAGCTGGGATCGTCAGAGAGGCTTTTTAAAAAAATGCCTCTCTGCCAATCAGGGAACTCAGCTGGGATCGTCAGAGACTTTTCAAAGCATTTTTTTAACCACTTCTTCGGCCAAGAGGTTGCAGAGAAAAATGCTTTGAAAAATCTCGGATGATCCCAGTTGAGCCACGCGATCATCAGAGGCTTTTAAAAGTTAAAAAAAAAAAAGCCTCTGATGATATCGTGTGGCTCAGCTGGGCATGGGGGGGGGGGTGCAGGGATTTTTGCTACCAGTTCTCCGAACCACCTGCCACCATCGCTACCAGATCAGGCGATCCGGTCCGAACTGGGAGCATTTCACCCCTGCCTAGGACACATTGCCCAGGAGCATTTAGAGAAAAGCAGAGAACGACAAAAGAGAGTCTGTGATAAAGGTTTAAAGGCAAAACAATTTAAAGGTTTAAAGGAAAGCAAGTATTTGTTGTTGTTGCCTAATAAAGAAAGCAAATTACAGGCTAAGAGGCAAGGTCCCTACATAGTAAAGGGAAGAATTGAGTCAGTGAATTATGAAATTGAACTGGAAGATAGAAAAAAGAAAATCTACCATGCCAACCTCCTGAGGAAATGCCACAATGGGTCTGAACCAAGGCACAATCAAAAGATTTAGAAAAGTTGTTATGGGATTGTAAAACATACAGTATGTTTTCCATGCAACCAGTTTTAACTGCTTTAGTAGAGCACAGAATAAAAATGGGTGAAACCCAACCAATTAGACAACGTTCCTATCGGATTCCTGAAGAGTTGAAATAAACAGATACCCCAGATGACATTGTAGGACTATCTGTAAGTGACTGGTGTTCTCCAATTGGGTCTTAAATCTTTCAAGATTCCCTCCGGCCTTTCATGTGTTGTCCATGTAGTTTGGAAATTTCTATTTCTTGTTATAATGTTGGTTTGCAATTCCCCATATTTCTGTTTAGGCATGCTACAAATGATTTTTGCTGGGATTTGTCACTGGGTCCAGCAAACTCAAGTAGACCTCTGTGCCTTCTCTTAGGTTCTATGACTCTGCACCACTGGCAGCAGCTGGCCCGGCCTCACCTGGCAGGAATCTTGGACCCTCGACCAGGTGTCCTTACCAAAGATTTCCGCCAACTTGACACTGATCTTGGAGAGGTCCACAATCTAAATGACTTAGAAGAAGATGACATGGATGCCAGCGCCTTGTCTTCCCTTGCTACCTCAACATCAATTAAAGCCAAAGAAAGGCCAACTGGTGAGTGGGCTAAGCAGGGTCACTCCTAATGGTATACATTAGCTTGTCTTGGTAAGACTTGAGGAAATCCTGATTTGAAAGTTAGTAAACATCACCTCATCTTTCTTGCAGGAAAGCAGTCATAATTTATTGGAAGCTGTGATAGTTAGTATATGCGCCTATTGGTGAGGTCCAAACTCAGCATTACTAGTATATATACTATGGGTGTTTTGGCAGTGTTCCTGTAGCAGTGAATCAGGTGGGGTCATGAGAATGTGAAAGTAGTAACTTTCTACTGGAAAACCTGTTTTCTTCTAGTTCAGTGTTTCTCAACCTCAACAAATATATGATACATGAATTTTAATTCTCAGAATTCTCCAGACAACAATGCTTGTTGTGTAATTCTGGAATTGAAGTTCATGCATCTTAAAGTGCTGAGGTATAGAAACACTGGTCTACTTTTTCAGACAGTTATTACCTGTCTAACTAAGCCAATCTTAGCCACAGTGAGAGATGGTGGGAGTTGTAGTTCAATAAAATCTTGGGAGCCACAGGTTCTCCACTCCTTTTCCAGCTGGAGGCTATGAATCATTGCTAACATATTAGATGAAATTTAATGCCCTATTGTTCATAGAAGCTTCCCCTTTCCCCTTTTCCCTTGATGTTTATCCACCTCCATGACCCCCCTCCCCATTCTACTCACTCATTAACCCTTTGTTTTCCTATCCCATTTAGTTTTTCACTCCGTTAACTATCTGCCCCAGACCCCGCCTACTTTCACCATCACCACCTGTTGCATCATGCACTCTAGCAAAGAGGTTACCATGGTGACACCCAGGTAAGCATCCTATTGCCCTTCCCTTAAGCTTTCCTGCCACCTGTCCTTCTTCTACGTGGGAAGGCCATTTCCTACCTAAAGGATGTGTATGGGCACATCTGGGATTTTTGTTTTCTACCTTTTGTCTTGCATTCTCCTCCTTCCTCATTGTCAAATCCTGACTTCAGGCATGTCTCCTGATATGCACGATTTCTGGGCATATGGATGGGAGTTCTGAAGTAAGACATCCTTGCTTGCTGCTTCCTTCCTCTCCATCCAGGAGCAGAACTTCCCTCCTTGATTCATCTCCTCCCAAGTGACCCCGGTTGGAGAAAAGGGGACCCAAGCCCTTTGGATAATGGCTGCAGGGAGGAGCAAGGCCTTGCAGGAAATAGAGAATGGAAGTTCATAGAACTGGGAGGAGGAAGTTATAACTCCTTAGTGCTGGGGTTGATTTAAAATGATTTCTGGTGATCAAGCCTGTCCAGAAAACTGGCATGATAAACTGCATATGCTTGGGGATATCTTACTTAACTGTTGGATAGTTAAAGCCGAGACTCAGTCCAGATGAAGCCCTGGCTAAGAACTCACCTGCTGGGCAGCCCATAAAAACTCGTGGGATAATAAAACACAGGCACCTGCCCTCGGTCAACATTAATGTTGGATGCAGTTGCTCAAATACTTCTTCAGAGGCTTTTAGTTGCTCTGAGCCTCTTCTCTCCCTTTATCTTCCCATTCAGTTGCCAATTTAAAGGAGTCAAAAATTCTTAATTCAGAAGCATCGAATGAGCAGTCTTCCCTGTTCTGGAGACCTTTGTCTTTGCTCGGTTAATGTTCAGAAGGTTTTGCTGAAGGATAATGGATTGATGAAGATTTGGGTGATAAGCAAAGCATATGGGTCTCCTTTCTCCTAAACAGCTCATTGTAAGGAAAGGAAGGAAGGAAGGGGTTTATTTAAGTCAGTTTTACTGTCATTCAGCAGAAAACATTGGACTACAGCTCTTATGATCCTGGGTTACATGGAGACTTATGAATTTATACACAACATTGAGACTGATTGTATATGACAAGCTTAAACTTTCAACCCAGGTCAACAAAATCCAACTGCTGTGTCCAGATCTCCAGATTATAATGTAATTAATAAACAATAGGGCTTCCACTGTTTGCTGAGCCATATGCTACTCAAACTCACTGTAGCCTATTCTTATTAGCCTAAAATAATTTTAATTATTTTTAAATTTTGTCTATCTTTGTGTTTTTAATTAGGCTGTACACTGCCCTGAGTTTTTCGGGAGAAGGGTGGTATAGAAATAAAATAAATAAATTAATAAATAATAAATAAATAAATAGCCTAATCTATAGCAGTTTGCAAATCCAGGAGCCATCCTTGGCGGTTGATATGGGCAGCTAGATTCAGCCTCTCTAGGAAAGTAAGATTTTAACCCACTAATTTTTTGCAGACTTCACTGCCAACCTCTCTTGCTTTTCTGCAAACTAACTGAAATGTGATGCTGACTTTCAATGCTGAGGCCTCAGATGATCCTGTCCTCAGAAAGATGAAAATGGAAAGCTAACAAAACTAATGCTGTTGAGACAGTTTTCTAAATCAGAAATGGACAATCATTAATATTTGGAGAAGGGTGGCAAGGAACCATTCCACTGTGCAAAATGACGTCAGTGGTGGTGTTAAATCTCAACCTGGAACATCTTTAAGCTTCAAGTATTTCTGTACACAAAGCATATTTCAGAACTTTCTGTCCTTCTGAGGTAAAATGAGGACCCAGGTTGTTGGGGGCAATATGCTGACATTGTAAACTGCTTAGAGAGGGCTATAAAGCACTGTGAAGCAGTATATAAGTCTAAGTCCTATGCTATTGTTACGCAAAACAAAAAGAAAAAAAATCAAACAATTGGAACTTACAGTTTATTTATTTATTTACTTGCATCCTGCCTTTATTGTTTTGACAAATAACTCAAGGCAGAGAGCATATCCAACAGACCTTCCTTCTCCTTTACTCCCCAGAACAACAATCCTCTGAGGTGGGTTGGATGGAGAGAGATTGAGTGGCCCAAAATAATGCAGCTGGTTTTCATGGCTAAGATATACAGGGTGAACCAGAAGTCCAGCCTCATAGGCCAATCACAATATGTTTTATTATTTATTTATTAAATTTTTATGACAACCATCTGTTTTATTAGGGGCCTCTAGGTCGTATATAGGCTATAAAACAAATAGAAAAATAATTAAAATATGTTAAAATGTTAAAACCACACAGATTAATTTTTTTAAAACTATAGAAAACTCAAAATTAAGAGACAGATGGCACAGGGATAAGGTCTTACCTTATCATGTACCCATTGATATTTTTAAAGGGAAAACATTTCAGTCTTAGGAATTTTCAAACATCCTATGTCAAAGAAGTAAGGAAGTTCTTAGAAGAAAATGTACATTATATTTAATGTAATTTAGTCAATGTGGCCTAGTTTTTTAGTGTGCCCTTTGAATATATGTGTGAATATGTTTGTCTTCAGTGACTAATATATATTTTTACACAGAAAAAAAGGGGCTGAATAACCAATCGTTGGCTACCTGTGGCCTCGGTGACACCCCCCATCCCCGCAATTGGTAGTAATGTTAGGAGCCATTATAGCCGTGATAGTGAACCTATGGCATGTGTGCCACAAGTGACACGTGTAGCCATATCAGTGGGCACACAAGCTCAGCTCTGGTGCACATGCGCACACCAGCCAGCTGATTTTTGGGCCTTCTGAGCCCACCAGAAGTAGGGAAACAGGTTGTTACCTGCCTCCGGAGGGCCTCGGGGGTGGTGGTGGGGAAGGCAAGTTTTTCTCTCTCACCTGGCTCCAGAGCCTTTCTAGAAGTCTGGGGAGGGCAAAAATGCCCTTCTCCAAACACAATCCTGAAGGCCCTCCAGAGGCCGAAAACGTCCCGTTTGCCAACTTCCGGTCCCACCAGAACTTGGCAAAAGGGCCGTTTCTGGACTCTGGATGGCCTCCAGAGGGGTGGGGAAGGCCGTTTTCGCCCTCCCCAGACTCCTAGAGAGGCTCTGGAGCCAGATGAGAGAGAAAAACGGGCCTACCGGGCCATTGCATGCCAGGACCCAGGGGAGCAAGGGGGTGTCGTGTGCACATGCACGGGGGCGGGGCACATAGAATTATGGGTGTGGGCACGTGCATGTGACACCACCCCCTCCTGGCATGCAATGGCAAAAATTTTAGCCATCACTGCACTATAGGATTAATAAATGGGTCAGAGCTTTTCTGTCTCCACCATCTTTTTCTATCAGGTACCAAGATGGAAATATCTTCCTCCTGGACACCAAGATCAGGTACTTGATATTAGAAAGCAGGTGCTGCTGCACTCATGACATGGCTGAGGAATTTTGGGAAATATAGTCCCCCCCACACTTGAAGGGGAGCAGTTAGAGAAGGTGGCCCTCCTGTAGCTCAGGAGAGTGCTAAAAAGAGTGTGTTACTGCTGACACAGAATTCACATGCTGTGCTAGTTCCGACCCTTCTTTTGTTTTGCAGAAGACCCAATTAAAAAGAAAATTGTGGTGAATTGGGCCTTAAAGGGTCAGAGTCTGTAGCCAGCCTCGGGCACACCCAGAGGCCCATATGAATTGCCAGGAGCCTGGCTCAATTACCTCAAAGGGAACCAAAAAGTACCTTTTATAAAATGTTGTTATAATTCGGAAAGAGGGTACTCAATCAAGCCCCCAAAATATTAGGGCAATTCTCTTTTCCTATTCACAAGCAGGAGCAATTTGTGGAAATGGAGCACAAGCCCACATCCTGCAAAGCTTTCCTTTACTTTGCAGACTAAACAGAAGAGGGTGGAGTAAGCCCTTTTCTCCATTCGGTTGTTCCATTATGTGCTCCTTTCTTATTTTATATAGAAAATTAGTATTTTCAGGGCCCAGCTAATCATGGGAGAAAATCTGCACCTAGTGGAGAAAATACCATGTAATTTAGATATTGTTCTAAAGGGTTTCTGTGAAAGAAACTTCCCAGTTGCCAGAATTCCCAGCCCGCACAGATTGAGAGGCTATTGGAGAACAAATCAAGGTGGGTTGGGATGTATGTTTGCAATTAAGCACCTAACCCAAACATATTAAAGCCTTTGTGTTTTTTTTTTTCCTTTCTCCTCTTCCTTAGTCTTTATAATACAGTTGTGCCGTCTTGTGGGCCCTGCACGGGGCTGAGCCTGTCTTCCCCTCCTCAGTCCCACCTTAAGGAACAATGCAGGCAGGAGAAGAAAGAGAAGGAGCTTGGACTGGTGACTCTACTGGCAAAGCAAGGCATTTCTGCACAGAGCCAAGGACTGACGCGCGTGTCCCTGCCCTGCGTTATTAGGGATCCAATCTCCTCCTCTTGCTTTTCTTCTTCTTTGGTTTCACTGTGTCACTACCACTTGGATAGCTATGCTGATTGGACTTCAGGACTGCAAGCACTGCAACACAAAAAGCCTGAGAAGAGTTTGAATAGCATCTTCAGCTTGAACCTGGTAGAGAAACTGCAGCAACTGGGCCTCGATAAGGTGCTGGCTAGAGGGGAAGCATCATACCTAACCTTACATCAGCAGGAACTTCACCAAGAAAAGAAATGTAGCTCTGGATTTAGAAACCAGCAAGATCCAGTGGAGCCTCAATAAAAACGAAGGGGGTGTTTATGTGTCCTGCTGCTTTAGGAAAGCTGGCCAAAACTCGTTTGTACAGCTAGAACACTGGGTGTTGAGGAGCACTTAAGTTCTACTTAGAGCACTGTTTTTTTCACTACTTGTGAATCACTGTTGTTGGCATGTCTATTACAGGGGTACATTGCATCTTCATTCTTCAATTTCTTTTTCCCTCCTTCTCTCCTCCCCATTGCTGCTGGAACATTTCTGTCAAATTACAATTTTCAGACTGGTATCTGGTCGTATCCCCGATCCCAAGCCCATTTCTTCTGCCTTTTGTTGTCAATCTACTTCTACTAGAATTGCACAAGTCACAGAGCCTTCTGGGTTAGGAGGCTTGGGGCAAAAGGAGGGAGAAAATTCTTGAACTTCCCAGCTAGAAATGGCAATGGACAGACTGAGCATTGGAAGCTGCTGCTGGAATAGATTGTTGTCTGGGACAAGAAGCAAAGATTAGCAGTAGCTTTTCTACATCGTCTTAGCTCATTGTTTTCATATTTGGATTTGTTTTCACCCATCTCTGCCCTCTTTCTATTTCTCAGTTTCTACAGGGATGGCAGGCTAAATAGAAATTTTGGTGGGAAGTTTTATTTAATTGTGAGGAGTTGATTGAGACATTTCTTCATCGTCTTTTACTACCAATCCTGGTATCCTTGACCTTTGTTAACGGTGACATGGTGTCTGGGTCTTCATCTTGATGAAGCCTGCAGAGATTTTCCCTCTTAAAACCTTAAACCAGGAATAGCTGTTGTTCCTCCCAATTCCTCCTGAATGACTATTCTCATTCTTTTCAGAGTTAAGTTTGGAATGGCTTCCACATGTGTTGTGCTTTTCTTTCTTCTCTTGAAAAGAATGCCTGCATTTTTCCATTTATGAATGTTAGATTAAAAAGCCAACCTCATCCCTCCTGAACCTATCTAGTTCTGTACTCCTTGCATGCTTGTATATGTGTGCTTCACAAAATGCCATTTGCACTCCTTCTCCAAGGGCCAGTTTGAACTCTTCCACATTTACAGTTCTCCTCCTGTGACTTAGCAAAATTAAATGATGATGCTGTTTCCCTGACCAGGCTTCTGTGCTTTTGTCTACATACACACATTCATGTACACACTTCACCTGTTGGGAAAACTGAGCTAGATCATTTGCTTCACCAATTCATATGGCTTAAGTGATTTAATAGCAATGGCATTTAGCCTTGAATGCCATCCTATAGTACTTTACAGGGCAGTTTGGAATGACAGCATATTGTCCCAAAAAATCTGGGCCCTCATTTTACTGACTTTGGCAGGATGGAAGGATCTTGAGACTGTCAGGATTGACCTACAGACTGGGCAGAGTTAGTCTGCAATAGTGCATTCTAACCACTGCGCCACATAGCTCATTTAATTTAACATCACCCATTGAGCACTTATAAATCATCATTTATTATACTTGTGTTATTCCTGAATCATGCTCACAAATTATGGTTAAATAAATTATGGCACAACATGATTAGTAAATTGAGGTGTCCTACTTTGGTACAAGTGCCTTTGAAATTTGAAGATAAGAAGAGTGATTGTAGAAAAGATAGATAAGAAGCTAAGTCCAGAGAGACTTTTCAATCATATCCTGGTCATTTTTCAGGCTTTGGGCATTTAGATGAATGTCAGAAAGACCTGGTATGGGGAAGGGTAGGCGGGTAATGTGGGAATAAAATGTGTGACTTCTTCCATTTTTTGATTCTGATCAAGGTGATTCTAATATTTTAGTCCAACCTGTCTAGAAAATGCCATATCGGGGGTGGTTGGTTGGACAATAAATTGCATTATCGCTCCACTGGCAGACTAGATAAGAAGGAGACAGAGTAAATGCAATTGCTTGATCTAGCCAACAGAGGGCTGTAAAGATTCATTGCTGAAAAGCAAGATCCTTCACTCCAATCTGTCTGGATTTAACTGATTTGGAATTGTATACTCTATAATATGACTAACAGTCCTCCCTTTGATTTCTCTCTATGTGAGGGATCCCAGAAAGAATATTTCTGAAATCCCTGTTGTGCCTGCTTCTTGACCTCATCTACCTTGAAGGGCTGGCACATGCATAATGTTTTTCTCTAAGTTTGATTTAAAAAGAAAGTACAGGTAGTCCTCGACTTACAAGAGTTCATTTAGTGACTGTTCAGAGTTACAATGGCACTGAAAAAAGTGACTTATGACCATTTTTCATAGTTATGACCTTTCCAGCTTCCCCATGGCCATGTGATCAAAATTCATATGCTTGACAACTGGTTCATAATTATTACCGTTACTGTGTCCCAAGATCACGTGATCCTCTTTTGCAACCTTCTGACAAGCAAAGTCAATGGAGAAGCCAAATTCACTTCACAACCGGATTACTAATTTATCAACTGCAGTGATTCATTTAACAATTGAGGCAAGAAAAGTCATAAAATGGGGCAAAATTCACTTAACAAATGTTTCACTTAACCACAGGAATTTTGGGCTCAATTGTGGTCATAAGTCGAGGACTACCTCAAACCACCTTAGGAATCATCAGTAACAGCGTCAATACCCCAGCCTTAATTCCAGCTGGGTTTGCTGATTCCATTCAGACATATTTCTTATCTGCCTCACAGTGTCTAAAAAACGAGCCCCTGTTTTCTGCCACACCTGCCTGGCCCTTTTCCCAATGTTTCAGAGGAGCAATCTCCTCAGAGAAAGGATGTCGCAGCTTGCCAGCATTCAGAAGCCCTGGTCTCCATCCTGTCTCAGGTACAGTAATTAGCAGGTCCACTGCTTAGTGGAAAACTCCATCAGGCCGGTCGAATGTTCCTGTTCCCTGCACCCTCCTGAGGATGTTAATGATGATGGTGCCGAAGTGAAGAAAACACGGGGCTCAAGGTTTTGGTTCTTTCAGGCATAGGGCGGTCCTAAGATACAACAGGCCTGATTGATTTGTCTACACAGGATTTTCAGATGGGGGTTTGAACAAAAGAACGGCATGTCAGGAAGCCAGTCTCTTGATTCTCCTTCCTGCCTTGCCTCAACATGCTCAGCTACTTAACTTCTCTGTGTTCTGGCTTTCTGTAATGCACTAAACTGTAAAATTTCAAACTTTGGCAATTTAAGATCTGTAGATTGAAACTCCCCAAATGCTGGCTGGGAGAATTCTGGGAGCTGAAGACTACAAATATTAAAAAGCTGTCAAGTTTGAAAAACACTGCTACTACCTAAACAAGCTGTGTTTGTACCAGCTGACCCATTATAAAGTGAACGCTAAGATTAGCATGCTGCACAAATTTTACCACTAAGGTTGCTATATGCATATACCCATAATGTCAAAGTAAGTAACCCATCTCAAGGCACAAGCTGGCAGTTGTTGATCAGGGATGGATGGCTTAGGAGCTCCTGATGGATTGGGATCACCAAAGAGATTTAGCTCATAAGAACACTGTTTGAAAGCCTGTCGTACTTATTTGCAAAATTTCTGTTATGGTTGCGTGGCTAACTTCTGTGTGAATATGGATATCTGATGCTAGAAATCCTAGGGCTAGCTTCTCGCAAGATTTAATTCCAATTATTTTAACAATAGCTATGTTTAAGTGTTTGGCATTATTGAGCTATAGTAATGTTGAGTCTAGGGCATGACTTATAAAGTTCAGTTGAAATAACATTTTTAGAATCATTTTTGCACCTGATTACAGCTGGTTAATCTTAACAACATTGTAAAAATCAATTTAGATTCCTCAAGATTTAAATTGGCCCTCCCCCTATAGTTGGATTTTTATCTGCAGGACTGAATCACGACCAAAACTGGAAAGCTTTTCTGTAATCCAGCCAACCCTTCTATGATTTAGATACTGTAAAGGTTTGCTCATAGGACATTGAGCTATAAATTACAGAAGGCTGTTGAAACTTGAGTTTTTCCTCAAGCATTAGAGGTAGGATCAAGGGAGCCCAATATATGTACGTATGCTTGTTTTATGGATTTTATGTCTCCTTCGATATGGATATGAGGAGACAGAAAAACAGTAAATTGACAACTTCTGACCAGAAATCCAAGCACACTAATCAAATTCTGAATTTCACAACCATCCACAGCACATAAAAGAAGCTGCGTCCAGACCCACTTTAAGAGAGCCAAAAAACACGGCAGCATCAGATCCCTAAGAAAAGCAGAGGAGAAACATCTTTTCAATGTTTTCCTCCCCAATGGCTATCCCAAGAATTTTACATTGTGGTACATGGCACCGAAACCCCAGAAAACCACACAGCGAGAGGCAACACGGAAACAGGTCCTGCCATACATCAAAGGAACATCAGGAATAGCTTTCAGACTATTGCAGCCCCTAGGAATAACAGGAATATTAGGCAGAACATGGAAGGAAGACAGTACAACGTAATATACAGTGAACAGAAAAATTGTAACCAGTTCTATGTTGGAGAAACAGGATGACAATTAAAAACCAGAATTCATGAGCAGCATGACCCAAAGTCCTAGATCAGTGATGGCTAACCTATTCTTCCTCCAGTGCCAAAAGTTTGTGTGCGCACATGATAGCACGCGCATGCCCACACCCATAATGCCCACCCCCCACACGCCTCGCCCCCTGTGCATGCGTGCGCAATCCTCCCACACTACCTTGCTCCATGCGCAGGCACGACCTCCCTTGTGCGCCCCCCCCCACACGCACACAGGACCCCCCCACATCCCATTTTGGGCCTACCAGGCCTACCTGAAGCCTCCAGTTTCTGGACTTCCAGTAGTCCTGTTTTTCACCCTGCACAGGTTTCGGAGGATCCTGAGGCTTTCTTGGAGCCTCCAGGAGGGTGAAAATGGCCTCCCCCAGCCCTCCGGAAGCTGGAAACGGCCATATTCTGGACTTCCGGTAGGTCCATTTTTCGCCTTCTACAGGCTCCAGAGGCTTTCCTGGAGCCTCCAGGAGGGCAAAAACGGCCTTCCCTGGCCTTCCGGAGGCCAGAAATGGCCCATTTCTAGACTTCCGGTAGCCCCGTTTTTCACCTTCTCAGAGCCTCCACGCAAGCCTATACTTACCTGGTATTCAAAACTGGTCTCATGGAGACCCATCCTGAGATGGGAGTGCATGCCCATCCTGCATGCACGCAGAGACCCGAAATCAGCTGGCTGGCCAGAGGCACATGCGCATGCACAGTGGAACTAATCTAGGGCAACGGCTTGCATGCCCACAGAAATGGCTCCATGTGTCATATGTAGTATGCATAGGTTCGCCATCATGGTCCTAGACCCAACCATACTGACAACAAACAACTCCTTTTCAACTAGGACAAAGCTGAAGTCATCAGCCACGCCAAAACGCATCATGCACAGAAATTCACTGAAGCCTGGCACTGTAATAATGAATCCATACAAACACATCGAGTTTGAACCAGCATATTAACCAGTAAGGAAACAGACCATCTGAACCACCAATCAGCGACAGAATCGACCATCTCCTCACCAGTTGAATTTCATGGCCCATAAACAACCAGTCACATGACCAACTGACCACACAAACAACCAGTCACGCGACCAACTGACCACAACACCAAACAGCATCTATATAAGCAGACAAGAAATTGAACGAGACATTTTATCCAAAACCCCACTGAAGATGTTACCTAGTTTGGGAGATAAACAGCAAGCTTTGAGAACAGACTACTGCCAAAACCTAAACCCGAGCTACGAATATTCTCAAAATTTCTAATGTGTGTGGGTGTATCTATGTTTAAAGCAGAGATCCCTAAACCTTTTGGGAAGTGGGCCGCACAAGCGGTAGACAAGAACGCAAGGGCACAAATCTGCATTTGCCCAAGTGGCATACACATGCACAAAACCACCCCGTCTCCCCCTCCCCCACCCCCAGTCTACAGAGCCAGAAAGGTTGGGGACTGCTGGTTTCATTCAGTTCTGAGTGGGGTTAGCATAGAATTTCCTGATCCAATGTTGCCCCTAAGAATCTGAGCAGCCTCTGTGACAAGAAATAAACATTCTATCAGTTTCGGCTGATAAACTGGTTCTGATTTTTCCCACAGGTGACAACTGGCCTACTCTTCATCCTGCTGTGTATACACAATATCTGTGTATTGTTTTTAAGGGTCTTGAAATTTTAGTTGGCCAAAATAATGCTACAAGATTTTTTTAAGAGACTGAGCAATTTGCCATGCCACTCCAGTGCTTTATTAGCTGCACAGACTGTTTCTGGGCTCTACATCCATTGCTCTTTTGAATTGGGACCAACATTTTAGAAAACTCACATCTCAATTTGCACCCTGAAAGCCTTCTCAGAGATCGTTTCAAGTGCTCCTGACAAATGAAGTGAGGAAAATATAGCAGAATGTTTTCACTAAAAAAGGAGAATAGTAATGCTAATTCTGTTATTTTGATATCAAGTGAATATTGTTTTATTCTCCAGCCTTTTTAATATCCACTACATTTTCATTTTGTGCTGTAAATTGTTGTGAATTCTTACTCTCACTATGAGTTTTATTTCACTCCCTGCTATTTTTTATGTTATAATTTATAGTCATACTTATAGTTACAGATATACACAGATACTATATTGTGTTATTTGGGAACCTGAAAATATTATTGGACATTTTATGAAGATATAATAACTAAATGAATACATATATGTGAAGGTAAACTTGGCTCCATACAAACATCATGTGAAGGTTCTACACATTTGTAAAGCATCTTTCTGGCACCAGGAAACCTATAGATTTTATCAATGATAGTCACTATCTCCATGAGTAGTAAGAACCTTAGCCTAATAGAAATACAGTTGTTCCCGATGGGATAATGGCTATTCTGAAATGTTTTTAAGCATTAGGATAAAGATAGCAATAAAAAAGGTACATATCAGATAATATATTTAATAATATTCAATATAAACCACAAAAAATAAATTTTACAGTGGTTTAGATGATATACAGCTTTATTCCAGCTATATATGATCATAGTATGAAAAGTTTTCTTCACCTCCCTCTTCCTCTCCTGAACTTCTGTAGATATAAAAAGAATAAAAAAGGACATTACAATATGCTTATTAAACTACTGGTAGATATTCTTCCAATCAGTCTATTCAACTTTTGTCAAGTATTATCACTGTAGTAAATTCAGTATCTTTATTCTCAGATGCTTCCAAAATCATTATATATATAATACTGTGAACTTTATATCATATATTTATATATGCTGCCATTATTTTTCTGAGAAGAGAAAGAATTTTGGCATTTCATAGCTATTGAATTTCTGCCATGCTGAATAGCTACAATGCAGATGAGAGCAACTGCTCATAGAGAAGATCAAAGGAGTTCTAAGACAGGCCTGTCACAATTCATTCTGCTTTTTGATTACTCCTGTTTGGTTTTTCCAATTGTTCAAGCAGCTAAAGGTAGGAAGATAATAGAAAATCAAAAAGATAAAAGTTTCCCCTGTCCAGTCATGTCTGGCTCCTTTGTCCGCTCATCTCTGTTTCTTAAATCAAGAGAGCCAGTGCAGTCTGAAGGCACTTCTGTGGTCATGTGGCTGCCATGACTATACACCAAAGGCACACAGAACACTATTACCTACCCACTGGTGTGGTACCTATTTATCTACCATATTTTTCAGAATATAAGACACACCTTTTTCCTCCAAAAAAGGGGGTGAAAATCTGGGTGCATCTAAGACTCCGAATGTAACCCTGCCCAGCTTCTCAAACGGAGGTTTCAGAGGCTGAAAAAAGTATCAGAAACAAAGCTTCAGAAAAGAAGCCTCCAAACAGAGCCAAAGAGAGCTTCAGGAAAAAAGCCTCCAAACAGAGCTTCAGAAAAGAAGCCCCCAAACAGAGCTTCAGAAATTTTTTTTCTGAAGCTCTGTTTCAGAGGCTTTCAGAAGCAGAAAAGAAAGTTTTTTCTGAAACAGAGTTTCAGAAGTTTCAGAGGCAGAAAAAAAAGCATAAAAAAGCAAGGCACAGAGCTCACAACCAAGGAACCTCTTGCTAAAATTCACCTCTGGGAACAGCTGATTGGGGGTATTCCGGGAGGCCAATCCACCTGCCAATCAGCTTTTTTCTTATTTTCCTCCCCAAAAACAAAGGTGCATCTTATACTCCGAAAAACACAGTACTTGTGTTCACATGCTTTCGAACTGCTTTGTGGGCAGGAACTGGGACAAGCTATGGAAGCTCATCATATTAGACGGCGCTTGGGTCTTGAACCCAGGCTTTCAGGTTTCCAGCTGACAAGCTCAATGTCTTTAACAACTGAACCATCACACCCCCTCAATAAAAAATTACCACCTTTTTTTTTATTATTATTATTTCATGTAGCAGCCAATGACACTGACAAAAAGAGCTTGAAAAAAATTGAGGGATTATGAATAACTGGGCAGGACGGCAAGACTGATGCTAAGTGATACTTTTACCCATATTTCCAACAGAAAGTAGAATGGACATGTTGCTGCTAAAAACCAGAACATCAACGACGTTGCCACTTTACTTTCCTATCAACTTTTCCTACTGATGCCTATTTTGCTAAGAGCTTTATTGGTACCACAAACTGCCTCGTGGGAAGTGAACTCATTTACTGAATTAGCCCAGTTGCCTGCATTAGCACAACACATGAAACCATAAAATAGCCAACTGCATTTTGGCCTAGCATCTCATGTGAACCCAGCCTAAATATGGTTGCTAAGAGGACAGGTCTTGAGAATGTTAACTGTTCTAGAAGTTGCTAATACAGAACGCAGGATGAGAAGCAATGTCAACTTTGGTAGCCAGCCACTCTAAGAGAAGAGGGCTCAGTATCCACCCAAGGAATCTCCTCACGACAGCATCATTTTCTATCTGTGGTAGAGAGAGGGAAAGAGAGAAGTGAAGCTCTAAGGCAGTGGTTCTCAACCTTCCTAATGCTGCGACCCTTTAATACCGTTCCTCATGTTGTGGTGACCCCCAACAATAAATTTATTCCTAAAATCATTGAAAATGTGTGTTTTCCGATGGTCTTAGGTGACCCCTGTGAAAGGGTCATTCGACCCCCAAAGGGGTCCAGACCCACAGGTTGAGAACCACTGCTCTAAGGGGAGCAGTAAAACAGAGGCTTCATATTGGCCTTCCAACGGGGCTGAGGAAAAGTTTCTTTCTATGCTGAAGCTTCTCTTTTTTGACCTGCTTGAATGAAAGTAATCACTTACAATATTAATAAATGTTGTAAGCTACCTGGAGTCACTTATGTGTTTAATAAATTAAAAAATGAAATGCCTGACTGTTTCTCTGTTCTAGCAAACAAACAAATTTTATGTGCTAAATAAAATTATTTCTACAGGTAGGAGGAATAAAATGGATTCAACTAAAAACAGAGTTCTGTTTATTCCTAGTAAGCCAGTGTTTGGAAGGATTCTTACTGTGGCATCCAAATGTAAGTTTACTTAGGAGTAAAACACAATATAATTTCGGGGGTATATCTGTGAATTGGTTATATAGACTCAGGATGCATATTTTTGTATGAAAACTCCAGAATTGTAACAGGCAGAATAAAATACTATCTTGCCTACTAAGCTACTTTAACCAGTCCTTTGAGTTTCTGTTTGTTTTCCACTTTCTACTCTTTCTTAACAGCCTGGCATTTTTTTCTTCAGTTTACCAACTCAGTCTCATCCCGCACTTTGTGGTACTTTCTGCCTTGAGTAGTATAGCTAATTCTGTTGCAAGATACCACCTTTTTTTTTTGCCAGAAAGCAAAGATTGACTTCTAAATCTGCATTTACAGATACTATTAAACCAAGCTAATATGAAAACATCATTATATATTTTAGCATACATTGGAAAATATGAACCCCCCCCCCCAACTGAATATATTAAGAAAACCTGGAAAGTCAGATGTACATATGCAAATTCTTATATTCCTTCCCTGAATGCAATATTGCTAGGCTAAATTTTTCAGAAAGGACTTATATTTTCTCTGAGATCTAGATCTGACAAACATAAGAAAACCACCTAAAAATAATTGAAGCTTGAAGCTTGAACTGTATCTTTGCTTTGTATAAAGTATAAATAGGAGAAAATCTGAAAATCTTTTGTAAAAACTGCTGCTGTGAAGCATAAAAAGAATCACCTTTAGCTAGGATGAATACAGATATTATGAAGGATGTATGGAACTTTCTCCAATCCACAACACCTAAATGCACTCGATTACAGTTTCCATCATTCTGATCCTTAACCAAGGATCATAAAAGCTAAAGTCTAACTTTAAGAAAACAGAAATATTGTTTTAGTCCCTTAATCTCTGGCATGATTTTTTTTAAAAATCCATTTGATGTAGTCAACAATATTCACTGCTCTTTCTGAATGTGACGGTTTTCTAGTTTTTCTCTTTCCTTTTCCTGTTTCCTACGAGAATGTCTTTCTACTGTTGAACAATGAAATAAGCAAGTTATGAGACTTTTTACACATTAGGTATCCTGTAAATGTAGATCTGCAGATGCATTCTGAACAGGGGTGGGTTCTACTTACCTTTACTACTGGTTTGCAACGGGATCGCTTCTGTGCATGCACAGATCGCCGATAACAACATCCGGGGTGGTGGGCAGGGCCTTTACTACCGGTTCTTGTGAACCAGTCTGAAATGGGGACAACCCACCACTGATTCTGAACTACTTCAAAAATTCTTAAAGAGAAATAATCCTGACTTGCACACTGAGGCTACTTACACTTTCTTTGACGTGCCTTTGGTTCCTCTTCTTCTGTTCCTGAGGTACTGGTAAAATATTAAAATTGAGTATTGCTCTGGCAGCAGTTTGAATATTTTATCATTACCTGCCCAGCTTGACCTAGTCATTTGTTGATTTATTAGATTTAATTGCCACCCATCTTGTTTCAAGGCGATCCTAGGTGATTCATTGCATTAAAAGTATTAAAACCATAAAAGATAATTATTTCTAAGATGATAAAAAATAAAGTTATAATCAAAGATAAAATTAACAAATAAAAAAATAACTAAAAGGTAAAACAGGCAGGGAGAGAGGAAGCAGGATGTGCACTGGGTGGAAGGTGGGATCAACCACCTCCATGTGATGCTCTCCCATTGGGGCCCCAAATCATCTGGCAGAGTCTTCAGGCCCTTATGGAAGGTCAGATGGCTGGGATCTCACCTCAGGAGGTAAGACATTCCAAAGGGCAGGAGCTACAGCAGAGAAGGTCCTTCTCCTGGACCTCACCAGCCAAAATTCCTTGAGTGATAAGGCCTGCAGCATGTCTCCTCTGCTGATGTGAATGGGGTGGACCAGTCCCATAGGGATGGGATGGTTCCTCAGGTATCTTGGACCTATGCCATGCAGGCCTTTAAGGATAATAACCAACACTTTGAATTGCACCCAGAAGCAAACCAACAACAGTGCAGCTTGCAGAGCAGTGGTGTAACATAATCCACTCTAGGGCCCCCACAAGAACTGCCATCGCAACTCTGCACTAGTTGACGCTTGTATGTAAGATTGCTTCTTGTATGGCTTCTACATGCATTGGATATATAATTTCAGTCTTTTGTTTTGTTTTCTTTGTCCTCCAGCTGCAGTCATGAGGTTTTTATGAATGTGACATAAGCAAGAAGGTGCTCTTTCACCTCATATTGTGGTTTCTTCTATTAGGGTTGGAGAAAAGTCAACCCCATATCTAGGCCTTCTTATCCAAGTCCCAATCAATTGGAATACACTTTCTAGGTAAATGAATTTGTGGCAGAAGAGACGAGCATCAAAAGCATTGTGCAAGGCACTTCTCCATTCCTATTATGCCAGGACACAAATAAACTTTGTAGCATCATTAACTCAATTAAATTCCAGCTAGAAAGAGTGAGAGGCTTTCACATAATCTTCTTTCATAGGTGCCAAAATAAATTAACTCTCTGCTGCTCAAATTTGGGCAGCAAATTATTTTGGGTAGTTTCCTGCACTCAACTAGAAACTGTCATTTGGGTTTGGGGGAGGGCAGTCTGAAAAGAATGCTGATTTTTCCCTTGTAGTTTCAACCAGGTTAGCAAAGTGCTAGAACTTGGAGACATCCTCTCAGCGGTGGGATTCAGCTGGTTCAGATTGGATGCTAATTTTACATCTGGTCAGCCAAACCGTAGTTTGCAAGGACTGGCTGGCCCTCCCCTCTACTCCCAGGAGTCTCCACATGGCCCATTTTGGATGAGAGGTAAGTACAGGGCCTGCATGGGGGTTCTGGGAATGTGAAAAACAGGCTTCCCGGAAGTACCAGAAGTCCGGAAATGCCTGTTTCTGGCCTCTGGATGGCCTTTGGAGCCATGGAGAGGCCTTTTTCGCCCTCCTGGAGGCTCTAGAAAAGCCTCTAAAGCCTGGGGAGGACAAAAACACCCTTCTCCCCACCGTGGTGCAGGAGGCTGAGTAGGCCACGCCCACCCAGCAACCAGGCAGAGAACCAGTTGCTAAAATTTTTCAATCCCACCCCTGCATCCTCTGACTGACTTTCTGCTTCCCCAGACCTGAAGTTTAAATCCAAAAAGAAAGGTGTGATTGTGAGAGATTAATGTAAAGATTTTTCACAGTGAGAAAAAAGAATCAATGACTGGCACAGGAAACAATATCTTTTTCTCTGTTTCTCAATAAGAAACTCTCCCTTTTCTCTGTCTTCTGTTTGTAAAATGGATTCCAACATGGTCTTGGTAAGCCTAAAAAGAAGGTCATTGACCAAATCAAGCCCACCAGGTCCCCTAACAGAATTGGAGGTGGAATGAATCCAAGCTCAATACACCCATTTAGTTAACCCTATTTGCCCTCCTCACCAATAATTGTACAAACATACATTCTATTCTTTCTTATGATGTTACTATATCATTGCCACATTTGTTGTAGCTTTTTGAGGTTGAACATACTGTGTTCCCCCAAAAATAAGACCCTGTCTTATATTTTTTTGAACCCCAAAATAAGGACTTGGCCTTATTATCGAGGGGGTCTTAATATTATGGGGGTGCAGGAGGTGGTGAGCGTAGCCACCTCATGGCTGCTGCTGTATTGTGCTGCTCTGGCATCTAACCATCCATCCATCCCCCTCACTTGCAAACTCCCGTCCCGCTCCTGCCTCTCCGCCGAGCAACCCCTGGCAGCCCAGATGCCCAAAGCCTGCGCCCACCCAGCTTTCTTTTCCATAGCACCCAGCTCTTTATCGAGGGGGGTGACATATGGGGCGGGGGAGAAGCAAGACACATGGAGTGAGATGGGGCTCGCTCCTCTTGGCGTTTCTTTTCCTCTCCTCGCCAGGGGTTGGGGAGACACGAGACAAATGTCTTACCTGCCTTGTAGCTCCGTTGCGTGTCTCGCCATTGTCTGCAGGCAAACACGTTGTAAGGTAAAACCAAACTTCTTGTGAGTTCGAGAAGTTTGATTGAATTCGCAAGGTTTTTTTTACCGTGCAACATGTTTGCCTGCAGACTACGGTGAGACACGCAACGGAGCTACAAATCTCACGTCTCCCCAGCCCCACCCCTCCCTACCTGCTATCCCCAAATTGCATCCAATTTGGGCAGGGGCAGGAAGCCCTGCCATACCTGGCAAGAGGGGAGAAGAGGCAGCAAGAGGAGCAAGCCCTGTCTCACTCCATGTGCCTTGCTTTTCTCCCACCCCATCTGCCTCAATAAAGAGCCAGGCACTGTTGAAAAGGGAGCCAGGTGGGCGCAAGTTTTGGGCGTCCGGGGCTGCCGGGAGTCGCCTGACAGAGAGGTGGGAGCGGGGCAGGAGTTTGCAAGCGATCGCTTCCCCTTTGCCTTCTCTCCCAAAAGCGCTCCTCGGTCACAGCCACTTCTGCAGCAGGAAACTCGTGCCTTGTGCAGGCCTTCCGAAGGGTACTGTAGCAGCAGCTATCCACTATTTTTTAACCCTTATTTCATCCCGACACACGTGGTCCAATATGGTGAGGATGAAATAAGGGTAAAAAAATTGTGGATAGCTGCTGCTACAGTATCCTTTGGAAGGCCGCCGCAAGGCACATGGGGTGCATCACTTGGCCTCCTGCTGCAGAAGTGACTGCAATCCATAGCAAAAATGACTGTGCTCGCTGGAGGCACCAGCCAGTGCAGCACCCATGAGGCAGCTGTTCCGTGGATGGAATTGCCTGCTGTGACTGTCATCATTAGTAAGGAGGGTGCGAGACGTGTGGGGTGTGTCGCTTGGCCTCTGGCTTCTTTTGCAGCTGCAATTGGCTGCAAAAGCAACCGTGCTTGCTGGAGGCAGCGGCCTGAGCGGCACTCATAAATCAGCTGTGAATGTCAGCCTGAGCGGCTCAACTGATCCAATTACGGGGCCAAGAAGCCCTGAGGTGACTGGGGAAGGGAAGGGCTGCCTCCTGTGCTGGCCACGCCCACCCCATCACTAGGGCTTATTTTCAGGAGAGGGCATATATTTATGCCCACCCCAAAAATCAGGCTTGGCCTTATTTTCGGGACATGTTCTATTTTCTGGGAAACATGGTATTATATTACATCCTGGCTGAAGCAATGTGGCAGTCTTGAATTACAGTGTTCAAGGAAATATTAGCTCTTCACTAAAGCAATATATTGAAAGTTTGGAGAAGTTTATCTTTTCATTACTGGACTCAGAGATAGTAAGTAAATAAATTAGTATAAAGATCTCTAGAAAAATATTATAGCTTACCGTAATCAAAATAATTATTGCAACCATAACCATCATCACCATTGCCACTGAAATACCCAACAGCAACTTTTGGTAATGCCCAGATTGTGGAATTCGCTGCCTTGCTATCTGCAAAGTTAAACAAAGAGAAAGAAAATGGAAGATGGGTCTTCATATATTTCAACATCTTCTCCATCCTGACTAATGATATAGAGAGCAACATGTACTCATTGATATGTATCCGGCTGCCCTATAACATATTGGTTCTCAGATAATGCTAAGCTAGTATTGGCTTAATTTGAATATCTTAGCCCATATCATCCCACCTGTACAATTTTAGCAACAACTATAATCTAAACACATGTCAGAGTTTCTTGCAAAAATCAAATCCAGAAGCACACACAGATAAACTGATTCAGCAGGATTCATTAACTTCTTTATATACATAATAATAGATGATGTATTTAAAATACCAATATCAGAGTTCTTGTTCAACATAGTAGCAGTTACAACACAAAGCAGGAGAGAACCGTTACTGTAGTTTCATTTTTAGCAGAGCAGACAGCATGCACAGACACTGGTTTCAGTTTCTCTTTCTCAGCACAGCACTCAGAAGCTGCAGACTAAGACACATCCTGGCTCCAGTCTGTCTCAGCTCCCAATTGGCTGATTTAGTTGCTATGCTTATTCATTGGCTGACCATGAATATTCTGACACATAACTTAACGTTAATTTACTAATCCATAACATGTTTTAATCATGGCTTATTATCTTGAACATAGAATCTTGGTTAATTAGTGGTTTATACTTTGCCATACCCAAGACCCTTATCAATTCACAGTAAACTCAAGGCAAGACAAAGGCATGTTTCAGAACTCTTGCTTCCCCTCCACAGTGACTTGTAATTTTTCCTGGCAATTTTTTCGACATCTTAAATACCGGACAGATGGAAGAATCTGGAGTCTGTATGCTAAATCATCTATTAGCCCCACAAAACACTAATTTCATTTTAAAATATGTAATTATATTCGGGGGGGGGGGGGTAAACCCCCATAGGCAGAGTCTTATAAATGCATGTTCATAATAAATCCACTTTGGACTTATTAAATTACAATGAACATGCAAGACATACATTTTATAAAAGATAAGTTTACAAAATATTAACCAAACTCTTCATAAATCATTGACAAAATGTAGTCCTATAAATATAGATGGGAAAAGTATTTTTTGCTGCTAGGACATGGAAGATACCATGTGTGCAAGGGTAAAAATATTTTTTAAAAGTAGCCAGGAAATATATAAAACAAGTGATGATTACTTTCTTTATTACTTTCTTTATGTGTAATCGTGATTTTCTTGGGAAAATCATGATTAAAGCAAATCTTATTTAATATAGATATTATGCTTATTATTGTCCAGGTTTACTATTTAGAAAACTTTTTGCAAAATTTAGCATTAAATATATTTAGATATTTTTGACAATATTCATTCTGTTCCTTTGAAATAGCATGTCAAATTTCAAAAGCAGTTGATAAATCAGGACAGAGACAATGAGATATTATTACCACTATCATCACTGTTTTCTTAGCACCGGGAACATTTGACTATGCCATTGTTCAGTGCATTCATTTAATGGCCAGTTCTCATCTTTATGAAAGAAATACTTGCAGTTTTTTTAATCCATATAAAAGCTCCCTTCCCTAGAAAAGGAGTACATTTGGATCCATCTCCCTTTTAAAAGTAATAACAGTTCTTACAAATCTAGTTTTCTTAAAACCGTATCATCATATCTGAAATCTCTGTTTTAATTTTGATGAACCTCATTTTGCTTTTCTTTATTTTCACTTTTCACTTTCACTTTAGCTTTGTGCTACACACCACTCTCTCAAGATGCTGATCACCATTTGTTATATACACATGTTGCTTTCCCTTGAGTACAGACATGGGAATCAGGCAGAGAAGTGGTCTTCATCCATACACATTATTTTAAACAATCTAACAAGGCTTTTACCCAAAAAGAGTAATTGCCTTTACAGAAATGCATGTGCAATTAATTTATACCAATTTGGTCTCCTGGGGAAAAAAAAGAGACACATCTAGGCAATCAGAGATTGTTAAAACTCCTAATAGTGACTTGTTAGGACTACTTATCTATCCTAAGGACTACTTATCTATCCTTTACCTCATTAGAAGGTTTCTCCATTTTTCTGGAGCTTGCTGTAATCATATCATTTACATTTTTAGCGGACCAAAAGTAGGAGTTCCATAGAATAGGTGTGTCCTGGTTGGTTTTCACACTGAAGTCCCTCAAGAGAAGATCTATTGTAGAGATTAATTTAGCACAAGCCATCTGCATATTGGGCTTTCTGCAGTTCATGTTCACAATATGGACCAGGAGGGAAAAGAGTTTCCTGAAAAGAGCTTCAGACTCACTTGGGAAGATAGATGCCAACTCTGTGTTTAACTCAAATTCATAGAATTCCTTCTGAAGCAACTTGTCAACAATGTCTCTCAAAAGATGAAGTAAAGGGGGAGCAGAGATGGTTTGTTCATGATGCTCCCAATGTGTCTCATGAGATAATGTTATATCAGGCAAGTGTTTGTTCAAAGTTTCTGAGTCTTCAGCACCATCCTTAACTACAATAGAAGCAGTCAAGAGAGGCATTTTAGTTGGAACATTCGAAATGGAGTGATTCTGTAAGGAATGAAGTGCTGCTCGAAGAACCCTGTTAAGGGAAGCAACCTTCTGAAGCTCTAGTTCCCTTGCTAGCTTCTCCCATTTTTCTGCCATGGCATACAAAACAAGTTTTCCTTGTTCTCCTGCGGGTTTTCCAGTGGCTTTTGCAAATTCTATGTTTTTTCTGAACAACCTAAAAAATAACTCTTTTTCCCTTGCATTTTTTCCAAGCCAGTGATCTCTCTTTACCCTTTTCAGATGGTTCTTTAATCTTTTCCGATGGCTTTTATTGCTCAGGATGATGTTGCCATAATCTGAAATTTCTACAGGCAATTCCTTTTGGATCTCCAACTCTTGAGTCTCCTCTCCGTTTTCTGCTAATTTTGCTTTGAGAGCCACCTGTAGCAAATTTGTTAACTTGTACAGCTTATCCAGCTCATTTTTATCAGACCACTTCACATCCACATATTCATCAGGAGCAAGTTTACTTAATCCACTGACTGATTTAAGAATATCTGGTGTGTGTTTATGAAAATGGATACCTAAATGTGTACGTCCATGGGTCACCAAGACTGATAGAGTGACATTATGAAGTTCAGGTTTTTCAGGGATAATATTTAGTATGTTGGTGGCATTTAATTTTCTGGATTCCAGTACTTTCTTTACATCATCTTGCATAGTTTCCCAAAGTTCCTCTTTCTCTGCTCAGAAAGAAGAAAAAGGAGAAGGAAAAAACAGAATCAGGATTTTTCTTTCATTGGTAGCAAATGCTATAGATGGAACAGATAACTGAGTTTGTTATAAATAAATTAGTTTATATAAATATCAGTTTAGACATAAATCAGTTTAGATATAAATCAGTTTATTCAATTAGCATTAGATGTGGTTTACAGTTCAATCTGGTACCCATTTAACCCAGGATTAGTTCCAATTACTCTTATGAAGACATGTTTCAGATTATACAATTGATGTTAAATAATCAGTGCAGGAGAACATCTTAACGCTTGGATGATTAGGTGATATTATACTCCAAAGGAAGATGCTAAAAAACTGGCTTGCTTGGCCTAACACAAGAGTTTGTGATGACACTCTGTTTGAAAACTAGAAATATATAGCTACTCACAGTAGAGTTCTAACTGAGAAAGTAGAATTTGCCACAGATAATATCTGATCATTATATAGATCAGGCTTGATGTATGGACTGTACCAGCCTTCTCCAACATGGTGCTTTCCATATAAGATTGAAAGCACAGATCATAGAAATCCTAGCTAAAGGGTATCTAGAAGGTATCAGATTGGACCATTTAACATAATTTTTGGATTAAAATTAAAAAAATTAAGTCCTTTAAATCATAAATGTTTCTACTATTTCTGCTAACTCAAGGAAAAATAATCTGAGAACAAGAGATAATATCTCATTATCACAAGTCACAAAATGGAGAAGGAAGAACAACCCTGAATTCCAGACCTTAAGCTCCCTCATAGTTAATGACACCCCTTCATCTACTTTGCTTAGAGTGAGCAATTAAGAATGATGGACTGGGTGACCAATGGTTCCAAGAAGGCAAGTCTTTTGTTTGAAATGGAGGCAGGGGCCTCGGTAAAAATAGGCAGTGGAAGAGGGTAGAGGTGGAACCCTCAGATTAGACATCCAAGAAATAGATATAGATGGAGACTTAAAAGAGGAAGGGGGAAGACAGGTCTAAAGAGAAAAAAGCATAGCAACTGAAGTATCGAAGCGGACAAGAGATGTTGGGTAGATGATTTTTTATTGTCGTCTTTGACTTGCTTTTCCTCTTCCCCTCTTTCTTTTAAAGCATAGCAATTAAAGTACAAAACAGGCAAGAGATTATGGATGGATGATTCCTTCACTTGGTTGTTGTTTTGAATTGTCTTTCCCTCCCTCCCTCTCTATTCTTTTTTTCTCTCCTCCTTTTCTAGGCAGGTGCCATGATTAGAAATTAGACAGGAAAGAAAGAAATTTTTTTTTTAAATATAGGATGTTATGATTAAAAGCTAGAATAAGTGACAGAAATAAAGGGAATATTAATGTATTTCATTTTTATTTGATAAAAGTAATAACGAGAAATAGGGGGAATAATTGAATAATGATAGACTGTAATCTAATATAAATGTGTATTGTTATGGGAATTAAGTTGATTGAATGTAATAATAATATTTAAACTGATCAGTTTTGTTTGTATTGGAATATATGGCACCCAGATGCCACACTGCTTATGCATTGATCTGACATTTTTATAAAAAAAAATTAAAAAAATTATGGTGCATGCCAATGCTTGGCTATACATTCATTTAATACACAATCAGTAATTTGTAAATAAATCGTTCACATCTGCCACACTCATGTATTTTTCTATCCCTGGGGTTTTTTTCTCCCCAAAACCTAATTTACTTACAACTGTAAGTAAACTACAAAGTATTTTGGAAAAGTGATTTTGTCCTACCATAGTCAAAGATGTTTGAGACACATTGTTTGGAGCAATCCAACTTGATGGTATTAGAAAAGGTTTCAATGGCATCCTGATTTTGGCAAAGGCAGCAGGACATTTTCCTAGGCAAAATACTGTGGATGAAAAAAGACAAGGGCTTCACAAACTTTTATTATTACTTCTACAAGTTACAGTTCAATCTAGCCCTTTCAGTCCGGTGCCAGTTTAGAACAATCACAAGGAAAGCTCTCTCTGTCCATGTGGCACAGAACTGGGTTGAGGTAATAAGGAGTTAAGATACAGATAGTAAACAATGGTGATAATTGCTCCCCAGCATGGGAGTCTAAGAATATCTGACTACTAGTCAGATATTATATTTCTATACAGCATTACACAGTCAAGTGGATGAAGCAGAGAGCCATCAGGAAAAGGGCCTCGTTACTAGATTTAAGTGGTGCAGGCAGGGAAACAAGTTTTGAGGGGGAAGTTTCTTAGGCCTTGTGTATCTAGAATTCTCCAGATATTTATTGCAGGCTAGTACTACAACTTAGAGCCTCTTCTTGAATTCAGTATTAAGGTACAGTAGTAGAATCTTGCTGGAATCTGGCTTTATCAGATCCTTGTACATTTAAGCGGTACAATTGCTCAGGAGTTAATACGCTGAGATCGTCAGCTGGAAACTCCCTCCATAAGAAACTGAGATGAGCATCTCTCTTACAGTCAGACTCGACTGGACAGGGAAACCTTTACATTCATTCTTGGTACATTTAACGCATCAGTTCTATCTAAATATAATAGGTCTTAGCCCTACTTCTCAAGGTCTTTTTAACTAGAAAGAACCTTTGCATCTAGCTAAAGTATATGCTTTGTATGCTGAAGTTTTCATGCCAGAAAATAGAAATTCCACAGAGAAATAAAACTTTTTGTAAAGTTCAGAACTGGTAAGGAGAAAAGGATGAAATTGCGATGTGGGTAAAAATATATATATACATCAATTCAATCCCTGATAATTTCAGATGGGATTGGGAAAACATTAAAAATTTAAAGCTACTATCAATCAGCAGCTATGCTCAGAACATATTCTTCATAGTAACTCAATCAGAGTTAATTTAGTTAAATCAAATTTATGGGCTCACATGATACTGTGACTCATAAAGAATTACAGAGATTGGGTTTGCACAACATTAATTATATGCTGTCGTTGGTGTCAAATCTTACCAACCACATAGACAGACTTTCTCCAGGACGATCTGTTCCCATATGGCTTCTCAGGTCTTCCGGTAATCTATCAATCACTGCTGTAATCTAGTCTATCCATATTTCTGCTAAACATCCCTTTCTCTTTTGTTCCATATTTCTAGCATTTAAGAGAGCTGGGTCCTCACATAATAAAGTCCAAAATATAATAATCTGGACTTGGACATACCTTGAGTGAAAATTCTGGATTGATTTGTTTTATGATCTATTTCTTTTCTTGGTTATCTATGATATTCTCAGGGGTGTTCTCCAACATCAAAGTTCAAAAATATCTACATTATTTCTATAAAGTCCAGCTTTCACTTGATCTTTGTAGATGTGGACAAATCACAGGATCTGAACATCTTTTCTAAGTTCTTCATTGCTTCCTTACCAGGTGCTAGTCTATGGCAGGGGTCTCCAACTTTGGCAACTTTAAGCCTGGTGGACTTTGACTCCTTGGCTAGCTGGGGAATTCTGGGAGTTGAAGTCCTCCAGGCTTAAAGTTGCCAAGATTGGAGACCCCTGGTCTATGGCATATTTCTTGATGGCTAATTTCTTTACTGTTGATAATTAATCCTAAAATGCACAAGCTATTTATCACTTCAAAATCTCCATAGTCAGTTCTGAAGTGTAACATACCAGGGTAAAGTAAGACTGGCTTGTTTGTAATTCAATGTCATACATGCACAACCAAAGTAAAACAACTTTCTCCCTCCCGGTGAGCTTCAAAATTGCTTGATAAACTAGTGAATGAATGAAATTCAAATACCTGGGAGGCTCCCAGTTAGGGAAAGCTAGCATAGATAATATTAATGTAGGCTATTTGGCTAAAACAGATTGTTATGCTCTATCCTCTATTTTTATAAATTTATGACTTATACTATGGTTTGATCTCAGGGATTACTTTCTATATTAACTAGCTTTTTCCAGACTTCCAGACACATCTGACTTCCACAAAGTTAACATGTACTAAAAGTATTTTAGCACCTTTAATCCTAAACTCCCTATCATTATTCACTGCTGAACATTAATGGAACATTCCTTGGATGTCCCTGCCAGGGATGGGGTTCTAAAATTTTTTACTACTGGTTCTGTGGGCGTGGCTTATTTTGTGGGTGTGGCTTGGTGATCATGTGACAATTATTTAGGATTTAGCAGAGGTACTGGTCTACCAGGCTTTTAACTGCTTGCAGAGCTGTACCGATCTACCCATTTACTTTTGCAGGCACTGGTCTACCCATTTATTTTTGCAGGCACTGATCTACTCATGTATTTTTGCAGGCACTGGTCTATCCATTTATTTTTGCAGGCACAGTCTACTTACTTACTTACTTACTTACTTACTTACTTACTTACTTACTTACTTACTTACCTACTTACTTACTTACTTACTTACTTACTTACTTACTTACTTATTTATTTATTTATTTATTTATTTATTTATTTATTTAATTTGTATACCATCCTTCTCCTTTCGGACTCAGGGCGGTGAACAGCCAAAATAAAAACATTTGTACACAAAAGTTAAAATAATTATTTAAAACTAATTAAATAGAATTTAGCCCATAATTTAAAACATATCAATTAAAATCAATATTAAACATTAAAACCAACATGGAATCAGGCCAGCCTGGCTAGCTGAAAAAAGTAAGTTTTTAGGGCCCGACGAAAAGTCCGGAGGTCTGGAGGTAGATCGTTCCAGAGGGTAGGTGCCACAACAGAGAAGGCTCTCTCCCTGGGAGTCGCCAGCCGACATTGTCTGGCTGACGGCACCCTGAGGAGGCCCTCTCTGTGGGAACAAACCGGCCGGTGGGAGGCGGTTTGGTGGCAGAAGGCGGTCCCGTAAGTACCCTGGCCCTAAGCCATGGAGCGCTTTAAAGATGGTCACCAACACCTTGAAACGCACCCGGAAGTCCACTGGAAACCAATGCAGCTCGCGCAGGAGAGATGTCACGTGGGAGTGCCCCATCGCTCCCATAATCCCCCGCGCGGCCGCATTTTGTACCAGTTGGAGCCTCCGGGTGCACCCCAAAGGGAGCCCCATATAGAGAGCGTTACAATAATAACGCTCTCTAATTTGTTTTCTTTTAACACTGATCAGCTGTAGGGCAGCCCTCTGAAGCCCCACGGCAAGAGTTTAAAGTTTTTTTCCCTCTAGCCATCAGCTGGGACTCAGGAGGCAGCAAAAGATTGGGGGTGGGGCCAAATAAAAGGTAAGAATAACGCAGAGGGTCGGGGGGTGGGGGGGCCAGAACTGGTTCATATCATCACTGCTACCGGCTCAGCGGAACCAGGCTGAACCGGGAGAACCCACCACTGGTCCCTGCTCTCCCTCTTACCTGCAGTTCATATTGTATCAGGGGTGACATTCAGCAGGTTCTGACAAGGTTCTGGAGAACCGGTAGTGGAAATTTTGAGCAGTTCAGAAAACTGGTAGCAGAAATTTTGAGTAGTCTGGAGAACCGACAAATATCACCTCTGGCTGGCCCCCGAGTGGGGTGGGAATATAGATTTTGCAGTATCTTTCCCCCTGGAGTGGGGTGGGAATGGAGATTTTGCAGTATCCTTCCCTTGCCACGCCACACCACATCCATCAGACTACGCCCACAGAACCAGTAGTAAAAAAAAATAGATTTCAACACTGTATTGTATGTATGCGAAAGAGCAAGACTGATAGCAATGTACAAACTATCTGTAAGAGATTTTCACCTGCCAGTTTTGATGTTTTCATTAATAAATTTTAGTTGATAGGTTCTAAGAAACTCTGGCTTGTTTTGAGATGTACTGTGGACAAAAAATGTTCTGGGACAATCACCATATCCACAGGCAACATCCATGATAACTGAGCATTCTTGTTGGGAAATGTGTATTAATACTGGCTTGAGCTACTATTACTTTTAATATTAGTAAAATGCTCCCCATGAGGAAATGACAACATCTGCAGTGGCATTTTCAAAAGTATGAGAGGAGGGAAAAAAGAAGAGAAGGGGGAAAGGGATAATATGGCCCCCTTCCCATTTTGTCTTGGAAATTACAGAATAAGATCAGAAGTACTTACAGAGTTTTCAACTTGAAGGACATTTTGAGCAAATTCTCTAGTATGTCTATGGTTATTTCTGTAGAGCCAAGGTCCCTGCAAAAAAAAGGACATGCTGACTTTTCCAGAGATAGGGAGAGATAGACAATTTGCAGAACACAGCCAGTGAAAATAAATTCATGACGTTGAGTGGGAGACTTTGTCTCATTGGCTATCCTTTGACTTGGTTCAGTAGTGGATAACCTTTATGCCAAAAAAGAAGGAGCATGGGGGGGGCGCACATGCCCACACCCATAATTCAGTGCACCTTGCTACCCCACACATGCGTGCGGGATTCCCCCTGCTTTTGGCCTGGTGGGCCCAGTAGGCTCATTTTTCGCCCTCCCCAGGCTCCAGAGGCTTTCTTGGAGCCTGGGGAGGGCTCCCCCCAGAGGCCAGAAACGGCCCATTTGCTGACTTCTGATGGAACCAGAAGGCCCATTTTTTGCTCTTGTCAGGCTCCAGAAGCTTTCTAGGAGCCTGGGGAGGGCAAAAACAGCCTTCCCTATCCCTCCGGAAGCTCTCTGGAGGCCAGAAACAGTGTGTTTTCTGACTTTCAGTGGGCCTGGAAGGCCTGAAAAATAGCTGGCCGGCGCGTGCACATGCCAGAACTGAGCTAAAGCAGCACTCCTGTGCCCACCAATATGGCTCCACATACCACCTATGGCACTTGTGCCATAGGTTCGCCATCACGGACCTAGTTTATGACTGGGCTTACAACACAGTTAACCAAGTTAAGACCTAGCATCTACAGTCACATAATAGGCAAAATTAGATTATTTTAAATCTTATTTTGTGCTCTTTTTTTGGATTAGCATGATATGTTTATAGTTCAGTACACCGAGCAAACACATTACCCGTTTAGTAGCCCACTTTCATATTCAATAACCAATGTAAGTGTTGAGAGCTCAGTTTATCTGATTGGATTGCTCAAATATAAAATGAATAAATATTACTGTTTCACTGCTCTGAGCTCCTTGAGGAAAAGGACACAAACAACAATGTGGTAATTTAAAAGTAATCAAATGATTTGACCAGCTGCTGTAGGGAGGTAGGAAAGGGATTGCTTCTGCTGAACAATACTATACATAACACTTCATCATGCAGAGCTGGGTTGGAAAGTTGCCATGACTTATCCCTCAAGCTGAGTTTCAAATGCCAGGATGTAAATCCTGCCACATTGGAATCAATGCTTAAAGTAAGAAAAGAAATACATATAAAGATGTTCCTTCCTATTAAATAATCAAAGCCCATCACTGAGATAGTTGGCACTGGTTTCCATAGGAGTTGTCAGAGTGATTAAGTCTGGGCATGGGAAGACCCAAGTTCCAGTCTCCACTTAATTGTCTGAACTCCCTCGGTGATTTTGGATCAGCCACTCATTCTCAGCCATCCTAACCCACAAGGCTTTTGTTGGTGGGCAACTATGGCCCTTTTATGACTTGTGGACTTCAACTCCCAGAATTCCTGAGCCAGCCATGTTAGCTCAGGAATTCTGGGAATTGAAGTCCACAAGTCATAAAAGGGCCATAGTTGTCCACCTCTGTTGTAGGGGAATACATACATTGTGATAAGTTCACACCAAATAAAAATACTAACAGTTGATTTTGAACAAGGCTTGAGCTTCAATGCTTATTCTAAAAATTAGCTTTATAGATCGATTTGCCTAAAGTCTTCCAGTGGGTACAAAATATATTGGGATGGTTTCCTTTGCTATGTGCTGACAAAAAACAAATGTAGAATTAAAGCAACTTCATGTAGTTCCATGGATTCATTCATAAATTCCAGCCTAGGTATGAGATCCAGGACCCAGGATTAAAAATTAACATAATGAAATGCTGACAACTGCAAATATAAAATATACAATGCTTTCCTACTCCTTTTGCTCTTCTTTACATACACATATAATTCATGCCTATTTTGTTTTCTCCTCACAAAAATAACCCTGTAATTTATTTACAATTACCAACTTTTCCTTCAGACCCCAAGGCCAACTACCTAACCATCTCAATGAAGCCTAGTTCTAGTCTTCTAGTGATATCTTTTTTCCTGATCTAGATGTTAAAGCACTGAGAGCTAACGACTAGTCCATGGTTCAGATGGGTTTGCTGATCACGTACCTGGCTCCCTGCCACGTGGCAGCAGCCCTGCCCGAGCTACTCAACGTTATCGCCGCGGTGGCAGTTGATACCCCCAGACTTATGGTCATGGGGGATTTCAACCTGCCGTCCGTGGGTGAGACGTCTGAGGTGGCTCGGGAGTTCATGGCTTCCATGACGGCTATGGATCTGACCCAGCTAATTCATGGCCCTACGCACATGGGGGGAAACACACTGGACCTGATTTTTGTCTCTGGACAGTGGCTGAGTGATCTCGAGATAGGGGACATAGTCATCGAGCCCTTGTCATGGTCGGATCACTCTCTCCTTCGCCTTGATCTTCGAACCGCTGCTCCCCGCCGCAGGGAGGCGGAACCGATAAGATGGTACCGCCCCAGGCGCCTGATGGAACCTGATAGGTTCCAGACGGAGCTTGGGCCAATGCCTGAGGTCCTGGCTCACGCCTCGACTGGAGACTTAGTGGCCGCCTGGGATAGGGCGGCCGCTGGAGCTCTGGATCGAGTCGTGCCTTTGCGGCCTCTGACCCGGCGCCGATCTCACCTGGCTCCTTGGTTTACTGAGGAGCTGAGGGAGATGAAGCGCCGAAAAAGACGCCTAGAGAGTAGTTGGAGGGCCAGTCGCACTGAATCTGACCGGACACTGGTAAGATCTCTTATTAAGAATTACCTAGTGGCGATAAAAGCAGCGAAATGTACTCATCTTGCTGCTCTTATTGCGTCATCAGATAACCGCCCGGCTGCCCTGTTTAGGGTGACCCGCTCCCTGCTCCACCAGGAAGCGAGGGAGGACCCCTTGGAGGGGAGAGCCGAGGATTTTGTTCAGTATCTGTATGACAAAATCACTCAGATTCGGGAAGATCTGGACTCTGACTGGGTAGATCCAGTGGGGATGACGGAGGCAGGTCCTGAGAATGTTATCTGGGATGAGTTTGACTCTGTGACCCCTGAGGACGTGGACAGGATTCTGGGTAGACTGAATGCGACCACGTTTGTTGGACCCGTGCCCCTCCTGGTTAGTGCTGGCTTCCCGGGAGGTGACGCGAGGCTGGCTCCAGGGGATTATAAATGCTTCATTGAGTGAGGGTGTCTTTCCTGCCGCCTTGAAAGAGGCGGTGGTGAGACCTCTCCTCAAGAAGCCTTCCCTGGACCCGGCAATATTGGCTAATTATCGTCCAGTCTCCAACCTTCGCTTTGTTGCGAAGGTTGTTGAGAGTGTGGTGGCACGACAGTTTCCCCGGTACCTGGATGAAACGACGTATCTAGATCCGTTCCAGTCGGGCTTCAGGCCTGGGTACAGCACGGAAACGGCATTGGTCGCGTTGGTGGATGATCTCTGGAGGGCTCAGGACAGAGGTTGTTCCTCTATCCTGGTCCTATTAGATCTCTCAGCGGCTTTTGATACCATCGACCATGGTATCATGCTGCACCGGTTGGGGGGGTTGGGGGTGGGAGGCACCGTATTACGGTGGTTCTCCTCCTTTCTCTCCGACCGGTCGCAGTCTGTGTTGACAGGGGGGCAGAGGTCGACCCCGAGGCCCCTTATATGTGGGGTGCCACAAGGATCGGTCCTCTCGCCCCTTTTGTTCAACATTTATGTGAAGCCGTTGGGCGAGATCATCCGTGGTTTCGGGGTGGAGTACCATCAGTATGCTGACGACACCCAGCTGTACATCTCCACCCCAGACCACCCCAACGATGCCCTTGAAGTGATGTCCCGGTGCCTGGAGGCCGTACAGATCTGGATGGGGAGAAACAGGCTCAGACTCAACCCATCCAAGACCGAGTGGCTGTGGTTTCCGACATCCCGATATAGTCAGCTGGTGCCATCGCTGACTATTGGGGGCGAAGTATTGGCCCCCACGGAGAGGGCTCGCAACTTGGGTGTCCTCCTGGATTCACGGCTGTCTTTAGAAGAGCACTTGACGGCCGTGACCGGGAGGATTTTTCATCAGGTTCGCCTGATTCGCCAGTTGCGTCCCTTTCTGGATCGGGACTCGTTACGCACGGTCACTCATGCCCTCGTCACCTCCCGTCTGGACTATTGTAACGCTCTCTACATGGGGCTCCCCTTGAGGAGCACTCGGAGGCTCCAACTGGTGCAGAGTGCGGCCGCGCGGGTGGTGATGGGAGCGACGTGGCGCTCCCATGTAACGCCTCTCCTGCGCGAGCTGCACTGGCTCCCGGTGGTCTTCCGAGTGCGCTTCAAGGTTTTGGTCATCACCTTTAGAGCGCTCCATGGCTTAGGACCTGGTTATCTACGGGACCGCCTGCTACCACCAATAGCCTCCCACCGACCAGTACGCTCCCATAGAGAGGGGCTCCTCCGGGTGCCGTCGGCCAAACAATGTCGACTGGCGGCCCCCAGGGGGAGAGCCTTCTCTGTGGGGGCACCTACTATCTGGAACGAGCTCCCCCCCGAGATACGGAGGATTCCGGATCTGCGTACCTTCCGTCGCACGCTGAAGACGTTCCTATTCCAGCAAGCCGGCCTGACCTAAACTTCTCCTCTTTTCAATGGGAATTTTAAATTTGGTTTTAAATTATTGGGGTTTTAAATATGGTTCAGCCAAATTTATCTAACTTGTTTTATTTCTATTTTAAATTTTGTATTTATATGTTTTATTTCATGGCTGTTCACCGCCCTGAGTCCTTTGGGAGTAGGGCGGTATACAAATTTAATAAAATAAATAAAATAAAATAAATGGTTATGCTATTCTATGGCTGTAAGAAAATCTGGACCCAGGTAATTCTGACTCTGACCAAGGACCATATTGATCTTCAGATATAGTAGCCCAAGCCAAATTAATCAGGGAAGAAAAAAAGCTGAATGCATTCCAGAGTAAACAAACCCTTAATAAAGCCAAGAGCAACTTCACACATACAGGTATTTCAGTGAGGGCAATTTGTAGAAATGGGAATCCTCAATCTTTCTCAGTGGGTTATGGTTGAGAATCCTGAAGGACAAAAGAGCTGGTTATAAGTTTGGCACAATTGAGGGTAGCAGAATAAAACAGGAAGAATTCAGGTATTGTATAAGCAACACGTTATTCAAATTTTCTTTTGGTCTTTGACCTTAAATAACTTTATTATTAACTACTAATCCTACTGGTAAGAAATAATAAGCAAAAGAAATTAAAGGCAGCAGATCTGAAAAAAGAAATATAAATCCAGTTTATATCAGCATTTTTACTTTATTTCTCCGCATTTTCCTACCTACAAGCAAGTATCCTTGTTTCCATGCCCATCCCATATTTTGTCTTTACTTTTTTCCCTTCTGTCTTTTGAGATCCTTGTCAATTCCATTCAGTCACATTTTCCTTTTCTCTCAGTCCTCTTTCTTCATGTATTGTTTTGCATTTCCCACTCAGTTTAAACCATCTCAACAAACTGCATCTCTTCCATACTGGCTAATTACTTTTGTGTTTAATCCACATTTGTTCATCATCAATATTCTTATGGACCCTTGATTTCTTTTTAAGAAGTAATATACTATTTTTAAGTAACTCATTTCCACTGCATTCAACTTTGTTATATTTATCTGGCATACTTAGTTCTCACTTCCAGTCAAAAAAGTGGCAGGAGCATGCTCTTATCCTTAGCAAAATTCCCCGAGTATTCAAGACTAGTAGCCTTTGATGGATCTTTTCTCTTTTTTCCTTTAGAACTACTCAAGGTAATATTTGCTACATCTTATGGTAAAGAATTTATCTGGCTTATTTTGCACCAGATAAAATGTTATATTTCAAGTGCACTAAACCTATTTCTGATTGTCTTATTCTTCCCTTTCATTTTTTCCGTTCAATTAAAGAACAGGTTCCTCTTACCACCAAATTCATTCAAAAGCTCCTAATAGGAACTTTGCCTCTTTTTAAATCAATCCCTCATTTCTGACCATCTCCTTTGAGGTCAGTGTGATTGCATGTATGTTAAATGTAGCAAAGCCAAGTTCTCTACTTGTTCTCTAAGATCTTGTGCTAGATTAAAGGTATACCTAAATTCTTATTTTTTTGGGATCATTTCTCCCAAAATGATCCTATTCCATCAAAGGCTTTGTCTCACATTTTACAGACTAAACAATAACATTAATGCTACCTAAATTCGAGAGATTAATGTTCTCAAGGAATACTTTCCAATTTAGTGATTCTTTACTCACAAGAGTTTTGTGAATGAGGTTCGGATTGTGTAGTTTACCAGCTCTCCTGTTTAAATTTGCAAATATTTCCACTACAGCGCTTACCTTTTTGTTAAAAACTAAAGTAAAAAATATATGATATTTTCCCTTCCCTCTCTAAGTTGTTTGAACATGAAAAAAGAGGGTTTGTGAGAAAATGCTTAGTATCTCAAAGGGTTAAAGCTCTGCCATTGTATTTTGGGTGACTTGCCTTAAATATATTGTAGCAACAATGAATTTAAGGACCATTGCTATACTAATAGTGCCTCGAATCTCACTTATCTATTATGTATTTATATAGCTCAGTAAGAATTCATCACAAAATGCTAGTTATTGTTACTCCAAGGAAGCAGTGTGGAATAACCAATGTTATGGGAACAATGGGATGTAAAGTCATAACAATATAAGAAAATATCCCAGATATGTCATGGTGGGAGATCAAGACATCTGCCTTGGAGACCAACTTAGAGACTGTTGGCTGTCCCTACTCAGAGGCTATATCGTCTCCTTCTCCTTCAAAAGAGAAGTGTTTGGGATTGAAAGCCATCATACAAGCCTGTTGATCTCCTGCAAGCATTAGGGGAGAGTTTATGCCCCATTGTTAGAAGCCATCTATCTCACCTACTATATGACTTTCACTTACAACTTGTATAGCAACTGCATTCCGTGCCAGGCCTGAAAAGCCCCCTGTGTTATCCGCACAATACGATTGCCACTGAGATTGCTGGAAAGGAAACGAAAGCAAGAGAGCTATGTAGAATGTCTTCCACTGTATTAAATAAACAACAGATAAAATAAAGCAGACCCAAAATAACTTTTTTCTTCTTCTTCGTTGACTGGGGATGTGAGAATTACATGCAGGGTGAGGGTGATTTCTTCCTTTTCCAATGAACTAGCTGTATACTCCCATTCTGACCTTTTGAACAATCACTCCAGGCTTCCTCCAATTACCATGCTAGTTCTTCAGTTAGAAGCGTCAATGCATGTTTAGGGTTAAGGTGTCATTATTTAATAGGACGGCAGAGCTCATGGGGGCTAATTAAATCCCCTGCAAGCCATATAATTTTGCCTCTAGAGATTCCAAGTTCATAGTAAGCCCTACAGCTCCATAAAAACACTTTAGGCTCTTCCCACTTATGAAGACTTAGGTATGCCCTGCCAATCAAACCTAGAGTTGAATCTTGATCCACTCAGAGTTCAGTCTGAACTCATACGGTAGTTCTTAGAAAATGCAAAATTCGTATTGTCTTCCCTGAGTCAAGCCCTCTAGAGAGAGATCTGCCTCCTTTATCCTTGAGTCCATGCTCCCCTCCCCATTTTAAATATTGTTGACGGCAGGTCAACCATTCAGTAATAAGTCATTGACACACTTAACAGCTGGAAGATTTATTGCCATTTGATTTCAGTTTGCCTCCTTCCCCAATTTCCACCATGGTTTAAACTGTGTGTGTGTGTGTGTATTTTTATTTTTATTTTTTGCTTAAAGACTTACATAGATTGCAGAAGTGGAACAGGTTCAAATGCATTTTTCTCAATGGTCTGTATTCGATTATATGAGACATCCCTGTTTAAAAGAGCACACATATTATATTACACCTGGAACAAAATGCCAGCTCCATCTTCACCTCTCACAGTTGCTTTATGTGTTTTTCATTTATTTGCTAGTCTGTAATATATAGCTTTAATAAAATATAGCAAGCCAATATGTGGTGTGTGGGTGAGATCAGCACAGCACTTCACACACAACAAGGCTCCTTGTGCCATTGTTTTTCCATCTACCCCCTTATAGTTTAATTATTGTTTTCAGCACTATTGTCCATGGTAGCAAGCAGAACGGGGAAGTATAGCCCCGCATACAGTCAGTTTGGTGTAGCGGTTAAGGCACGATGCTAGCAGCAGGAGACTGTGAGTTCCAGTTCCACCTTAGGCATGAAAGCTGTCTGGGTGACTTTGGACCAGTCTCTCTCTCTCTCTCTCTCTCTCTCAGCCAAACTCACCTCACAGGGTTGTTGTTTTAAGGAAAATAGGAGGAGGAAGGAGTATATTGTGTATTTACTGTCTCGAGTTAGTAATAAAAAACAATAAAGGTGGAGTATAAACAACCTATCTGGAGGGCATCAGCTTGGAGAAGGCTGTCCTAAAACTTTGCAGATTTGTCTGTCTCCCACACTGCTGCTTTTAGTAGGTTGAAGATAAGCACATTTCTGGAGGGCTTTTGAGTATTTATGGCATATATTTGTTTTCATTTTATCTACTTTTTTTTTTATTCTTTATGGTATCTTGTAGGTCACCAAGAACCTTGTAATTGTGGTGGCATACAACTTTGTTGCCTAAGCAAATAAGCATGATGAAATCCCACAGAACTATAAGATTGGGGGACTCCAGTGCCAACTAGAAATCTCATCTAATCCCCAATCTCACAAGTAAGGCCTCATATCCAGCTATCTAAAGGCAGTACCCATTCTCAACTCCCACCCAAACATAGCAATTCTGCTAACATAGCTTTGGTGCCATATTCCTTCTTCATGCTCAGCCAGGTCTCGGTAATGCACAGCAAGATGGCTGCCCAAGGATTAAACCTAAAATTAGGGTTAGAACTTTATTAAAAACCAATATTATTCAAAAGCACCAGCCAGAGTTCAAAGCCTAAGGAAATTGAGGATCAGCACAGGGAATCAGGACCCAGAACGAAAACAATACATTGAGACTGTGAACAGCCCACTCTCTACCTCCAACTCTTATCTTTCAATGCCCATTACCACTACCATATTTCTACTTGCCCCCAAGATCAGCCCATCCCTTGCCCTTGCCCCTTCTGATTGGTATTATGAGTTGTGGTGGCGCAGTGGTTAGAATGCAGTACTGCAGGCTACTTCTGCTGACTGCCCGTTGGCCTACAATTTGGCAGATCAAATCTCACCAGACTCAAAGTTGACTCAGCCTTCCATCCTTCCGAGGTGGGTAAATTGAGGACCCAGATTGTTGGGGTCAATAGGCTGACTCTGTAAACCTCTTAGAGAGGCCTGTAAAAGCACTGTCAAGTGGTATGTAAGTCTGCGTGCTATTGCCTAGGATGCTTTTGACAGACACAAACCACACCACCTTTCTATCCAATCTCTAATCATCCACTGCACTCCCAGGTGCCCCATTTTTATTGAGGAACCGCCATCCATCAAAACTAGGTCAAACTGCTACCCCCTCCAATCCAACATGCAATGGATTAGGTAGTCAAAGCTTCTGTTATCCTTAAACCACTGTTAAATTCAAGCAACTCAACTATAGCCAAGACTTTCTAACTAAAAGTTCCTTTAGCCTTTGATGAAACTTCAGGGAGCAGAGTATCAGAATCTTAAGAAGACCATGAGATCTTAGGACATATGTCTATTTTGGCTGCTCTTAGTATCCTCAGATCCCTTCATGATGTGAAGTAGATGAAATGGCTGCCTTCCCCTTCCGGGCACTGTGTCACAAACAAAGCAAGATGGCTACTATCCTTTTAATCTCTCTACCATGGTATAGTCCACAAGCCCCCCCCCTTCTAGAAAAAAAATGCTTTTTTGAGAGGAGCAAATCCCAAGAGAGCTAATGCTAATGGAGTGTGATTTCCCACAAATTCGTATGTGGTCTTTGCAGCAAGGAATGAAGCTATTGCAAAGCACTCTCAACATTACATTTCCTAAAAGAGAGCTTGACTGAATAATCAGCACTTCAAAGGAGGTCCGGTGCTGGCAGATGCTGACCCAGTTCAAATTAACTTTGCTAGAAGGCTGAGGATAATTCTACAATAAACAAATCTTTTAACTCTCAGCCTTCCTGATTCTGTTAATCTAAGGCTGATTTGCACTGTTTTGACTATTTTCAACACCAGGACATCATAATTATAAACATATAAAATTATACAAATTTTAAATAAGAGCTAATCGGTGTTGGCCTGGTTTGATTAGTGGTTGAACTGAACACAGACTTCTCAGCCAAACAACATCCATTCACTGATCAACTCGGTGTTTTTTCTCATCCTGCCTTCTTTGATCAATCCATAAATTCACATTGATTCACCCTCCGCACAAAAATAATAATTTTAATAAGTCTAATTTCCCTCCATGTTTCTGTACTCATTGGGGAGGACATCCCAAAACTTCGGCCTTTTGGCTTCTTTATCTAGGAATGCCAGCCTACTACTGAGCAATTTCAGTGTCAGGAAACCAGATGAGGCAATCATTTCAAAGGAAAGCCAGGAATATAACTTCAAATCAAGGAAGCAAATCATTCCTTCAAAAGGGAAGACACAAGCGCAGAGAAAACATAGGAATAAAGTGTAAGCTTTATAATTGCATGCTCTGCTTGTTAGGAACTTGATCATTAGGAGTTTCACTCAGTTTAAAAGTGGGACAGTCCTTTGGGAAATAGCAAGTAAGACATGGCTAGGGATAGAAACTTACAGATGTATGAGTGAAAGCAAGCCATCTAGAGACGCATTATCCAGTCGGCTCAAGTGATTGTTCTTGAAGATCCTAAAGAGATGGAAGAAAATTTAGAACATACAGGCAAAATCACAGCCTTTCGCTGTGGTGGAAGATGGATACCATACTCTCCATTTCACTAGTCTATGTGCAGTGGTGAGACACTTGTGATGCATAACCTCCAAGCATTAACAATGGAAATGGATATTCCTTCCAAGTTAGTTATGTAGGATGAACATGAGAGTATACTCACAAGTATTCAGTCCAAGGATAGGCCCACCACACCCGTTTGTTAATGGAAGAAACTGTGTTTCCAGTAAAATCCCTGGAGGGAAAAAATGAATATGAGAGAATACATACAATTCAAATGTACAGAATGTCTTGAAATGAGCATTATGTTCTACCTCTGATTTGTACATCACATTAATCTTACACACTAAATGGAGATACATCTGGAAAAAAAATGATACACCTCAAGCCACCACAGAATTTTCTCAAGATCAGCCACAGGTGTCCAGATGTGTTTCCCCTTACACACACTTTCATTTTTGTTATTCACAGACTGGTGAACCTGTGGTCTGGCAGCTCTAACCTTCACAAACAACAGTGAGGGACACTGACAGTTGCACTTCAGTCACCTCTGGAAAATCACAAGTTGCCTATAAGTAGACCTTAAAATGAAATATTGGGAAGAAACTGATCTTACAATATTTCTTGAGTTGGCTCTGGGGCAAACAGCTGCCTTGACATTTCTGCTAAAAAAAACAAACCAAACATTAAACTAAACTGAAAATGAGAACATAACAACTCTTCTGAAACCCTATTATATTATGCTTGTTGATTTGTCTATATTCTTATAAAAATACAGCAGGCTTAGTCAAAATATGTTGGGACTAAGGCTTCCCCTTCTTTAGCATCACATGAATTTCACAATTTCTAAATATATCAGTAGAATTGGAAGACAGTTGGTTTTTGTGTGTAAGGGAGACCTAGAACTCAGAGTTTAATGATTTCAAGGCCAAATCTATAACAATTATATTAAACTGGCTATTTTATATAATAAAAATAGAAGAAATTGTTTTGTTATTTTGTCACCTCCTTCTAATATGTATTGATATTCCCTACTGAGTCTATTTGGAATGAATGAATGAATATATATATACCTGTATATATATACCTGGTCTACCCCAACATGTGGGAGGGGGCATTCTGCTCCCTTTCGCCTTTCAGCTCCAATCCAGGAGCCCTCAAGCAGTCGCATTCATGACAAACCATTTTATACCAAATTTATATTTTGCTGATAAAGAAATAAAGGGAGACTAGTTAATCTCATTCACAAGCTTCTGGGCTTTTTTTCTGCTGACAAACTGCAACTCTGTGTTGCTCTCTGGGAGACTCAGATAGCTATTTCTGCCTTTTAAGGCGTCGTCAGTGAGCCACACCCACTTCTCAGATATTCCCCCTGTAAAGGTACAATGTGTCTTTTTCTTTTTCGTAGGCTTTTATGTGCATATTCTTTCTAGCCAGGTTTTACAGAAAAAAAGCCCAGAAGCTTGTGAATGAGATTTCACAGAACCAGGGCTGCAGAACAACCTAGCATATTTTTTGGAGTATAACACACACTTTCCCCCCCTAAAAGTGGCTGAAAAATTGGGTGCGTCTTATACTCCAAATGTAGCTCCATCCACCCACCGGCCCCCACCCTTCGGCCTCGGTGTGTCCTCTTCCTGACTGCAGAGATTGCCACAGACAATGGCTTACGTTTTTGGGCTCTGCGCCTCTCTTTTTCAGCCTCCAAATGCTGTTTGAGTGTAGTTCAAGGCTGCGGGGGTTGCCAAAACACATTGCTGCTGATCGCTGCCTCCGGGCATTGCATTTTAGGCTTCTGCGCATTGCATTTTAGGCAGTGGTGGGATTCAGCCAGTTCGCACTTCGGGAGAACCGGTTGTTAACTTTCTGATCAGTTTGGCAAACTGGTTGTTGGAAGAAATCATTAGGGCAGAGAACAGGTTGTTAAATTACTTGAATCCCACTGATTTTAGGGCTCTGCACATCCCGTTTTTGGCCTCTGTGCATCGCGTTTTTGGGTGGCAATGTGCTTTGGTGATTTCACGGAGGCGCTCATAACCAGTGAACTAATGTGCTGAAGCTGACCAGGCTAAGGACGCTAGCCAGATGAATATCTGGTAGGCAGAGGCAGAATTTTTTTTTCCTATTTTCCTCCCCAAAAACTTAGGTGCGTTTTATATTCTGGAGCATCTTATACTCTGAAAAATATGGTAATTTTTTAAAAAAAAACACTTTTGGCTTTTCTCACAAACTTCTTTGTCTAATCTGTAATATAACCTTTGAGTATGTTAATAATGCATTCAAAGGTGTATTTTATGTCTACCTGCCTACAGTGTTCAGAATAAATAACTTTAGTTTCAGATTAATTTTTTAATTAGGTCCTCTCCAAATGTTTTGAACTACAATAGGTATTAGGCCTCCAGAGCTATTGGATCACATTTTCCATACCTGCAGTTAGCACACCCATGTTAAATGGGGATGATTGAGAGTATAATGCAACAACAAATTGTAATATTGCCACTGCCCTTAGTAACCTTTTTTTTTTTTTTTTGCTGATTGCTATCTCTTCTGTTTTTGTGTGTCTTTGAGTCAGGTAACTCCAGGTAACTGCCTGTACTACTACTTGCAATTTTTCTTGGCAGGATTTAGAAAGTGGTTTGCCATAACATTCTTCCTAGGGCTGAAAGGGTGTGACTGGCCCGAAGTCACACCACCATTTAGAGTAGGGCAACTGTTAAGATATATAAATAACGGGGGGGAAAAAACCTACCCTCTCCATATCACCTTTGGCTAGATGATAAGGGAGGAGCATAGCAAAACAATTATTTAACAAGAAAAAAAAGTACCAATATCTCCCCCCCCAAAAAAAACCTCCCACAAAGAAAGTCCAGCTGCTTTTTGAAAACATGTTATGGGGCAGCCAAGATCTTGATGCCTGCCCTCTGTCTTCCTGGCCGGGCTCCACAGCTGAGGGGCGATGGAGCAGACTTTTGCTCGTCTGGGCCGCTTCCTGAAACTGGTAAGCTCTGCAGCCAGCCATTTAGCTTTTTCCCCATGGGGCACTCGCAGGAGGCACTGGCAGCAGGTGGAGGCAGAAGCAATCCCAACCCGCTGCCCGCTCCATCCCTGTCTCTCGGTGTTCCTGCAACCGCGCCGAAGATCACCTGCCTCTCCCATGCCTCTGCCTCGATCTGTTGCCGGTGTGACCACGCAAGCCTCCTGCAAGGCAGCTGGGATCACTTCTTTCCCTTCCATTGCTGCTTCTTTCCCTTCCCCCCCCCCAAATATCTTTCCCTTCCATTCCTACTTCTGAGGAGCAGACAGCATGACTGAGAGAGCAGGGCCAGCGGTAGCACTTTAAAAAAGTAAGATCTCCCTGAAAATAAGCCCAAGCGCTTATTTTGAAGCCCAAAAGAAAATAAGACCCTGTCTTATTTTCGGGGAAACACGGTATACATTTCAGGATATACAACTTTTCACCTTTATGCTTATTGTACCTGAGAATATTATGCCTCTCACTTGTAACAAAAATTTTTTTCCCTTAAAGTGGACTTCCCTTCTCAATTATAGGTGTGGTAGTTGCCTCCAAGACTTAAATACTCACAGCATGACAAAAATATAGGGATGACCAAATGGCTCTGGAACAGGCACATGGCTGAGACCAGGAAAATTGGTAATCCTGCTGCAGTTGAGGATTTTCAATGTACAATGGCATGAGTCTGGACACGGCTGTATCGCTGCATCCAGCCACCTAAGAGGCTCCAGTAAAATTCCAAAGAAGAAAAGAAGGGTAGCCGAGGCCGCAACCCATCCCATCTTTTCCATATGCCACATCCACATCATTCCATATGGAGGCTGCACTAGTGAGGCTGGTAATGGAGAAGGTATTCCAAGGGTTCCATTTGGTTGTGACATCATTTTACCATGATTCCTGACATCATAAAATTGCCAGAACCATGGCAACAATATAGGCAATGGTCTCTTTTATAGCTAATGAGCTGATTTCATGAGATCACAAATATTTGTGATTATTTTTTTGGGTCAGAGCCATAGTGGAGAATACTGTATATTTCAACTGGAAAATCAGATTGTAAGGCTTGGCTATCATTCTCCAGCTACTCAAAGACATCAGTGTAAATTACCCAAGGCTCGAAAAAAGGGATAAATAGTAGCGGAAGAAGGATAGTAGCACATAAGACTTGTATACCCCCTCACAGTGCTACATAGCATTCTTTGATTTTATAATGTCAGCATATTACCCCTAACAATCTGGGTCCTCATTTTACCAGCCTTGGAAGTATGGAAGGCTGAGTCAACCTTGAGCCCATCAGGATTGAACTCCAGACTACGGGCAGAGTTAGCTTGCAATACTACAGAATCATCCTGAGAAGAAACAGCAGATAAATTAGAAACAGAAACTTCACGTACAACAGCCAGCTTTCTTTCTTTGAACCTAATTAATTTATTGCATTTGTATCACATTGCAAGCAGCCCAATTCTTGGAGGCTTACATGAGTACTATCAGTGGGACAATTTACAATACCTATGGTAAATATAAAATCGAAAAATATAAAATCAACCTTGAGAATATTAAAAATGACAACTATGGAAAAAATAGCAATAACAACAAAAAACCATCCCAAATAAATTAAAATACTTTCCAGAACAACTTGATCTTAATCAGGGACATCAGCCTGATTTCCATAGGAAGTTTTTTCCAAAGAACATTAAAGTGAAAATCAGTAAATGATTGCTGGAGCTTTGTGGTCATTAAATTAACACATCATCTTGCAACAGTGATTTGCTATGGCTGTGTTGTTACATACATACATCCCAAAACCCAATTTTGAAGAAATGGACAAGGCAGCACAAAAATAATTATTTCATTTAATAATCGATTTAAATTACTTGCCTGTACAATAGTATGCTCCCATTTATAATATTGTGTGATCTCACTCTCTATCCACTGACTATTATTATATACAGGAACCTCTCTCACACACACAAACAAAAGCATATTGACCATAGCATCCCCCAGATATTTTATTTCTGGGATGGCATGAGGATGAATGGGAGCTATACTAGAGAGAAAGTCGAGGTAAAATAAAGGAGGAAAATAAAAATTAACCGTAAAGGGAGAAAATATGTCTCTTGCTTCTTCCTTTTTCAATTGTTTGTTCTATTTTTATTGGCCCACTCCCTCAGTTCCCAATGATTTGGGGGTGGGAGAGAATAATCACCCTATTGGACATTTATGATAGAAAGCTAGTATCCATTTTTTTGCTGCCTATAAAAAAATATATCGTCAAATCATATTTTCTATCAGTAAGCCACTTATTAGAAAAATATAAAAACCAGAAAAAATACTACTGCCTTTCCAATCATCACTAATTATAAATAGGCAATTAGTCAGAGCCCTGCCTTCTGATTGGTAGCTTGCATTTGGTAGCTTCATCACCCAAATGCTCCAAAAACAAGGAGAACCCAGTTCCAGGGTAATGCATAATGTACTTAGGAGAGAACAGGATGCCCTTCCAAATCAGCAAGAAGAAGACAGAATCTGTGTCAATAATCTGCTATTCTCCATCCGTGTTGAAATTGCACAAGCTCTCCTCTTCTCCTAGACGGTTTAGCTGTGAAAATGACAATTCAGTAACCTGGGAAGAGAGGGAAGAAAAGCTTTGATAATTTACAGGATAATTTGCAAAGGCTGAATTCTTCAATTGTCACAGATTTTTTAATACAGTACATCTTGAAAAAATCCAATCTCTTGGATGCTTTCTGTATAGTTTAACAGAAGGCCCAAACAGCAAGAATGGGCTCCTTTTATATACAGTTTCATTCTTTTTCCGTCTTTCCCTCTTTTCACAATGAACTCTTGGATTGACATAGGATGTTACTTACATCGATCCAAAGTTCTCCATCTTTCTGATAAAGTCTTGTTAAGATATCATACAAAGCTTTCTATAGTTGTTTTAGTATGTGAATCAAGCCACCCTAGTTTAAAAATGACAGCAGATGCGACTACTGAACCCAACCAACTATACCTAATAACTCAGTAACTACAACTAAACAAACCATGACTTATTGCACTCTGCAAAAACTATTTTAAAAACATGGTTTAACTATGCAAACACATTCTAAAAGACCGACTGCTTGTTTTAATGTTCTACTCTAGCTCTGCAGATTTAGCTCCAAAAAAAATCCCACAGTATTTGGACAATAAGTACATGATGAAACTATCTTATATTTCTCCACTTTGGGAAATAGGAGTGCAGCGTAAGCTGATCCCCCGGGTACATTTTATGATATGCTTTGTTCTGTTCTGTATTGGTCATTTTTAGTCATGCTTACATGCTGGCATAGCAACTAGGACACTTGATATATTTTTGTGTATACAGGTATGCATTGACTATTTCTTTTGCTGTCTTTCTTGCTATGCCCTATTTCAGAATTCCCCAACCTTTCTGGCTTTGTGGATTGCCGGGGAGGGGTGGGGAGAGAAGGGTATAGTCAGGGGTGGGTTCTAAATTTTTTTACTACTGGTTCTGTGGGCGTGGCTTATTTTGTGGGTGTGGCTTGGAGGTCATGTGACTAGGTGGGCGTGGCTAGCTGGTCAGAGTCATTTCTGGAAGGTCCTCGCACTTACCACCAGTCCTCGCACTTACGACCCGACTCATCTATTTGCTTTTAACACTGATCAGCTGTAGGACGGCCCTTTGAAGCCCCGCGGCAAGAGTTTAAACAGTTTTTTTCCCTCTAGTCATCAGCTGGGACTCAGGAGGCAGCAATAGATTGGGGCTGGGACCAAATAAAAGGTAAGAATAACATGGGTGGGTGGGTGGGAAGAACCGATTCGATGATGTCATATCGTCACCGCTACCGGCTCGGCCGAACCGGACCGAACCGGGAGGAACCCACCACTGGGTATAGTTCCATGCAAGTGGTGGGCAAGCACACATGTGCAGCTCTATTTGTGTGAGTGGCGGGCATGTGTGCTTGTCACACGTGCAAATGACACACACTAGCCTGCTGCTTGTGCAGGTGGGGATGTGTGCGCACACATGGCTGCTACTTCTGCGCCCGAATCCAAACAGTTCATGGCCTGATAGTAGGCTGCAGCCTAGCGGTTGGAGACCCCTGGCCTATTCCACAGCCAGTTGAAAAAATGGTTAGATCAGATTAAGAGGGCAGTTTCATCTTTGAAAAGGAAGAATAACCTTATGTGTCAGATCAGAGATGCAGCTAATTATAGACAGTTTCATGAGAGGCTGGACAGATGCTTCTAACAAACTCAGAAGATTTGATAGTCTTCTATGCTTTTGTTGAGCTTCGATTCTTGTTTTATCAGGATTATCAGAATTGTATCTGGAGGATTTCAGGTTGAGGAGTGCTAATGGTGACAATTGTTCCCATTTATCCATTGGTCTCCAACATATGTTGCTTAGTGACTTTTTTCTTCTAAATACACAAGATCCATATTTAGCTACCATGGCTCTATAATTTTGCTTAAAGTGACTTTTGCCTAATACACAGCTTTTAGCAAAGATGGGTTGCAGTTTCCAGAATTTCCAATCTTTAGCTCTGTATTTTTTTCTAAGAGGACTGTCAACGTCATTTTAGAGTGGTCAAAGCTTGTCAAAGAAGCATAAATTCTCGAGCTTTTCCATACCCACACAATTTGAAATGAATATAGAGCCTCTGGGCAAGTGAGGTAGACAACATTTGAAAGACTGCACACGTTGATATATTTCTTGGCATTCTTGGAAAATGAATTGCAAAAGTTTAGTCATTTCACCAAGAAATGCTTCTTTCTATCATGTCCAATATATTGTAATAGGGGTTGTAGAGAAGCCTAAAGATGTGACACTTGCACCCTTTGCTTCTAGGGATGCTTATTAAACTGGAAACAATCTTTCTCCAGAATTCACCACTCGGATATCTGGTTGTGTTTCCACTGTCATCATAGGCGAGGACTGCAAGCTCTGCAGCCCTGCTCCGAGCTCTCCCCATCGGAGAGCTCCAAAAGGAGCCATAGCCACCTTGGAGGGGTGGTGAAGTAAAGGGGGGTGCCTTGCAGGTTGAGGAGAGGCACATCTCTCCTCCCTGACTTGGAAAATGCCGTTCATCTGAAGAGCAGCAGCAGTCAACATGGCTGCCATGAAGCTGGGGATAACCGAAGCACCTAAGAAAGTGCAGGAGCGAACAGATTGAACAATGATTGTTTCTGGGTGAGATGATTCTTCTTCTACTTAAAAATTGACCCCAAAGAAAATAAAAAATCCATGATAACAGAGTTCAAAAGGATAATTGTTTAAGCTGCAAAAATAAGCACTTCTGAGATCTATGATGAGTCGAGAGCGCCATCTACAGATCAAAAAAAAAGTGACTCCTAGACTCCTGGAAATTTACAGAGGAGGAAAGGGATATCTGATATCGAATGGAGGGCTGTGATCTTTAACTGTTTATTGTCTTACATTTACCAGAGGTGGAAATAAGTGAGACATTTTATAAAAGAAACTCTGGGTAACTAGAATAAAAGACCAAAATCACAGAGCAGATTCAAAGAATTCGGAAAATAGCTTGGATTATTAGAATATGGAGTAAATGTTGGAATTGGCTCGTCTAAATAAATGACTTTGCTTGGAAATAAATGGCTTTTGACTGAAATTAATATCTGCTGGAAAAAGAGGCACCATGGAAATCTGAGAGGAATGTGCCATCTACTAGTGATCGGAAACATATAATTTTGAAATCTTGAAATAAAATGAGATTTTTACTGTTTAATGTACTTATATTACTATCATGACTGGAACTGAAGGAACAGCTGTGGAAATGAGAGGACTTTTTAATGAGATGACTTTGTTGTTACAAAGTATAAAAATATCAATGGATGGTATAGACGAGAAAATGGAAAATATTCTGCAAAGAACAATAAATAAAGATCAAACTGCCCAGGAACTGGTGGAAACAATAGAAAGATTGGATGAAATTGACTATGAACAGGGAAAAAACAGGGATCAGAAAAACCAGCAAATGAAGCAAGAGCTCGATGATGAGGAAGACCAGACAAATGGCAAGCAAAAGGAGCTGATGAAAAAACAGATGAAGTGGCAATATCAACAAATAAATCAAGGACTGGAGCAAAAAATAGGACTGACAAATCAGCCAATAAAGGAAGAAAGATCGAAAGAAATAAAACAGATAAATCAACAATTGGACAGACAGGAAGACATCTTTGATAAGGAGACTGAGACATGGGCAGGCATTTGGGACAATTGCCAGCTTAAGTTTGTACTGGGAGAAATGCTTAGACTGAACAAGAAAGACAGAGATAAAGATAAAGACGAGGAGTGTGGGAGGCAAGTAAAAAAATGGATAAAAATTGAAAAACTAAAGAGGAGAAGAGATGTTGGATAAAAAGAGCTGCCTTTTAAAAATTAAGGGAGCTTGTTGTCAGCTGATAGAGGCAGAAATAAAATTAGATAGGGGAAATATTAGAACGTATATTTTAATAGAATAAACAAAAATAATAGAAAGATTAGAGGTTTATAGATGCTAGGCATTTTTTTTTCCTGCTGTTTAAATAATATTATGAGGATCACCTAAGTTTGATAAATGTGATAAGATTACTAATATTGTTATTGTCATTTGGATTAATATGAATGATGCCCAGAATCAACACTGTCCACATACAATATGGATGCATATTTAAAAGAAAAAATATAAAAATATAAAAACCAAACCAAAGAATTCACCACTCACAATCCTTCAAGCCTGGGAAGTCAGCAGTGCCAACCTGTATTGCTAAGAGCTGATGAGTGACTTGTTATACACTGTAGCATCTCTGGTTTCCAGCCCACTTGTCTCCCATCAATATCTATTTGGTCCAAGTCTGATAAACTGATAAATGTTCCAGCAATAATTGCATTCTAAAATGCTTGTAAGAGATAATTATTTCTATTAGTTCCTTTCAGTTTCCACACACTTATGATACCAAGAGATGAGGTTGCTAATTGAAAGCAAGTTGAAAGATGATGATGATGCTTGTTATTTGGAATGATTAAAGGATTGGATAACTTTGAAAAATCTAAGGTTGTTAGACCTTGAAGGTGATTTGAGATTTGGGTGGCATGCTTATTTGTGGTATGACAAAGTAAAAGATAACTCTGGTTTTAAGAATTGTATCATTAGGCAATCAATTGGGCGTGTATAGTAGAAAGATTGGCTAACAAAATGCCACTTTGGCTATCGCCCCATGGAGTACTACATAGGAAAGAGATGTTATTGGAATGCAAATGGATGACATATTGGGATTTATTGACATTTAAAGAAGAGGAACTTAAGATAAAAACAAGAGAACAATTAGTAAGTGGAAGATTTGTTGTGATTGGTTTAATTATTATAGAATTTTTGAAAAGATTTAAACTTCATAAAACTAGTTGTTTTTTGTTTTGTTGAACTGCAGATCAATTTATGTTCTAGTGTTGACCCCCTGATTAATAAAAGTATATACAATGGTTACTTAAAAAGATGAATCTGAAAGATGAATATGTCAAAGACTGTATGGTAAAGTGGGTGAAAAATTTGGGGTATAACATAGAGCTGGATAAATGAGAGAATGTATGGACTAATGGTCCAAAATTTACTTTGAATTACTTTGAAAGGAAATTTTTATAAAATGATACCCTGTTTCCCCCCAAATAAGACATCCCCTGATAATAAATCCAATCGGTCTTTTGAGCACATGGCAATAAAGCCAAGCGCTTATTTCAGGGTTCAAAAAAATATAAGACAGGGTCTTATTTTCGGCGAAACATGGTATATCGTTGGTGTTTGAGCCCAGATAGACTCGTGTTGGAAATGTAAACAAAATCCAAGTACATTTTATCATATGTGGTGGTCTTGTAAACATGGTAAACTATACTGGATAAACATAATTATGATAATGCAGAAAATATTTAAGATACAAATACTAATGAAACCTGAAGCTTTTCTTGTAGCTATTAGGCATAAATCAATTAAAAAAACAGCTAAGCATGAGAAAGGAAAAGAGATGCCAATTGTTGAAGAATTTAAAGGATTTTAAAAGTGACTGAATTAAAGTTAAAACTGCAGGGATGGCAAAATTAACTGCCTTGATTAGAGACAAGGGACTAGACAATTTTATAAGGGATTGGAAGCTGTTTATGGACTTTTTACATGTTAACACAATCAAAAGAAAATTAACCGAAGGATTTGAAGATGAGTGTAATGTTTGAGCTAACCTGTTGACTTTTATTTCCTTTTTTACATATATGTTATGGTTAGATGTTGGGTCAATTTGATTATTAGACAGAGACTAACTCATCTGGAATATTTGTTTATTTAATATAGTATTTTTGTTAAATAAGGATGGAAAAGCTTATACTATTTGTAGTCCTGTTATGTAAGGGAAGAACTTAACAGGTGTTTTTTTTAAATTTACTTTTCAAGTGGATTTTTTTAATGTACAAGGTTAGATCTATTTAACATTGGATTGGTGGTAGTTGTAAACAAGATTTTTTTACCTCGTTAGTGCTGGGTGTTCATTTTTCTGTTTTGTATTTTATTCTTGTTGATAAAAGAAAAAAAAGAAAGCAACTTGAGGGTATACAAATGCATTAAAAAAGGGCTTCTGTTTACCTGAATGTGACCCCTGAGTTCCTCTTCTGATAAACAGTCAATGGGGTCCTTCTCAGGGCAGCTGTACTCTACTGCCAACTTCCCATTTTCTGAAAGAAACAATAAAAAATAAGGCCAACTTGAACAAATAAACCATAAACAAACGAACACAAATTTTGAAACATTTCTGAAATTTAGGATTTTATAGATTCTAAAATTAAGAACTAAAATTAATAATACTTTCTTATTATTTCTAAAGTGTTTATAATCAATGACTATAATCTGTTTATAATCTGTTTGAAAGTAAGATTTAAGATTAATTTTGATGCGATAGGAGATTTGTGGGGAGAATCTCCTGAGCAATGACTAAAGTTGTTTCTCAATAACAATCAACAGTAATGCGCCCCTGAAATATGACAGTGAAAGGAAAGATCAACTGGAAAATATTGGTTTGAGCATGAATATCTGCAATGTAAATATACCAACAAAATGAATCAGGAGTTCCCATGATGCAAGAAACATGAGAGAAATGAAGAGTCAGAGGATGAAGTTATTTTATGATTATTGACGTGCCTAAAACAACTTGAAGGCAAATAGAAAAACGACAAGGCACAGAGAAGGGATACATGGACACATGAAGCTAAATACATTGAGAAGAAAAAGCCAAAGTACAGAGCAGTTAAATGTATTCACAACAATGAGAAGAGTATGTTAAGAAGCCATTCAACTTGTATTCGCCAACAGCTCATTGGAATAACGGAAGCTCTTATTCAACTCATCTGGAGTTTGAAATTGCTACATTAAATGACATGAACAATTTGAGCCAAATTGAAGAAGTTTTAGAGAAAGTGTGTACAGAATAAATAAAAAAATGCTTCGCCTCAATTTAGCATGATGAATAAGATTACAATGAGCCTTGGCTTCGCACATTCTTTGCTTCTCTTTCTTATTAAGCTAGGCTTTCAAGAACCCTTAATGGGAAAACACTTCCATTTTTATTTGCAATTTTTTTGCTGTTCATACTGACAAAAGGAACATAAATTACACTAAGCTGTGATCCATATCACCACTGTCTATTGAACAAGCCAAATTGAGTTTCTGTATTATGTTAAGCTGCAAACAAACCACATACAGGTTTAGAACAAAGTATAAATTCAGGAAATCTGGTTAAGATTTGAAACAAGCCACTCTGAAAAAAGAAATTGAAGGTGTGACTTAGAGCAAGCAAATAGCTTGATATCCTTGGAATGTATATTTAATTATAAAAATATTCAAACGTATCCTTAGATGGGAGATGGAGGGAAGTACAGAAGGATAAGGAAGTTGGATGGCCTTGCCTAAGACTATGAAGAGTATTTTCCGAAATGCATCCGAAAGTGCCTGCTGCACTGCAAACCTCTGAGCATTGCGGGAGGCTGTGAGAAACCCTGAAAGACATAAATCCAAAATAAGATAATTGATTCAAATTTTCTTGATAGCTCAAGCACTGCTGAACATTTTTTAATCAATGTGAGCCCTGCCCCGGCAAAAAATGGCAGTTCTGATGCAATAGCCAGTTCAAATTTAATTCAGATTCAGTATATAAAAAATGTTGACATGAAAATAAATAAAGTTAATACAAATTGCTCTACTTATATGTTATTTACACTAGTCTTTTTATGTGACAAACACTGGTTTAACAGCCTTTTACCAGTGTAGTAGATTTAAACCTGGAGCATAGTGAATTTGACCACTATCTGGCTATGAAACTCTAAACGCTAAACCATAACTTAACATAAACCAAAGGCTGCTGTGCTTTTTATTGTAATGGAAATGTCATTGAAATCCATAACAGCCCTTCATCAAGAATCATCCCCAAATGTGATTCTTTCAGTGGGCAAAATCCCATCCAAGAAAGGAAAAATCCTATTTCTGACTGCACTATGATAGTATTACTTTAATACTGCTTTGGGTACTTCACTCTAGCCTTCTCTACTCTCTCCATTCCCATGTTACCTTGACTGGGGTTCACACGAAGTTCAGCCACACCCATCCCTCTGGTATAAATCCCATAATTTGGGATACTTAATTCTTGCACACAAAGGTATTTTGAATCCCTGGGCAAAGTTCCTCCTTCTTCTTTCTCATCATCTTCAGAGCCAGGTACATTCTGCAGCTGTTCCATTATGCGAGTAATATATAGAAGAGAAAAAAAAGAGTCCATACCTTTATCCATCCTACGCTGGATTCTTTTTCATTCCCCTTCCCGTAATTCCATTGCAGAACATTTGCATTATGTAGGAAAGTGTTCTGCACCATGAGCGCAGTTCATATTTTGCTTGCATCCTTGGCAGCTCCCTATACTCATGGAACAAGAAGCACCTGGCCTCTCACATAGAGACAGAGTCTAGAACAAGTCAGGAGTGAGAACAAATAGAAGACTGCTCCCCTGTCTTCTGAAATTCAAGGAAGGAAGGAAGGAAGGAAGGAAGGAAGGAAGGAAGGAAGGAAGGACTCATTCATCTCTTTCACTGGCCTTGAAGGTATTTAAAAAAAAACATCTTGGACTAGCTTCTAAGAAGACCTTATCCCTTTCCTCAGGAGAGAAAAGGACTTCAGGGCCACACCATATAGAAGCAGTGACCAAAGTGGAAGAAAAAAAATGGATGGCTGGGCAAAACTCAATCAAAGCTTACAAGGGAGGATAAAACTTTTGGGGCCCACAGAGTGGTCCTTGTTACATCATTGCTCTGTGAACTGCACTGACTGCCAGTTTGTTTCCGGATGCAATTCAAGATGTCAGTAATCACCTTTAAAGCCCTTCATGACATAGGTCCAGGTTACTTGAGGAATTGTCTATCACAATGGGATTGGTCTGCCCCACCCATGCTAGCAGAGGAGGCATGCTGTGGGCCCCATCGGCCTGGCTGCTGGGGTCCAGAAGAGCCTTCTCTGCTGTTGCTCCTGCCCTTTGGAACATCTTGCCCCTGACAGTAACGTCAACTCCCACCCTCCTGACGTTCTGTAAGGACCCGGAACCTGGCTCTGTCAGTTATCCTGGGGCTTCAATAGTAGGGGTGTCACACTAGTGGTGCTTAATAACAAATCCCACCAACCTCCATGCTCATCCTGCTCCCTCCACATCTCTTAGTTGATAATTTGTACCTTTATAGTATTTTATTCATATTATAGGCATATTTATCCTTCTTAACATTGTAAGCTGCCCAGAGTCACCCTGTGATAAGATGGGCAGCAAACAAATCTAAATAAATAAATATCTAAATGGATAAGTAAACGAACAGGCCCTCGTCACCTCCCGTCTGTACTGTAATGCTCTCTACATGGGGCTCCCCTTGAAGAGCACTCGGAGGCTCCAACTGGTCCAGAATGCGGTCGCGCGGGTGATTATGGGAGCAACACGGCGCACCCATGTAACACCTCTCCTGCGCGAGCTGCACTGGCTCCCGGTGGTCTTCTGGGTGCGATTCAAGGTGTTGGTTACCATCTTTAAAGCACTCCATGGCTTAGGACCTGGGTATTACAAGATCGCCTTTTGCTACTGATAGCCGCCCACCAGCCAATACATTCCCACAGAGAGGGACTCCTCAGGGTGCCGTCGGCCATACAATGTCGACTGGCGATCCCCAGGGGGAGAGACTTTTCTGTGGGGGCACCTGCCCTCTGGAATGAATTGCTCCTGGAGTTACGGATGATCCCTGACCTACGCGCCTTTCGCTGTGCCCTCAAGACCTTATTATTTCAACAAGCTGGGCTGGCCTAAACATGAATTTTAATGGTTGTTTTAGTTTTTAATAAGACTGGGGCCAAATTATTTAATATATTTTTTAATTGTTTTAAAATTTTTTGTATATATGTGTTTTAGTTTTGGCTGTGCACCGCCCTGAGTCCTTTGGGAGAAGGGCGGTATTAAAATTTAAATAAATAAATAATAAGAAAACAAATCAACATCCAGAGATGAAGAAGTACAACTACCAATATAGATTTGCCTGAATTAATATTTTTCTCCAAACACTTCTTAGAACATCAGTCCTGTAAGTAGAAAATGAACATTTAAATTATGTATCAAAAAGAATTAGTTTAAAACATCTCTCCATGTTAGCATAGTATCACCTATAATTTAATTACATCTTCCTTATGTTAGCCCCAACGCGCAGCTGTGTGTCAGCGCTGCCATTCCGGTGGGTATGGGGGTTCTGGCAGAGCGGCAGCTCCCATGGCACCCTGGCTCCTCAGCTTACCTCCTGGCCACCAAGCAATGTGAAGATCCCTCCTTGTCTGCCTCTTCGTCATCTCCAGGCCTGGCAGCAATCTTTCAGAATGGACTGGACAGCGAGTGCAGCTGGAAGCTGCTGATTGAGCAGCTGTTGGGGGAGGCTGAGACATTGAAAGGTTTGGAAACAGCTGTAATGATGGCTAATCTGGAGGAGTAGCCAACAAGCTGGGAGCGTGGGGGAGTAATGCCTAATTGCAGTATCTAAGGGAACAATGATTAATAAGTGGGGAGGAGACGGGTTAAGGGTCACCTGGGTGATAAAGCTTTATAAGGTGGTGGGGAGCACAAAGCATTAGCTCCAACAAAATCTTCCTGTATTGATTTATGGATGTTAGTTTGTGCCGGTAAAGGATTCAAACCATCATTTGTGTGTGTGGAGTTTTCTTTATACACCTGACAGTTTGTTGGAGCTCACAACAACTACCATGGCTGAAGGTGGGTGTCAGGGTTGGAGACTGCAGACTTGGAGGAATCCGTGGCAGCCACAGAGGTTACTGTGCTGGAGGCTGTGGAGCCAGCAGAGGAATTGCTGGCCAAAGCAACTGCCCGGTCTTGGGGCAATGAATATTGAAAGACCAGGAGGGTTTGGAGTCTGGGCAGCATGGAACATATGATTGGTGGCTGAGGGCTCTGGGGCCAGGGGATTATCAGGCCCAACAGTCTGTTGGTCACCCCTTCTGGGGTCCCTTTCTCTCAATGGAGGGAGAAGAGGTATCTCGGTTGTTGACTGGAGTTACTCCACAGTGGTGGGCAGCCAGATGTTGGACCTTTTACAAGAGATGTTTGGGGCTGTGGGGTTTAGGGGTGCAGGCCAGACCAGGGACTGGCAGACATCCATGGCAGCGGCTCATCCTCCGCAGGAACAACACCCTCCTCTAGGTGCTGTGCCTAGCCGTCTCCGGGAGCCCAGGGAGGGGCAAAGCCCCATGAGAGTGCAGGACCATAGGCCCCGAACAGATATGGCACAGGCAAGCCGAGTGTTGTATGCCTTGCAGGAGGACACGGACGACCCTTGGGGCTATCGGGGCCCAGGCCCAATGGCACGTACAGTTGCAGGCCAAGTGACACATACCCCCCAAGGCCAGCCTGCAGTGGGGTGTTGGGATCCACCAGCCATTAGATCAGCATTCGACAGGAGTGAGGAAAAGGTGGCACTTTTTATAGGGCAAGTACTAAACCACATGGATAGGTACGGCCACCTCTATAACTCCCAGTGGGACTGAGTAATGGCCGTTATGGCGGAGATGGAGGGGGAGGCTGCTGTTTGGGTGGCTGACCTGTATGGAGAGCACGCCAAGGAATTAGGTGACCTTGGCCTTTTCCTGGCTGCTCTCCGGGATCGCTTCGAGGATACTACCAGGGCCCAGCAGGTGGAGGCGGACTTGTAAGTGTCAGACAAAGAGGAGGGCCTGCTAAGGAGTACATTCGGGACTTCAAGAGTCTGGCAGGTAAAGTCCAAGGTTAATAGAATGCCTATTAATCCATCGTTTTCGAAAAGGTCTCGACCGTACTCTACAGCATGCTTGTCTGTGTAGGGGTTTGCCTCACTGCCTGACGGCCTGGTATCAGGTGACTACCGAAATGGGACCTGAATTTCGTGAGGAAAGGGCGAAAGGGTCTGTTTGGGTTCAAAAAGCCCGTTTCGTCCCCCAACCTCAATGTTCGAAGTCAGTGGACAACAGTGCCACCTCAAAGGGTGGTGGAGCCCAACACACCGATACCCATCAAACCCCCTTTGACATGCTTCCGTTGCGGGAAGCTGGGGCATAGAGCAGCCAAGTGCACAGATGGGGACCAGAGGAAGTCCATCGGTACCCGCTGTACACAAACAATGACGGCGAGAAAGAACATAAAGGGCACCCCGGAGAAGGGGGACACAACAGACAATGCCTATGACCCCGAGTGTGGTGACGGTTAGCCCCGGTGAGGAGTCAACCACGAGCAGCAGCGAGGAGGAGGCTGAGCTGGACCCAATGATAAGCTTGCCCGTTAAACCGTTCATTATTCCATTAGCGTTAGAAGCACGGGTACGAAGAGATTGTACAGCCTTGGTTGACACTGGCTGCACCAGGGGCTTAATGAACAGGAGGTTGCCACAGGATTGGGGGTGATAAGAAACTCGTACCTAAATACATAGGAACCTTGACCATCATCCGGGGGATAAATCCGGATAAATCCCCAGCTGCTGGGGAAGACCCATCCGGTGTTCCACAGCAGCCTACTCAAGCCAGTCCTCATCTCTGCATTAAGGGGACCTGATGTACTACCACCACAGCCTGTTATTGGGGGCGGAGGGGGGGGGCGAAGACACACCGCAATTTGAGGTGGAAGATATCCTAGATACGAGATGGCACAGAGGAAGACTCCAATATATGGTAGTATGGAAAGGGTATCCACTCTCAGAGGCCTCCTGGGTACCCAGTGATGACATGAACGCCCCCAGACTAACTGTAGCATTCATCGACGAAATCCAGAGAAACCAGAGTGGAAAATAGCCTGGGCTTGAGCTCACTCTGCCGTTTGTGTTCCAGGTCCCAAATTCCTGGTGGTTGTGGTGGGGGGGCAGCATGTCAGCCCCAACGCGCAGTTGCGTGTCGGGGCTGTCATTCCAGTGGGTGTGGAGGTTCTGGCAGAGCGGCAGCTCCCATGGCACCCTGGCTCCTCAGCTTACCTCCTGGCCACCAAGCAATGTGAAGATCCCTCCTTACCTGCCTTTTCATCATCTCCTGGCCTGGCAGCAATCTTTCTGAATGGGCTGGACAGTGAGTGCAGCTGGAAGCTGCTGATTGAGCAGCTGTTGGGGGAGGCTGAGAGGCCGAGTGTCACAGGGAGGTTTGTAAACGGCTGTAATGATGGCTAATCTGGAGGAGTAGCCAGCAAGCTAGGACCGTGTGGGAGTAATGCCTAATTGCAGTATCTAAGGGAACAATGATTGATGAGTGGGGAGGAGCTGGGTTAAGGGTCACCTGGGTGATAAAGCTTTATAAGGTGGTGGGGAGCACAAAGCATTCACTCCAACAAAATCTTCCTGTATTGGTTTATGGATGTTAGTTCGTGCCGATAAAGGATTCAAACCATCATTTGTGTGTGTTTTCTTTATAAACCGGAACCTGACACCTTACCTGTTTTCTAGACACATTGGAGTAGAATATTTTCCCACTCTATGCCAGCATGGATAGGGAAAATGGGAATTGCATCTGGAGATTACTGGACTGTGGTAATTTAATTTACACGTGTCAACATGTGGCAAGTTTAGGTCACTTTGATCACATGTGGTCAACTACTAAACAATGTTTTCTCTTGTCCTGGTGGTGCAACAATTAGAATGCAGTATTGCAGGCAAACTCTGCCCACTGCCAGAAGTTTGACACTAAGAGGCTCAAGGTTTACTCAGACCTCCATTCTTCTGAGGTCAATAAAATGAGGACTCAGATTGTTGGGAGCAATATGCTGACACTGTAAACTGCTGTAAAGCACTATGAAATGGCATATGAGCCAATTGTTTTGCTATTGCTATATTTAGTCTTAGCACCCTTATGAAAATAGAAAAATAAGAAACAAAATGAAGTCATTCTTACAGTGATGATTCGACTGGACCAACCATTGAAACCAAGGTAGTAATTCGCTAACTCTTGGCTTTTGTAACTGTTCAAAGGTAATGTTTGCTTTGCAAGGGCCCTCTGTCTGGTACAAATGCAAACCTGAAAAACAAGAATTCGATGTCTCATTAGAGGGGAGTACAGACACCCACCCACCCCATTTTTTCCCAAAGGAAATGAAGCCATCAAAAACTGAATTTCATTCTTGCTAAGAACCTAACAGGAAAGATACTACCAACAATCCATCCACGTATTTTCCTGTCTTTTACAAATAGATAAAAAAGATGGACATATTTTAATATCATTTTCTTTGTTCTTCATAAATATTTAATATTTTTCAATAAAACATGTAGAAATTGGAAAGAAAACTGTTTGTTATCAATATAAGAACTGATAAAATAAAACTTCATTCCATGACTAACTTGAAATGGTTGCCTTCAGATATGCTGAATTTTAACCCATATAATTTTTAGCCAACACATCTTTTTTGCCAAGTTTTTTATTTTTTTTTACAAACATATCAATGCACGAACAGTGTGGCACCTGGGTATCTTGCATTCTAATACAAATAGAACTAGTAAAACTAATCATAATTATTACAATCAACTTATATATTTCTAATAATACACATTTATATTAAGTTATAGTTATTCAATTATTCCATATTTTCCTGTTATTGCTTTTATTTTACTATATAATAGTGTATACACTAATATTCCCCTCTTATTTCTATCTCTTATTCTAACTTTTAATCATATCACCGTTTATTTAAAAAACTTTTTTTTTCTGTTCTACCTAACTTCTAGTCGTGTCACCTACCTAAAAAAAGAAAAAAAGCAAAGCAAAGCAAAGCAGAACAACAACAAAAAAGAGAAATTGTCTATCCAGTCTCTTGCCGGCTTCAATACTTTAATCGCTATGCTTTTTTTCACTTGCCTTCTATATTCCTTTCTTGGATCTTTATCTCTGTTTGTATCTATTTCTTGGCTGTTAAAACCAAATGTTTCTCCCACCTCTCCCCTCTTCCACTGCCTAGTTTCCAAAATTTCCACCCAGGCCCCTATCTCCCTTTCAAAAATATCTTCCTGTATCTCCAATTCTCTTTTCAACTCTCTTAATGTATTTCCCCCCTCTGATTTAATTCATCAGTCACTATTATTTTCATTGTCCTCCTTGTCTTCTTCTTTTATTCTCTGGTTCTTTGGCTCAATCTTTTCCTCCATCTCTTCTGTTGGCTCCTCCCTTTCCTGGGCGTCTTGGTCTTTACTCATCATCCCTTGTATAGTATTTTCCATTTTTTCCATAACCTCCCTAAATCCTTTCTCCATGATGTCCTTTGTTTTGAAAAAGTAACGCCACCTCCTTCAAAGTTCCACTCATTTCTTCCTTATAAAGCATCTTATTTTGTTTTTTTTAAAAAAATCAACTTTTGTCCAGCAGTCCAAGAACTATTTATTCAGTCCTTATATTGCCCTTCAAGGAGTGCACTAATCAGTTCCATTTAAATAGTTCCAGAAGTTATCAAAAGCCTCTTTGCTTTATGGGTTCAATCTTCTAGCATAACATTCAGGAGTCCCTTTAATTAAATAGCTTCCTTATTTTCGTATTTGAGTCTCCAGTAGTTATGGGGTAGTTGGGAATAATCCAGTATATATTTCCACAGTCCTTCATATAAATATTTCCAGACTTGAAATTTTTTCTTTTGTCAGCAGGTGGCACTCTCAACTTAGATTTCAGTATTGCCACTAATCAATCGTCATTTTAGTTGTAAATCAATTATAAAAGCAGAATAAGTTTATAAATAAATGATTCCAGCATTTTAAAATGCCTCCCCAGTAGCACATTTTCCCAGTTTAAGAGTGCATTTTTCTGTATATTTCAAAATTTATTATTTTTCTCTCTTGCGTTTTCCCCTTCCAGTCTGGTATTTTCTCAGAATGCTTAGACGCTGCTTTAACAAATAATTCTGAGCCAACAGTTCTAAATTATTCCTTGGGGTTAAGTTTAGGCAAAAAGGAATCCTCTCCCCTAGTTCCAGTCACAGTTCACTACTTCGCTGCAGCACCAGTCTCAGTTGTTCTTCAGTTATCCCAGCTTTGTGGCAGCCATCTTTAGGCTGCCTCTTCTCCTTGCTGTGGCTGAGAGGGAAAAAGAACCCCGGGTCAGACAGGAGAGTTGCGACTCTCCTCGACCTCACAGGGCGCCCCTTTTTGCCACATCAACCGGAAGGTTTAGCCAACACATCTTGATACTGTAGCATTTCATATTCTAAGATAGCTCACCATTTCAATCCCAAAGCTGTACCTGTTCCCAAAGTTTGCAAATGGACCACTTGTATATAGTCAACAGTCCACAATTCAGCATTCTGGGATATTCAGAAACTTTGAGGAGACTGACCCTCTAAGAGAGCAAGGAGAGTCAGCATGGATATATTATATCACCTGCATACTGTTTTTGGTGTTCAGCAACTTTTTTAACATCTTCCAATATCTTCCCACATACATACACTCCAGGAAGGCCTGGCGGAACGCTGTCCATGGCTTGGGTCCCCAAACTTTTGGACCTCAGGAACCACCAAGTTCATAATTTTAAATCCCGCGGACCACTAATACGAATCCAGCGCGCTCTTGCTGAAGCGCCTGGACTCCCAGTGACGGGATGGGCTCCTTCAAGTTGTGGTCGTAAATCAAGGACTACCTATAGTCTAGTCCAGTTTTCCTCTGAGCCTCTGCTGTATTCTCTCTTCTTTGGCTGCTATCATAACCTAGCCCTCTAGTACCAACTCCATCCTTCCTGTCCCATCCTTAGCAGGGAGGCCAACAATGATCTATTACTTCAGCAGCTACTGTTAAGAGTTAGAAGAGGATTAAGCTGCTAAGAAAGTAGGGTCAAACTATGGCTGCCTTTCCTAGCTTCTTCCAGGAAATTAAAACAGAGTTCTAAAAAAGAGGGGTTTTTTTTGCATCTCATGCTAAGCTCTACTAAAAGTACACATATAAACTGGGTGAAACCAGGCTTAATAGCAGTGGCTGTGAGAGGGGTCTTAGAGTCTTAGTGGACAAACAGCTAAATATGAGCCAGAAGTGTGCAGCGGCAGCCAAAAAAGCCAATGCAATCCTAAACTGCATTAACAGAGGGATACAATCAAGATAAAGTGAGATACTAATACCACTCTATAAAGTCCTAGTAAGACCACACCTAGAGTAGTGCATCCAGTTTGGTCACCACGCTATAAAAAAGATGTTGAGACTCTAGAAAAAGTGCGGAGAAGAGCAACCAGGATGATTAGGGGACTGGAGACTAAAACATATGAAGAACGGTTGCAGGAACTGGGCATGGCTAGTCTAGTGAAGAGAAGGACCAGGGGAGACATGATAGCAGTCTTCCAATATTTGAGGGGCTGCCACAGAGAGGAGGGGGTCAAGTTATTTTCCGGGGCACCAGAAGGCTGGACGGGGAATAATGGAAACTGACCAGGGAGAGATTCAACCTAGAAATGAGGAAGAACTTTCTGACAGTGAGAACAATCAACCAATGGAACAGAAGTTGCCTTCGGAAGTTGTGGGAGCTTCATCACTTGACACTTTCAAGAAAAGATTGGACTACCATTTGTCAGAAATTGTATAGGGTCTCCTGCTTGAGCGGGGGGTTGGACTTGATGATCTACAAGGTCCCTTCCAACTCTGTTAATCTGTTCAGGAACTCTCCCTCCTCTCTTTCTCTCCCCCACACATTCTCTCTCATCTCTTTTTCTCTCCCCCCCCCCTCTCTCTGATTCTGATTCTCTCTCATTCTCTCTTTCTCATTCTCATTCTCTGTCTCTTTCTTTCTCTCTCTCTTTCATTCTGTCTCTCTCTCATTCTCTCTGATTCTGGTTCTCTCCCACTTTCTCTCATTCTCTTTCATTTTCTATCTCTCTCCCCTCTCTCCCACTTTCTCATTCTCTCTCTCTCTTTCATTCATTCATTCTCTCTCTCTCTATTTCTTTCTTTTTCTCTCTGTCTCTCATTCTCTCTTTCATTCTGTCAGCATTCCAGGGAAACCCCAACTCCAAATAAAGACACGGAAGCAAGCATTTTCCAAAGTTCTCTTTACTAGAATAGGTAACCTGGCACATCTGGGAAATCCCGAATCTGAAAAGCTCGGGTTTTGACTTCAGTGAGTCAAAGCTCCCAAAACCATCCCCTTTCTCCCCAATCGATCACATGCTCCAATCAACGTCTGTTCCATCTTGACCCAGCCCCCTGACCACTCCTTCTCCAGATGCTGGATCACCCTGACCTTGATCAACAGGAAGAATGCTATTATATCTTCTAACCCCCTCTCCTAAATCCCCCCTCCTACTTTCCCACACATGAGGAGGTGGCAGCATTGAAGCTTCCGGCCTAATATGGCTTCCAAAGCTGACACATTCTCTCTCTCATTCTCATTCTCTTTCTCTCTCCCATCTCATGGGCCAGCCAGTGTCTTAGGGCTGAGAGGAAGTCAAGCATCTCTCCGAGAGACCAAGGTGCACGGAGCACCAACAAGGGCGGGAAGAAACGCCCACGAGATCCAGCAAGAGACTAAGCTTTTTTCCTGCTCTAGAATATGGAGCGAATCTCCATGTCCTGCCCTTCCCTTCTCAGGCCAGGCGAGGAGTGACTGGGAAGGGAGGGTGAGAGGTGGGGACAGCCACTGGTGGGTTCAGCCAACAGGAAACTATAGCAGGGGAAGAAACAGCCCGGGGTTGCCGCCACCTGTTGCTTCCTCCCGCCTGCACCTCCCCCCTTGCACCATTACCTCATTCCGGCTGGCGAGGGCTGCGCTGCAAAACTGCAAGTTGCACGAACCTCCCTCTATGGCAGAGATTTACAGCCCACCATGAGCTGTCTGGCCAGTCCAGAGTCCATATTCCAGAGCTCTAGTCACAGGACTGGCCATTGCTCATCCCGGAGCAGCTCCTCCACCCGGGTGTGCCGTGGACCACCAAAATTTTCTCCCGGACCACCGGATGTGACCACTGGTCCATGGGGTCATGATGGGTCGGACACGACTTCGCAACTAACAACAACAACAATGAACATAACCACAGAGGTCTGTAAAGTTCAGGTATATTTCATTGCGTAAAACACCATTAAGCAAATCACAGTCTAATATGAGCTGTGGACTCCATGATCTTAGATGATGCAGTGACATACCTTCAGAGCAGTTTTCTGAAACAATGACCTCCCATTGCAAGCCTGTTGTGCCTTGCTGGCATCTCGGGCAGAGTAGAACCTAATAAAGGCATGATAACCAGGCCCAGCTACTGAAGCATTTCTGCAGAGTTTTACAGAGTAGAGCAGTCCAAAGGTAGAGAATATAAAATGGAGAGCATGCTGGAGGGGAAAAAAGGCAAACACATAAAGGAATCTATTAGAAAAGACAGTATTTGTGAAAAAGCTAAAGAGGGTCAGATCACGGGTTGTGAGCAACTAAGAGTCACAATTTTCCAGAAAGTTGATTAGGCTTGGACAGAAGGCAAATTGAAGACTGCTCATTCATGCTTTGTTGGGCAAACCTTGAATAGTGATTCAGTTTCATGCTGGTTGATGACTTCCAATATGCATACCTGTAATCTATAGAGTACAGGTAGTCTTCAATTTACAACCACAATTGAGCCAGCCCAAAATGTTTGTTGCTAAGTGAGACAGATGTTAAGTGAATTTTGCCCCATTTTACAACCTTCTTACCACAGTTGTTAAGCGATTCACTATAATTATTAAATTAGTAACATGGTTGTTAAGTGAATCTGGCTTCTCCATTGACTCTGCTTGTCAAAAAGTCACAGAAAGGGATTATATGACCCTGTCACAAACAGAAGCCAGTTGCCAAGCACAGCATTTTGATCACGTCACCATAGGGATGCTGCAACATTCATAAGAGTGAAAAACAGCCATAAGTCACCTTTTTCAATGCTGTTGTAACTTTGAATGGTTACTAAACAAACTATTGTAAGTCAAGGACTACCTGTATCTTTAGAGGTATGTAGGTCAGTAAAGTTTAATGTTTTTAGTTGTGAGCCCATCAACTTTTTCAAAAAGAAAGATTTTGTTGGATGCAAAGAGAAGTAGTAAAGAAGCTACCAATAGCATTGATAAAATAAGCCTAAATCTAAAAAATTGGATGGAAATTGCTTATCTATGAACTCAGAACAACCTTTTCAATGGTGAATTCTCAATTTCCTAGCTTAGAGATTCCTCCCCAATAGTGTCTATACCAATGATGGGTAACCTTTTCTGGACCGAGTGCCCAAAGCATGCATGCGCAGCCAAACTCCCAAAATGCAACGTGCGTGCGCCAGAGACCCGACAACCAGCTGGCTGGAGGGAGGCGTGCACGCATCCGCAGTGGAACTGAACTGGGGCAATGGCTTGTGTGGCCAGAGAGGGCGCTGCATGCCACCTGTGGCACACTTGCCATAGGCTCGCCATCACGGGCCTATGCAATTAAAAAAAACTATGTTTCACTTTTTAATATTTCAACAATTCAGTTATGCTAGTGGGACATCTTAATTAGTTTCGGTCTTGTTTCTTTTTTGATGTGGAGTGGGTAATTAGACATTGTTTGTTGGTTGGTTGTCACTTTTAATTTTAACTTTTAAATGTGTATTAAAATTGTGTTTTAAGCTGTCATGGGAAAATGTATTTTTTTTAACCATATCATTTATAGAAACAGATAAAACTGTCATTGACCCTACTTAGCTATATACTGCACCACCAAATTCTCAAAGAAGGTGGAACTAGGGGTGCTTAGTGTACTATACAGATAGTCGTAGACTTACAGTTCATTTAGTGACTGTTCAAAGTTATGATGGAACTAAAAATATGACAGTTTTTCATAGTTATGACCTTTGCAGTATTCCCATGATCATGTGATCAAAATTCAGATGTTTGGCAACTGGCTCATATTTATGACCTTTGCTGTATCCCAAGGGTCATGTAATCACCTTTTGTGACCTTCTTACAAGCAAAGTCAATGGGGAAGCCAGATTCACTTAACATCTGGATTATTAATTTATCAACTGCAGTGACTCACTTAACAACTGTGGCAGAAAGATTGTAAAATGGGGCAAAACTCATTTAACGAATGTCTCACTTAACAGAAATTTTGGGATCAATCATGGTTGTATGTTGAGGACTACCTATATGTGCAAATCCCTGCCATAAATCAGACATCGAGAATTTTTTCCAAGCCCTATCTATTTCCTTAAGGATGTTTTTTCAAGAGTTTTCTTGTTTATAACAAGAATATACTTCATTACAAACTTTGTTTAAAAATAAGGTAAAATTAGTCAGTCTGAGGCAACAAAAATCAAGCCTTGTAAAAGAATGGAAGTCCATGTTTTTAGACAACAGCTAACTTCTGTTGCATTTTACTTTATGAATTTATTTTTCATCTTTCAATAGAATATGATTTGGAAACTTAAGGCACAAAATATGGGTCAGCCGTGTGCCAAATAAACAGCCAGGCCTATATAGACCGGTTTTTAGAAAGGAAGTTTTAGATGGAAGCTCACTCGACCGAGGCACAATTTGAAAACTAGCTTCGGCAAATTTTAGGTACCTTAAATATGCTATAAGGCGAGTATCATAAATTCAATGAATTGAAGCCTGAAAAAAAGGACGAATTGCTTGCGCAAAGCGTAGTGTGTAGTTTTACTGAGAATATACACACTCGCCTTCACTCCCGCCGTCCTCGAAGGGGCAACGGCACCAAAATGCCGCTAGACCCAGCGTTCCCACGTTGAGAAGGCGGGGGTTGCTGTAACAGCCCCAACGCTTAAGGCGGGAAGAAGGCGTTTTTCAAACACGGTTCTCACAAGCTCGAAGAACTTCCTTGCCAATAAATATTCTAACAAAGAAGCAGCGGACGGAGAGGTAGCAACAGCTGCTTTTGCTGGCTTACACAAATGCATTGAAAAAAAGCGTCCCGGAAACTTTGAAAAGATGTCAACACCCGGGGTGAGAAATGGTTGGAGCAAAACCCAGCCTTGCTTTTTCGATACTTGCCTCCGACTCCTCCGACTCCAACCCCAAGACTAGAAGAGTCCGGCCGTTCCCCGGGGGGACGCGGAACTCCAGAATCTCAGCCATTGTCATGCACGACCGTCGGCGGGGGGGAAAAGGAGTAAACTCAGAGTTGGGAAGACAATCCTTCCCTTTCCGCCTAAAGGAGGGGAATGGATGTCACGAACTTCAGCACTTCTGCAGCTCGTCCGGATTCAGCTCGGAGATTGGTGGGAGAAAATGAAGCCACGTGATGCAGGAAGAGACGTCCCATTAAAAGAAGCGAGACTTTTAAGTGTCAGAGCGAATAAACTTGGTCTTAACAGTTGGCTTTGGAATGTGTTTTCTCCAATAATTTGGAAGCGAAGGCAAGCAAAGCAAGGGCGAGGGAGGAAAAGAACTCCCATGTAAAGGACGATATTTCCCAAGGCCCTGGTTTTTCTTTCCTAGAGTTGAAATCGGGAACGCATATACAAACGCTACGAAATCCCTGGGCTTGTTTTACTCTTGCGTCAGAAAGGCGATCCGTTTTTCTTCTCGGATGCTGTTCTCTTATTTGTCTTCACTTTCTATAAAATAATCCTCGATTTACGATCACAATTGAGCCCTAAATTTCTGTTGCTGAGGGGAGACTGAGTTTTGCCTTGTTTTTTTTGCTGTTAATAAATGAATTAACATACTTAAGTGAACCTAGCTTGCCTTTTGATTTTGTTCGTCAGACGTTTGCAAAAGATGATTACATGATCCCAGGATACTGCAACAATCATAAATATGAACCTGTTGCCAAGCATCTGAATGTTGGTGATCGTGGGGTTACTTCAATGGTCATAAATGTGAAAGACTGTTCACAAGTCACTTTTTTCAGTATCCTCATAACTTCAAACAATCACTAAACAAATGGTAGTAAAGAAGGACTACCTATACACTATACATCAGCCCTGAAATTATTATAAAATGCTCAGCTATTCATCTGTTGGTTGAATCAAGTCATTGTGGTTGTAAGTCGTAGATCTTTTACTCAAACTAATACTGTATTAATATCAGTTTAGTAACACAGTTTAGGGCAACTCATGAATTTAATCAAAAGACCCAAGGAGTTTACACTACTAAAGGGAAACAGTAATAAGAATATAATAATACTAGAATATAATAAACTGGTATACTAGAATTAGTAGAAACTTGTTATTCTTTAACCATTAGGTTCCTGTAATACATATATAGCCTTTGTATTTGTATAACACACATATATTGTACCTTTATATCTGTAACACAAATATGCCTTTGTATTTGTATCACATATATTATGCCTTTATTTGTATCTCCTGTAACAAACATATTCTGTTATTAGGCCTCTGTAATGTATCTGGTGTTTGTCAAACATATGTCCCTGCCATTTGATCTGAACCCATATCAATCTTCCTGCTTTTCTCGTTCCATCGAAGAGCATGGTACTATCTCAGTTGGAACTGCAGACATCATCCGGATGATAATTTACACTTCAGCCCTAATTTACACTTTTGATCTGTTCCCTGCAGCCCAGGGGGGCAAATGAGCAATTGGGAGAACAAAGGAATGCTCAAGGAAGAGATAATGCTAATTGGGAGGCTTCTATTCCTTTGCAGGGCAACAAAGAATACACAAACCTAAACTAGGAGGCCAGAATTGGGTACTAAGCTAATTTCTCTGAGGAAATAAAAAGGAAGCCATATCTTCCCGAAGGTGTGGCTATCTCCTCACATGTATTGTATCTATATGTTTTGGATATAGTCCCACCCAGTATTTTGTTTTTGGCCATAAATAAAATCTGCTTCTTTTTGCAAGCCTTCTCTTGAGCTCTCTCTTTGACATTCTGGTGACTCAAGTATATTTTGGGACCTTACACTATGCTGAACTTGTGCTTAGCTTTTTATGGAATAAGCCATGATTGACTGGTTTCATCCGTCCTGCGGATTACAAATGACAGGACTGAATTCACACAACATGCAGTCTAAAGCTACCTAGTTGTGATTTATTCAAGAAATGAAATTTACATTTGACTGAGTAAGTACTATAGCTAAAGTGACTTTTCTGGTATAAATATAGTTTTGCTTCATTGTCACAGTACATCTTATGGATTTTTGTTTTAAATGTTTTAATAATTCAAATGTTTTAATTTAATTTTGCTTTAAATGTTTTAATTTTGTTTTGTTTCAAACAGATCCAGTTTGGTCTAGTGGTTAAGACACCCAGCTAGAAACCAGGAAACAGTGAGTCCAAATCCTCCCTTAGCCATGAAAGCAAACAGGGTGACTTTGGGTCATTCACTTTCTCTCAACCCAACCCACTCTCAGGGTTTTTGTTGTGGAGAAAATAGGGAGAGGGAGATATGTTGGATACTGCCTTGAGTCATTTGTAAAAATAATAAAGGTGGGGGTATATATGAATATGCACCTGAGCTTACAATTACAGATATAAATTGGACCTGATCACTTTTTACCATGCAAAAATATGTTCTGGGGAATATTTTGCAGTATGAGGGGCAGTATGAAATAAAATTTGATGATGGAAATATTTAGGCCTTGTCCATATTCTCTGACCTAACTGCAAGCAAATATCTTACGTATTATCACAAGCCTGTTACTTGTCCCCTTATATTATTTCTGCATTTAGAAGTTTCACTTGACCACAATGGCATTTAAGTGAACAAAAAGTCTTTGCAGAATAAGTTATAAGGTGATAGGAGTAAGCAGACTTCGATGTGAAAAAATGTTAAGTTTTTACTGAGTCTCACTAAAATAATTTTGTTGCCTTAAGTTAAATCAGCATAAGTGGAAAGAAAATTGCCTTCATTACAAACTGGGATTGAGTCAACACTTTTCTCCTGTTAAAATATATTTACAAGGCTGAAAAAGCCAGCTATACAGCCAAGATAGAGCCTAAATTCTGATAGTTTTGGGGAAAAATTCCTGAATAAGATGAAAGTTGCATTCTAGAATATGAGAAAGGCTTTGTAGTGAAAGACAAAATTATTTGGATGTTTTTGTACAATTTTTTCAATGAAAAAAAGGAAAAGGTGATTTTAAAACGCTTTGTCCTCATATTATGGAGAACATACTAGTATGAAAAAAAAATTAAACTGCAAGTTCATAAGCTTATTTGAGTGGGCGTCGTTTAGGGGCTTCTTCATGTAGTCTTCTTTTGGATTTGTTTATCTTAATTTTATAGGACTTTAAGTGAAAGAAAATTACATTTATAAATAGGTGTAGAGATATCTTGTTTTGAGCAGAATGGCTATTTTGACAGCAACTTTGTGATCCTGTGTAAAATAAGATCAATGGCTTTAAGGTTGTGTCCTTTATCATTTAAGAGACAGATCTAATGGAGTCAGAGAGCTTGCAGCACTAATTCTTCAACGGTAAAATTGCACTTATTTTTTGCACAAATGTAAAGGAGTATTGAGGGACATCACAAGTGCTTGTGAATTCTTTTTGGGGTTTATTTTTTTTTTAATCTTACAATATACCTTGAATCCATTGCAACCTCAATATTAGGTAATTTTCTTTATCCTTTATCAATAGCCCCATTCATGTTACTATTTTATACAGGTAATCTTCGATTTATGACTGTAATTGAGCCTATTATTGTGATTCTAAGATGCTGATTATTAAGTGGGTCATCATGTGATCAACCTGATTTTACTTTTTAAAAAAATATTATTTAACCAAACCAAAAAGCAAGCCATTGTACACAATGGGAGGGGGAATATTGTTGTTTGCTGGAAACTGGAAGTAAATGCCAATTTCCAGCAAGAAATATCATAAATTACTGTGACGTAGCAATATTGCTGCAAGATTTAATATTTTTTTTAAATTTGATTTATATGCCGCCCTTCTCCGGAGACTCAGGGCGGCTTACAATGCGTTAAGCAATAGCCTTCATACTTTTGTATATTTATACAAAATCAGCTAATTGCCCCCACAAACTGGGTCCTCAATTTACTTACCTTAGAAAGGATGGAAGGCTGAGTCAACCTTGAGCCTGGTGAGATTCGAACTTACAGTAATTGCAGACAGCAGGTGTTAATCACAATGCTATCATTCTGCTGAGCCACCAGGCCATTTGAGGGCTATTTGCCAAGAGCCCAAAATCATGTGATCATGGAGGAAGCAACCATTGGAACATTGAATCTGGGGCACAAGCAGGGGTGAAATGCTACTGGTTTGTACCAGTTTGGGTGAACCAGTAGTAATAAAAACTACCAGTTCAGGTGAATGGGTAGTAAAAAAAAGCTACCAGTTCATCTGAACTGGTATTTCTGACAATCAGCTATGCTGCATGATTTATATTCGCTAGAAAGCAGGAAATCCTGCTTTCTAGCGAATCTAAATCACACGGCAGAGCTGTCCCCCGCCCTCACTGTTCTATTTACCTTCAAACGGCTGCTTTTTCCACATGAAGCACGCATTTGGTGTGCACTGCGCATGCGTTTGGTGCGTAGCGCACATGCATGGGCAGCAAACCAGTGGCAACCCGTAGAGGATTTCATCACTGGGCAGAAGTATCTTCCTGGATGGCTTTTAGCTACCTATTGCTACCGTAAAATGTCTCTCTTGTCCCATGAGCACATAAAACTAATTCATAATAGGATCTGATTTCTTTTTGCCTTAATGTAGAAGTTTTTCAATAGAGGTACTAATTGTTTTTAAGCCACAGTGGCATTTAATTAAGGCAAAAGCAAAGAACATTATTGCTTAACTTAATATGAAATTGGTTAAATGAAAGAAGCAATAAGGAGAAAATTTGCAGAAATACCATTTGGAGAGTAGCATGCTCTGTTGTGGATTGGCATAATATGACTGAGTTCATTATACAAAACCATAATCTTTGTTTGGTTTTAACAGTGTGCTGTATGAATTCAGACTTGTGATTTTAAAGCATGACTTCGATTTAGTGTAGTAAGTGACCTTAGCTTTTGGTCTTTCTCAGTGAATTAAAATGCTGTTTGTGGATCTCTGCATTGACAGAAAAGTATGTCTGAAGAAAATTTGTTGTCTTCAGTGCTGATCCTCATTTTTATTCATTGCCTAATAGTCTTATTCCGATTATGAATTTAGCTCATGAAAGCAAAAGGATGGTAGTTTAGTCTTCCGGCTTTGGTGCCTCTCTTCTTCATATCACTACTGATTGGAAAAACACGTACTAATTGTGCAGCAGATTTATACTACTGTGTTTCCCTGAAAATAAGACCCTGTCTTATACTTTTTTGAACCCTGAAATAAGCACTTGGCCTTATTGCCATGCGCTCAAAAGCCTGATTGGATTTATTATCGGGGGATGTCTTATTTTTGGGGAAACAAGGGATTGCCTTACAAGTTCCTCCTTTGGGACATGTGTGTGACATCACAAGGAACATAGAAAAGGTATGGGGCTGTGATGTCAGCCTGACCCCCCCAGCTTCTCTGAAGCAATGAGGTACCCGTATCATAGCAGCAAGATGAGGATAGATATTATTTCAGAACTATTGTATCACTAGGTTCCTTTTTTGTGCTGCTTGTCCAAGCTGAATAAAGAAGATTGGAGTCACAAAGGGGAGTAAATAAAACTTTTGCTTAGCATTCTTCTCCCTTACCACACCTTTTTTTATATTAGAAACTTCCAGATACCTCTGTGCTCTGCCTGGAAATGGTGGATGATGGGAAGAGTTGGTCCCATCACTCCCATCACTGCTACAATATACTGTTGGGTAAGGAGTTTGGCATGGTCATGATAGACCACTGCCAAGTGCTGTTGGATCAAATTTGTTAAGGGGGAACAATGGCAGAATATCAGCAGAGGAACTGGACAGGGCTAGAGAGAGAGGCATTTCTGAATCATCCTGGACAAGTCAATAAGCATCTTTCGAATCGTACCCACTGTTATTCATGTTGACTACTTCTGATGAATGGGTAGTGAAGCATCACAGATTTACACTGCTTATGGCTATTGGATGCTATTAAGAGGAAACACAAACACCAATACAACTGAGAACAAACATATCTGAGGTGCAAAAAAATAAAATAATGGCAAAAGTGGTGCAAATGTTCTTTAAGATGTAGCTTCAGAATTCCTCTCCCACACAACTTTTAAGGATTATAATATGACTTACGGTGGGGGAAGAATACTGTGGGCATTTGCAGTGGTGGGATTCAGCCAGTTCGCACCACTTCAGGAGAACCGGTTGTTAACTTTCTGAGCAGTTTGGCAAACTGGTTGTTGGAAGAAATCATTAGGGCAGAGAACTGGTTGTTAAATTACTTGAATCCCACCACTGGGCATTTGTGTTTGTGTGTCAGAGAGAGAGAACAAATGTTTGTGTGCTTTTCTTTCCAATTTATATGTGTTTAGACAAATGGAAAGAAAATGCAGGAATTAAGGAGATGCAGAAAGAAGGATGTTTGACTAACAAAAAATGAAACACAGAATTAAAACACAAAGCTTTTTCAGGAGTCAGAATATTTTTCATAAACTCCCAAATGTTGATTGGGCAGACTAGGATTCATGAAGAGACATTGGGTTGAAGGGGTAGATATGAGAAGAATAAGGATCTCGTAGGTGGGATACAGGAGCAAATGAGTGTTGCTTTCTCACTGCAACCCTGTCCCTAGTTGAGTGGATTACTTTCCTCACTGAGTAGGCCTCCCTCATCCCTCACAAGTCCGAAGTTCATCAATGGCTATCAGAATTCAGACTTAATGAGATAAGAAAAAAAACAAAAACAAACAAACAAACAAACCCCGAGATGTTGAACTTAGAGATCTGTAAAATTTCCAAGTACATGAAGTGAAATCTCATCATAGGGAACTAATTTAAGAGAAATGCCTCTTTTATCAAACATGCCTCTTTTTGTCTTAATTCCCTTCCCACAATCAATATCACTACTATCCTTTGCTTGGCAAAACAACCTCAATTGAAAATCAGTTCTTTTTTATTACAGTGAAGTGGAGAAGAGACTCCTCCGCTGAAGGTCTGCCTTTGATCAGCGTTTCTTTCCTTTGCCTCGAGATTTGCTTCTCCGCCGGTTCCCCCAGGAGCAGAAACTGATAAGGGAGAGGATCTTGCTGGATTTCCGGGATGAGTCTGCAGAGAAACAAAAGAAAATGCTTTTTCATCTTCCCATGAGGTGTTGAGGGCAAGGGCCTCCCCCCTTCTGTGGCTGGCAGTTGGATTATTTTTAAAAAATTAGCTTTCTCAGGATCACATGGTAGGGGAATAACATAAAAGAGCCACCCCCGGGAATGCCAACTGTTAGGGGGATGAATGATGCAAGCATGATGCTGGCTATCATCTGGAGCACATCTCAAGAATAAGTTGCCATAGGGGCAGGGATGTTTGGATGACAGCCTGTTTTACCTTTCCGGGCTGATTTCTTCCTGTTCGCTCTGCCGCTCTTACTGGTTTTCCTGAAAGAACAATCCCCAACAAACTCTTTCAATCTCCTCAAACTCTCCAAGGGAAACCCTTGAAACTTCGCTCCTTTAGTTACATTAAAATGCTTGTTTTGGGCTGAAGAACCCAAACCCCTATTTCATGCAGACCTGCTCAGTCTTTGCTTTCCAGTTGTGTGCTGGATTGTGATATTTGAATCCCCAAGTGGCTACTCATAGAAAGCAGAACCGCAAAACAATTGTGCTAGAAGTCCCACCCAGTAATCTTCAAGCCTGTCTTGCATCATCTGGGCCAGAGATGTACAATTTTGTAAGGCTGATGGCTATGCTTGGTCTTTGTGATGGAAATAGAATTTTAAAAATATCTGATCAGGGTCTATACTTGGTTCAAACTGCAGATAAATCAGATTTATACACAAATACACAAATATAGTGTATTTCCTTTTTTTTACTGTAAGCTTTCCCAGCTGTTGCCCTCCAGAGTATTAGGTTACATCTCTGATTGCTTTTTAGAAATGATGGAAGCTGTGGATGAACACATCTAGAGGATATCATATCACTGGAAAACTTCATAGCTGAATAGAAATGTGAAGTGAAATCTTTCCAGTTCTAGTTATCAAGAGAGAAAAATTACAAACCTTCCAGATGCTGCTGAATATCAACATGAAACATCTCCCAGTCTTGGCTATGCTGGTTGAATGCTGGGAGCTGTCACTGAGCAGCATCTGAAAGACCTAGGTTTCACAACTAATCGGGATATCTCACTTGCTTTAGCAGCTGCCCCCATGCACCTATTACTTCAGCTATAGATTGTTCAGTGGCTTAGGGCTAAAACCCTACCAAAAAGCAGCACATTCTCTTGACCTCCCCATCTGAAATCCAAGTCCTTTTCTGATTATGGTGGCAAAAAATATGGTCATAAATAAACTGGATACCTGTTTGAAGAAGCAGTGCTTCCAGCTCTCTCCTTCCTACTGCCTCGGCTCTTGCGACTGGGAGGTCTTTCAAAAGGCTGTGGTGGTGACCTCCTTCCCTCTGCCAGTGGGTAGCCGTCAAAGTCAAATATCTTTTCTTCACTGGCAATGGGAGACCAGCTGGGCCCTTGGGAGCTTGGCAGGCTCTCCATGGACATTATCAGACTTTGTCTGCTTGTAACCTCTTCATGGATAAGGCTGGGAGTTTCAGATGCTAAGTATACACTCTGTTCACTCACTTTTTCTTCTACATTTAAGGATCCTGCTGGACTCTAAAACAAACAAGAACCAGAAAGGTCTGAACAATAAATCTTACTTGTTCATCATTTTTGGAATGCTTTCCAAGCCGTACAATAACCCTAAGTTGGTGTGGGAAAGACTCCTCTCTGAAATCCCCAGGAAAGTCTGCCAGTCAATGTCAATAGGTAAAGGTAAAGGTTCCCCTCTCACATATGTGCTAGTCATTCCCAACTCTAGGGGGCGGTGCTCATCTCCGTTTCAAATGCAAAGAGCCAGCGCTGTCCAAAGATGTCTCCATGGTCATGTGGCATGACTAAACGCCAAAGGTGCACAGAACGCTGTTACCTTCCCATCAAAGGTGATCCATATTTTTCTACTTGCATTTTTTACGTGTTTTGGAACTGCTAGGTTGGCAAAAGCTGGGGCAAGTAATGGGAGCTCATCCTTTTATGCGGCACTAGGGATTTGAATCACTGAACTGTCAACCTTTCGATCTACAAACTCAGCATCTTAGCTACTGAGCCACCACTTCCCTAGATAATGTCAATAGTACTGGCCTAATTGGACAAATAGTCTGGCTTTGAATAAAGCAGGTACCTATGTTCCTTCCCTTTCCTCTGTCAATACTTGAACTGCAAATGTCTTGGAATGATCCCCTTTGCATACATTATTCCATAACATGCAATTCCATTAATGATATAAAAACAAATAGAAGTTAGCAAAAGAAAGACAGTACACCTTTGACTTGGAGGTTTCATGTTTGGTCTTGCGGTGAGATTTTATGCTCAAGTCTGAAGGTGGTCGCAGCATATTGACAACCTTGATCCACAGGCCAAAGATATCTTCCTGAGTGCTAGGCTGGGGACAGAGCTGCAGGTAAAAGGTACGGCCACTTGCCAGCTTGAATCGTAGCTGCTTCTTCTCTGGATTGTGGATTGAGATCCTAACCAGACACAGAGGAAAAAGCCTAAAAGACGGGGATGAAGACAAGGGGCATGGAATATAGTTGACAACTCTTTCGTATGTACAGCTATTAGAACATCGGTGAATATTTTTACTATTTGAAAGCTGTTGCTTCATTCGGTACGCTTCATTAAATTAAAGCAATTTAACCATCTTTTAATACAATATTCTGCAATCTCTGTCTGAGTTAATGCAATGAAATAATTAAATCATCTCCTACTGAATGAGAAAAAAAAATGTTCAAAAAGTACAATTGGCACTAAGTTTATTAAGACCATATAAAATGGCACTAGCATGCCATGGGAGAAAGAGTGACAGGTCGAAAGTTATTTAGTCATGTCTAGGTATAAAGCTGGACTTAGACCAGGGTCTCATCATTTGCTGTGTGACTAATCATACAGTCTTGATCTATTTGATTCTTACCTCTACAGAAAGTAGGTAATCCCAGTCCATAAAAAGAGGGGCCAATCTATAGTAGAAGATCTGAGAAAGATGAGGCTATATTTCAGCCTCTGTCTTAGAGAAAAAAACTAAACCCACCTGGTGAGCTCATATCTCTTAGCTGGGTGGCGTGGATGAAAGAAGGATTTAAGCTTTGTAGGAGGCTCTTCAGGGGGAAAGAGGGGACGAGCCAGAAGTAATACATTGGGGACCAGCAGACTGGGGCTTGTGCAGGCTACTGCAACAGTCACCGTCTGAATTTGATTGTGCACATCAATCACTTCTCCTCGCTTGCTAATCTGCAGAGAACAAATCAGGATTAATGCAGAGGCAGCCCTTTTGTGAAGGCAAGTAAGCAGGTGATTCTTCCCTCCAGAATTTCAAGTTCCCTGACGAAATAACCCTCAATAGGATTTAACATTGCTGAGGCTTTTAATTTTGTAAATATTTCTTGGTTCCAGGTGAATCAGATAGGAACAATGGAACTTCCTATGCAGAAGTTTAAGCTCTGTGCATCCATCCAAGCTTCCTTTACAGATGAGGTGAAAGGACAAAAGTCTCTAATGACTTCCCAGGGGTGGTATTCACTTACTTTCCCTACCAGTTCGCAAATGTGAGCGGGTGCATGCGCTTTGCTCCTGCGTGCACCTTCCTTGCATGTGCCCGGCCTAAAAAACAGTGCCTAAATAGGACGGCATAGAGGATGGGCCGGCCCATCCGCGATTACCACTACCAGTTTGCCTGAACTGGTCCGAACCGGCTGAATACCACCTCTGCCTCTTCCACAGGGAACCAAACTCAAATCACTTTCAGCCTCCAGTGGCTTTGCTGACATGGAGGATGGGATTTCTAGTTCCAATGTATTTGAAGAGCAAGCATCTGGGCAGCCTCTGTGATTATGGTACAGTTTACCCTCTTCTAGTCCATCACTCAGTTTCACCCTGTTTCTATTAAACAAACTGAATCAAATTTTAAATATTTGAATCCTTGTTACCTAGCACCTTATCTAACTCGGTCTTTTCTCTTCAAATTGATTTGAGAACGAGCAGGAAGACTCTTTGACTCTTCATGATTAGGATTACAATTTTAAGCAGGCCCTCTTACTTATCCTTTATTAGCTACTTGTTTTCTCGGTTATTATCAGATAGTAACACTTATTATAGCCAAATCATTATAGCTTCACTTGCTAATTTATTAAAATCAAGGCTGCTCTTAGAGGCGGAAAAGCTGCTTTCACTGTTTTTACTGCCATTTGGCAGAGTTCATTATTTGCTCCCATGATGGCAGAAATTCCACAAATGCAGTTTTTTCTGGAATGTGAAGCAGTAAGGGGAAAGAGAGACATAGGCATGATTTGTTGAACGTCCACGTCTCCAGGGGCTGTGGTGTAAGGGTTGGAGCATCATTTAAGAAAGGACTGGAGACTTCCTAAATGCTGCCAACTGGTTGGAGAAAACTGATTCTAGGATCAAGAAAAATCATTACATTTCAGCTGTGAAGGTTGCTCTTGGCTGATTAAGACCATTGGATCCATTTAAGGCACCATGAAGGCTCAAAATTTCTCATTTTCATTTCTGTGGGGAAAAGGGTGATCCTACAGCCACCTATTTTCCTCTTACTTTTCTTTGCACTTGAATTGCAGCCTGGCAAGCAGGAAATAAATCAGTTCCAGCTCTTATCACCGTATTCTGGGGCCAACAATGACAACTTTCATCTGCTAAATTTCTATGTGCCATGAATGAACTGATAAAACACAAAAACAGCAGTTGTACTGGATATCTTGGATTATTTCCTACATATTTTGGATAGTTCCTTTATCAAGAAGAATTCTATATTGTAAAATACTAACCTAAAATCTTCTTTCCTTAGGAAAAAAAAAATTAGTGTTTTATTTACCTCCTTCCGCAGGTAGGAGAAAAAAGTAGAAAATTATCTGTTTTTCCCCCCCTTTGCTTGTACTACTGTTTAGATTCCCCTTTTTTTCCTTCCAATAAAACACAAACATGTGCATGGCCAGTGGTCTATTTTGATAACTCCCAGGAATATAATCAACGTAATCTCTGTATTATATGGCAAAATTGTCATTCCTTATTTCCCTTATATTTTTTTTGCAAATACTTATTAATGTAGGTTGAACATCTATAATAAAAAGACCAGTAACAGAAGAATCTGGTTTCCCCTGTGGCTTGTTTTTATGATCCAGTTCTGCTGAGTATCCTAGAGCAAACTCCCGCAATTTATACATTTTTAAATGAAATGATAGATTGGAAATGTAATCCCAGGGTTTTTCCACTGCAAAAACCAGTGAAAAGACACCTGAGTAAATGGGGGGAATTGGAAATGAATGGATAGTTTGGAAGGTCCCATCTGGGGAATGCTCCTCATCTACTCAGAAGCTCTTTCTGCTTCCATTGTTGGAACATATCAAATTTGCTATAGGTTTCTTTGTTCTGCTATCAGAAACTTAATTTTAAAAAGCATGTTTTCTATAGGGAAGGTTGGCGGCAAGTGATAAAACTAACAAACATCTGGCAATCACAAATCATTTTTAGACATACCTGCACAAAGTCACTTTCCAACATGGGAGCAAACTTGAGTAAGTCGTATTCTCCATGGCGAAGCTGGTCTTGCAAAGGTCCCATTTCCCTGCCAAAAAGTCCTTTGCCATAGATTCCTCCTGCTGAGACACTGGGCAGCCGGGACCGTAGCATCTTTCTTCATCCTAAACCAGCATTGCACACAGAAAAATGTGAGAGCAGAACTTTCTGTGACTTAATAGCCCTGCAGAGTTGAACGGTTGGATGGCTACATAACAGCAAGTTCAATTTCCATAGCTAATCAGAAAATCCTAAATATTTGGGAACAGCTGTCCAGAAATTTGCAGCTTGACTCTTGCAGGAAACTGTTAAAAGCTTCATAAAACTCCCTTGTTAAAATAGCTCATATTGTCTAACTGCCTGTTTTTAAGCAAAATTCAAAATCTTGGCTAAGAATTATACAGTGCTCTGTTATTATAGATGACATTTTTGAAAGGCAATGTTCTTTCTTTTGAGCCTGCTCCAATATAATTTTTTTCCAAAAAAAGACTCTTCTGTTGAACTTACTACTCTCAAGATGTTTAGAAAGAATGGAAAAAGCAGCCTTCCTAAGAGTTGCTCTCCAGGTATTTAAACTTATTGCCAAAGAAAATAAGGAAATAAGGTTACCTCTTTTTCTATTTTTCTGAAATAGACAAAATATTTTTATCCTGGCCAAACTCTTCAGTTGTTTTTAAGCATGTTTAATGAGGTTTTAAATTTGGGTAGTGAGGCAGGTATAACTTTAATAAGTATAACTTTAATAAGTAAAATGCATTTTATCTCTGTCAGTGTGATAAAACATGTGCATAATTTATATGTGCGTGCAAGACATGCACGCACATATAAATTATGCACATGTTTTATCACACTTTGCATAAAATGTCATTTCTTAGTTGAAGATTGGTGCTGGGCACCAATTCAATAAATAAATGGTACATGAAGGTGGAACATATTGACCATGATGTTATTTTTTGACCTTGTCAAACTTGAGGAGGTCTCAGAATGTAACATCCATTATTCCCAAAGAGAATACTAGTTTGAGGTGATAGAAGTTGTAGATGTCAACATTTCTGTAGAAGACTAGGAAGGAGAAATCTGGCACACAGGCTTATTTGGAAGTACTTTAAACTGGTAACTGAATTAATTTATCCAACTAACTAACTATTGGTTTATTTTGGATATTCCATATCTGTGCTTTCCTAAAATGTCTAGCAGATCATCAAGAGGGAAAAACATATGTACAATTCAGATTTTGGTTGTCCCAAAACTCTAATATTCTTAATTTAAAACTACAGTTTTAAAAACAGCAGCATATTCAATATTTAAAAAATTCAGCCCAGCATCTTAATTAAAAGCAGCTTATAATAAATGTGATTCAATGCCCAATTAATAGTCAAATTATATTTCTTGGCAGGAAGTTCCAGAGATAAGGGATATTGATTGCAAAGTTTCCCTGATTAAATACAAAAGTAACTGCAATTATCAGGCATTTCCCATTTAGATGGCTGAAAGGAGTGATATATCTATGAATGATTCCCCTGTGCACAATTACCGTGTATTGACAGGAAAGTCAGCCATAGAAGTGAATGATTTAATATTATTTTTTTTAACTAGCTTGCATCACAGCAGATTCAAATTTATTAAACTGAATTAGTTCTCATAATCAGATCTTATTCATATATGATGCTTAATAATTAATTGGTGTTTATGCATATGTATGAAGGACTGTTTGACAAGGAAGGGCTTCCTCAAAATAGCTTTTAGGTGCCCAGGTCAAAAGAGCAGAAGAGAACATTTTGAAGGACTGTTGATAGACTTGGGGCATGGGAGAAAAGCTGCTTAACTTTTGCTCTTTTTTCTTTAAGGTTTCCTTGCCATTACTGGTTCTTTTACCAGATACAGTTTTAGATGATCATTTAAGATGACTTCAGCTAGCCAGAACCCCTATTCCCCACCCCAAAATCTAGGACTCACTGATTGTCTTTATGGAGCTTGTAATGTATGTTCTTCAGTGCTTACTGCCCAGAGCTGCTGGATTTATACTTCCTCTCTTTTGCCTTGGGGGCAATTTTGTGATGTCATCATTGTCTCTATGACCTTTTCAGCCCAAGGGTGTGTGGGAGGGTAAATAGGAAAGGGTTGGTGGGAGCAAGTCTCTACTCACCTATCAGCTAAGTTCAAGATATAATGAAGTTTCTTCATCCCACATTAAGAAGCTTCCTTGTTTTTCCTGAAGAAGATGCTTGCTTTTTAATTCTGGGAATTGACGTCCATGTATCTTAAAGTTGCTGAGATCTAGAAACACTGCTCTACTTTTGCAGACAATCATTACCAGCAGCTTCAGCCAATCTTAGCCATAGTAGGGATGCTGGGAGTTAAGTAAAATCTTAGAAACCACAAGCTCCCCACATCTTTTCCAGCTGGAGGATATGAATCATTGCTGACAAATTGGATAAAATATAATGCCTATTGTTCATAGAAGCTTTCCCCTCCACTTCAGGGTACATGGATGGGAGTCCTGAAGTAAGACATCCTTGCTTGCTGCTTCCTTCCTCTCCATCCAGCAGAAGATCTTCCCTTCTTGATTCATCTCCTCCCATTGGATAATGGTTGCAGAGAGGAGCAGGAAATAGAGAATGGAAGTTCATAGAGCAGGAAATAGAGAATGGAAGTTCATAGAACTGGGAGGAGGAAGTTATAACTCCTTAGTGCGGGGGTTGATTTAAAATGATTTCTGGTGATCAAGCCTGTCCAGAAAACTGGCATGATAAACTGCATATGCTTGGGGATATCTTACTTAACTGTCAGATGGTTAAAGCTGAGACTCAGCCGAGATGAAGCCCTGGCTAAGAACTCACCTGCTGGGCAGCCCATAAAAAGTCATTGTGGGATAATAAAACACAGGCACCTGCCCTCGGTCAACATTAATGTTGGATGCAGTTGCTCAAATACTTCTTCAGAGGCTTTTAGTTGCTCTGAGCCTCTTCTCTCCCTTTATCTTCCCATTCAGTTGCCAATTTAAAGGAGTCAAAGGTTCTTAATTCAGAAGCATCAAATGAGCAGTCTTCCCCTGTTCTGGAGACCTTTGTCTTTGCTCGGTTAATGTTCAGAAGGTTTTGCTGAAGGATAATGGATTGATGAAGATTTGGGTGATAAGCAAAGCATATGGGTTTTCTTTCTCCTAAACATCTCATTGTAAGAAAAGAACAAAGGAAGGAAGGAAGGGGTTTATTTAAGTCAGTTTTTCTGTCATTCACCAGGAAACATTGGACTACAGCTCTTATGATTCTGGGTTAGATGGAGACTTATGAATTTATACACAACATTGAGACTGATTGTATATGACAAGCTTAAACTTTCAACCCAGGTCAACAAAATCCAACTGCTGTGTTCAGATCACCATATTATAATGTAATTAATAAACAATAGGGCTTCCATTGTTTGCTGAGCCATATGCTACTCAAACTCACTGTAGCCTAACCTATAGCAGTTTGCAAACCCAGGAGCCATCCTTGGCGGTTGATATGGGCAGCTAGATTCAGCCTCTCTAGGAAAGTAAGATTTTAACCCACTATTTTTTTGCAGACTTCACTGCCAACCTCTCTTGCTTTTCTGCAAACTAACTGAAATGTGATGCTGATTTTCAATGCTGAGGCCTCAGATGATCCTGTCCTCAGAAAGATGAAAATGGAAAGCTAACAAAACTAATGCTGTTGAGACAGTTTTCTAAATCAGAAATGGACAATCATTAATATTTGGAGAAGGGTGGCAAGGAACCATTCCACTGTGCAAAATGATGTCAGTGGTGGTGTTAAATCTCAGCCTGGAACATCTTTAAGCTTCAAGTATTTCTGTACACAAAGCATATTTCAGAACTTTCTGTCCTTCTGAGGTAAAATGAGGACCCAGGTTGTTGGGGGCAATATGCTGACACTGTAAACTGCTTAGAGAGGGCTATAAAGCACTGTGAAGCAGTATATAAGTCTAAGTCCTATGCTATTGTTATGCAAAACAAAAAGAAAAAAAATCAAACAATTGGAACTTACAGTTTATTTATTTATTTACTTGTATCCTGCCTTTATTGTTTTGACAAATAATTCAAGGCAGAGAGCATATCCAACAGACCTTCCTTCTCCTTTACTCCCCAGAACAACAATCCTCTGAGGTGGGTCGGATGGAGAGAGATTGAGTGGCCCAAAATAATGCAGCTGGTTTTCATGGCTAAGATATACAGGGTGAACCAGAAATCCAGCCTCATAGGCCAATCACAATATGTTTTATTATTTATTTATTAAATTTTTATGACAACCATCTGTCCTATTAGGGCTCTCTGGGTGGCTTATAGGCTATAAAACAAATAGAAAAATAATTAAAACATGTTAAAATGTAAATATGTGTGAATATGTTTGTAAAAATATATATTAGTCACTGAAAAAATGGAAAGAAAGGGGCTGAAAAACCAATTGTTGCCTACCTGCCTCAGTGACACCCTCCTCCCCCCGTAATTGGTAGTAATGTTAGGAGCCACTATAGGATTAATAAATGGATCAGAGCTTTTCTGTCTCCACCATCTTTTGGAAATATCTTCCTCCTGGACACCAAGATCAGGTACTTGATATTAGAAAGCAGGTGCTGCTGCACTCATGACATGGCTGAGGAATTTTGGGAAATATAGTCCCCCCCCCCACACTTGAAGGGGAGCAGTTAGAGAAGGTGGCCCTCCTGTAGCTCAGGAGAGTGCTAAAAAGAGTGTGTTACGGCTGACACAGAATTCACATGCTGTGCTAGTTCCGACCCTTCTTTTGTTTTGTAGAAAACCCAATTAAAAAGAAAATTGTGGTGAATTGGGCCTTAAAGGGTCAGAGTCTGTAGCCAGCCTCGGGCACACCCACAGGCCCATATGAATTGCCAGGAGCCTGGCTCAATTACCTCAAAGGGAACCAAAAAGTACCTTTTATAAAATGTTGTTATAATTCGGAAAGAGGGTACTCAATCAATTCCCCAAAATATTAGGGCAATTCACTTTTCCTATTCACAAGCAGGAGCAATTTGTCGAAATGGAGCACAAGCCCACATCCTGCAAAGCTTTCCTTTACTTTGCAGACTAAACGGAAGAGGGTGGAGTAAGTCCTTTTCTCCATTCGGTTGTTCCATTATGTGCTCCTTTCTTATTTTATATAGAAAATTAGTATTTTCAGGGCCCAGCTAATCATGGGAGAAAATCTGCACCTAGTGGAGAAAATACCATGTAATTTAGATATTGTTCTAAAGAGTTTCTGTGAAAGAAACTTCCCAGTTGCCAAAATTCCCAGCCCGCACAGATTGAGAGGCTATTGGAGAACAAATCAAGGTGGGTTGGGATGTATGTTTGCAATTAAGCACCTAACCCAAACATATTAAAGCCTTTGTGTTTTTTTTTTTCCTTTCTCCTCTTCCTTAGTCTTTATAATACAGTTGTGCCGTCTTGTGGGCCCTGCACGGGGCTGAGCCTGTCTTCCCCTCCTCAGTCCAACCTTAAGGAACAATGCAGGCAGGAGAAGAAAGAGAAGGAGCTTGGACTGGTGACTTTACTGGCAAAACAAGGCATTTCTGCACAGAGCCAAGGACTGACGCGCGTGTCCCTGCCCTGCGTTATTAGGGATCCAATCTCCTCCTCTTGCTTTTCTTCTTCTTTGGTTTCACTGTGTCACTACCACTTGGATAGCTATGCTGATTGGACTTCAGGACTGCAAGCACTGCAACACAAAAAGCCTGACAAGAGTCCGAGCCTGAGAATGTCCTACCTGTCAATGACTGCTACTGCTTCAACCACAACAATTCACGAGCAAATAATAGATACAAACTCAAGGTAAAATTCGATTGCAGAAAATATGACTTCAGTAACAAAGTGATCAATGCCTGGAGTGCACTACCGGATTCTGTGGTTTCTTCCCAAAAACTTTAACCTTAAACTGTCTACTATTGACCTCACCCCATTCCTAAGAGGTCTGTAAGGGGCGTGCATAAGTGCACCAACGTGCCTACCGTCCCTAATGTTCCTTTTTACTCTTACTCTTTTCATGTATTCAAATTATGTTTATACTTTTACCTGTTATCTTATATATGCTTGACAAATAAAATAAATAAAATGAATAGCATCTTCAGCTTGAACCTAGCAGAGAAACTGCAGCAACTGGGCCTCGATAAGGTGTTGGCTACAGGGGAAGCATCATACCTAACCTTACATCAGCAGGAACTTCACCAGGGAAAGAAATATAGCTCTGGATTTAGAAACCAGCAAGATCCAGTGGAGCCTCAATAAAAATGAAGGGGGTGTTTATGTGTCCTGCTGCTTTAGGAAAGCTGGCCAAAACTCGGATGTACAGCTAGAATACTGGATGTTGAGGAGCACTTAAATTCTGCTTAAAGCACTGTTTTCTTCACTACTTGTGAATCACTGTTGTTGGCATGTCTATTACAGGGGTACATTGCATCTTCATTCTTCAATTTCTTTTTCCCTCCTTCTCTCCTCCCACTGCTGATGGAACATTTCTATCAAATTACAGTTTTCAGACCAGTATCTGGTCGTATCCCCGATCCCAAGCCCATTTCTTCTGCCTTTTGTTGTCAATCTGCTTCTACTAGAATTGCACAAGTCACAGAGCCTTCTGGGTTAGGAGGCTTGGGGCAAAAGGAGGGAGAAAATTCTTGAACTTCCCAGCTAGAAATGGCAATGGACAGACTAAGCATTGGAAGCAGCTGCTACAGTAGATTGTTGTCCGGGATGAGAAGCAAAGATTAGCAGTAGCTTTTCTACATCGTCTTAGCTCATTGTTTTTGTATTTGGGTTTGTTTTCACCTGTCTCTGCCCTTTTTCTATTTCTCAGTTTCTACAGGGATGGCAGGCTAAATAGAAATTTTGGTGGGAAGTTTTATTTTATTGTGAGGAGTTGATTGAGACATTCCTTCATCCTCTTTTACTACCAATCCTGGTATCCTTGACCTTTGTTAACGGTAACATGGTGTCTGGGTCTTCGTCTTGATGAAGCCTGCAGAGATTTTCCCTCTTAAAGACCTAATCATACTTTATTATAAAAAATATTAATGAAAGTTCATCAGGCTTTGGTTGTGGTTGTATTATACTTCCAAAATGAAGCGGCTGTTGCTTTCTCTTTGGTGCCTGAGAATTTCATTTGTGAATGTAGAATTTCCTTTTTTCTTAAAAAAAATTCCAGCACTTTGTTTCTCCTTCCAATCTACTGTATAAGATGGATCCATATTTATGTTTTATCCAAACCAAAACAGGACTTGGACTTTCCTTTGGGTGGGGGAAACCTGGAAACTTTCAGATCTGGGTTTTCCCAGATGTGCTGATATGATATCTCTAATAAAATGGAGCTTTGACGAACTTCAAGCCTCGGAGTCTTTTTTCATTGGGGGTGTTACTTGGAACCCTGACATACAGTTTATTACAGGTCAATATTGTTCTTGAAAGGATTAGAGCATGTACAGAGTGCACCTACCTCAACTTTTGATATTCCTTGCTGCTGAGCTGAGCTCCATTGTAACCTAATGTACCAACTGCAAAGATAAAGCCTCCAGGCTAATTGCCAAATAGCCTTGCTTGTAACTTAAAATGTGTAT